AATGGCCTTCCTTCAGCAAATTCAAGAACTCCTCGACAAAGGTCAGAACTCAGATGAGTCAAATGTGGATGCATTGGATATGCTCGACCACGGAAGTCTAGATTGTGAGGATAATAGAAGCCATCCTCCTCTTTCAGTCTTTGAGCAACCTGTTTCAAGTAGATCGATGCTCAGTATTTTTTATCATAGCAAACTATTAAAAGGGAGCATAGAGGAACCCACTGAAAGTTTAAGTTCAGTGTCACAGCGTTGAGAATGTCTCTCTCGGTTTATCTTTTTAGCTTTCCTCACGCTCCATCTCCACTGCTGAAGTTCTGTTGGGTCTTCCGAGGTTGGTTTCTCAGGCAAGGGAACCTGAAACTCAAGTAATGTCCCATTCAAGAAGATGCTCTAAACAGCTAGCCAGATGTTTCTGATCTAAACCGTCTGTTATAAATAATTTGTTTGTCAAGAAAGCTAAGTCTAGCCATTGCTTGCAAAACTACAACTAGAAAATGAGGCCGATTTTCCACCAAGAATGCTGGTAGATTGATGACCAACTTTTGAGGAAGTTGATGGCTGCTGACATTAAGTAGGCAGCAATAACTCATTTCACCATCACTAGTTTTCAACAGTAAGGAAGTTCAAGGGAGCTCACATCTGCCCGGTCCACCAACCCTGCAATGTTGCCACCATTTTCCCAAATGGTCTCTACCACATCAAGTACTTGTCTGTTCACCCTCCACTTCGTGTTACCAAGTGTATCCAGGGCCTGTTGATGAACCAATAACATCAAAGTTCCACATAAGAAAGCAAAAAATACTACTAGTAAAAAGTAGCAGAATACATCCAATGGTAGAATCGATTGATTGGTGGACCTAGACTTCAATGATTACAAATGTTGTTAGTCCTTCAGTTTGGTACTCGTCCAAAGATTATTTACTTCTGAGAAATAAAGAACTATTTAAACCAAAACATAAAGAAGATAATGATTCTAACCTCAAATACTCTTTGCATTTGGTTTCTCGGCACCCCCTTAAGAGCCTCCTGTTGCTTCCTTGATCCATGAGTGCGCATGACATAAGAAGGCAAGAACAAATGCCCGCCTTTGTCATGACTGCAAGAAGATCACAAACATATCACTGTAAATGTGTTTGACTTACACAATGAAACAACAAACACCATGTTAAGAATAAGCCACCCTTGAGATAATTTGCAATATTGTACCAATTATCACAACTGTTCCAGACATACCTTCTCCATTTCTTGGGAGGAATCAGCATGGGAAAATAAGGAATCAACATATGCTTCGCCTGAATTATGACAAGCATGGTGTATATTAGTTTGAGTGACAGAGAAGGTACCAGCCAAGGACCTGGTAATTCAAGATTGCCTCCGAATTTGACAGCCGGGAAGTAGAAACCCATAATAGAGAACTCTAGAGCAAATTGTCTTATACAAATGAAAACACAGTTATAAGTGCTTCACCAAATGCGGTAGTTCAACTACCATCTACTGGTGGGGTTTATTAATGGAAGTGGCTTTTGGCCACTATTCATAGAAATACACACATTCAGAAGATCTGTACAAGAATCAACCATTCAGTAACAGAAATGTCATCTTACTCACAGATCCATCAAGCCCTGCAAGAATGAGCGGATCACACTCTACAACACCATATCTCTTCATAATCTTTTGCCTACAATGATTAATTCATGGACATCAGAGAAGATCATTTCGATGAACTTTTTCAAAATGGATTGGTAGAAGGTCGTGCAAAGTACATAAGGATTCTCACCCCGGGCTCCTTGGCAAATTTTTGAACCTATGTCTAAAGGCAGGTCGCACATCTGGTGGAGCATCTGACAACTGGTCAACTGGAGCTTGTATAAAAGCTGTCTCAGTCAAGAGGTGTATGAGCCGACTTCCCAGCTGCACAAACAAGACATGCATAAAAAAAGGCAACATGACAGGCAAAAATAAGTCCTACTCGCAACCTAAACTGTCATAAAGGCTCGATAGGGAAGTGAATTCAAACAGATCATTCAGGGGGAAGAACATAAATAAGATGAAGAAGAAGCATACCTTAGCCTGTATATCTCGTCCCCAAGGTTTGATTTCATCGCTTTTCACCAGCTTCTGCACCTCCACATGCTTTTTCCTCCTAATCAAGCTATTAAGACGTTTTCTAAGTATCTCCTTCTCTACTCTTTGGCCATCTTCATCATCAGTAGCTGTCCTGTTCCTCTGGTACTTCTTGGCCTTCTCCAAGAAATTGTGAACCCTGACCTGAAATTACACAAAACAGACACAGCTTACTCACTATCTAACAACAAGAACTTGAAAAGTCATTATTAGTATGTGCCGTTACTCATTAGTAGGAATCTTCTGTTAATCAAAGATGGACCCTAGGATCAGGGGATTCAAACACTTCTATCATACTATACATGACATGAGTAAAAGCATTACACTTTTCAGTCCTAGAAAGCCAAAACTCGCCTCAAACTCACTTCTTCAAGCCTTCAACCATCAAACATACAACAGGCATCTATTCATTCAAAAATGCAAATGGTATTAGTCGAAGCTGGAATCCAGAACAAGGACCCTACCTCCTGCTCGATGGCAATCCCAATTTGTACAGCAGCCTGAACAACCTGAATACACCCATCTTCATGCCCCACCATCAGCAACCCCATCATCTTATGCATAACAATGAGCGCCATTTTATCCGCGGGCAATGATTCAATCTGCGGCGAAAAAGCAGTCTTATGTTTCTTCCCCCTCTGCAACTTTTGCTCCTTCTCAATAGCTTCCTTCAACGGTTCAAACCATCCCAAGAACAAACCTTTGACGTAAGGCAAATTAGGCGCGAGCTTCTTCTCACACATCTCCCTAACCATTCCCCTATACTCCTCCGCCATTCCTTCCCAAGCCTCCGTCTCATACTTAATCTGCCTCCTCCTCAGCAAATTATACTTCCTCTTCTCGATATCCTTGAACGCTACTCTCACTTCCCGATGAGCTAATTTCTGCATACCTTTCAGGAACAGAGCTGAAATCCATGGTGGGTCTTGGATGAACACTCTCTTTTCATCTTTCCCCCCTTCAATTTGATCACTTTCCCGCAATTCCAAATTCATGAGATTCTCGAGTGACTGGCGGTCTTCGAGGAGATGGTCGTGGCTGGAATCGTTTAATGGGTTGAATAGATGTAGATTCCTGGAGGATTTGGGATTGAGGGAAGCCGGGAACGAGGATGAAGAAGAGGAAGATGAGGAAGCTGAGAGAGGAGTGAGGGGAGCTTGGTTGGAGAGGAAGTGAAGGTTTTTGTGGGGTTTTGAGGATTTGGACGGGGGTTTTGATGGCCATGCCGAGTACTGAATTTGAGACGTAGTTGAGAATGGCGCTGTGGAAGCCATTACTTGTTTCCGCTTTGAGGGTGGTAAGAGAGAGTGAAGGGAAAAGGGGAGATGGGGGCGGAGAAAGGTGTCGAAGAACAGTACGGCCTACGAGAGAACCCTCTGTTAAACCTCAGATTCTGCCATTGGCACTTGCCGGCAGGAGAGCTGCTATTTTGTTGTTTCTTTCTTCGCTGAAAGATAAGATATTCGTTTTAAAAGGGTCGATTCATTTTTTATCCCCCAAATTGTACATTTTTCTCAATCAACCCTCTACAGTATTCAAATTTACTTTTCTGGTCCCATGATTTGGTCAATTAAAAAAATTACAATAAAGAAGGTAGACGTCATGTAGTAGTATCATTCTCCAAGGCCTTCTCGATTCTAAAATTTTTTATAAGGTAGAACAAACGTGTAACGCAATATCACGAAATAGACAATATTATAATCGAAAGAATCATTTATAATGAACCTATTAAGTAAGCGTCGAGAAATTTTCTAAAGCGTACTAAGTAAACGTGAAAACACAAAATAGTATCGCAACAAACACAATCGTGACAACACAATCTATTTTAAAAGGAAAACATCATCACAATCTATATTATCAATCTACAATGTCACATAGAATGAGAGGTTTTGGCTATCTTTCTTCCCTCCCTCCCTCCATCATTCCTTCCTACCCTCCCTCATGCTTTACCTCTCATCTTTCTTGTTCTTATAGGTCAAGAAGTTCATTACATCATCTCCGTATATCAGATTTAATAGCACAAAGTATCGTTCACCTTGGCAAAGACACATAACACAAAAAACCGGCGAGAATGGGTTCAATGACATTCCTAGAGGTGATATTGGCCATTTTGATACCACCGGTTGGCGTCTTCCTTCGTTTTGGTTGTGGGGTGAGTAAGTTTGACTCATTTCGCTATTCGTTCCTTCTCTAATTCTCTTAATGTTCTATATATGTTTGCTTAACGTTCGAGTCGACAACATCCTTATCGTTTTCGTACATTCGTGTCATCTGTTTCGATTCTTCGATGATCTCACGTTGAAAATGTATCTAATGGGATGATGCAGGTGGAATTCTGGATAGACTTGTTGCTGACCATGTTTGGATACATTCCTGGTATGGTATACGCCCTTTATGTCCTGGTCGGAAAGCAACAAACAATTTAGAAGAGGAATCAGGGGATATGAAAAGAATTTGAATGGATCTTTCGATTGTAATATGTTTAAATTTGTAGGATATTGTTTCAGATTTTTTCAGTTTATGATAATGATTTCATCTCGCGTTAATTACAAATGGTACAACTTCTTCTCCTCCCTTTTGGCGGCAATTCTTATTTTGAACGACAATTGCATCATTAAAAACTCATTCCTTCGATAGGACCTCAGGTACAGTTACACAAACCAGAATTATGACATTCTCCCCCTCAAGACTTGTTACAGAAACTCTCCCGTGGAGCTACATGCAAACTTCTAGGTGAAGGAGATCTAGCTACCCTACACATCATTGAGCATTCCCCTCAGGTACGAGCAAAGCACATCAACGGCCTGCAACTTCTTGGTATCTTGGTCCCGTTTCAGAAACCACTCGAAAGGAAGAAACTGAATCCAAGGTGGAAGGGAATCTCGAAGAGTTTATCACCGGCGGTTATAAATAGCTTACTCCTTCGGTCCCTACGACCTCGCCAATTAGGCACGCCTTGTGTTCTCCATCCTCGACGATTCTTCTTCCTACTTCCTTAGGCACCACTAGCACCATCCCGATGCCCATGTTGAATGTTCGTCTCATCTCTGCGTCTTCTATGTTTCCAGCCTGTTTGAAACAAGCCGCGGCCATGATGAGAGAGCAAAGAGGAGACTCAAACGTGACCTAAAATGGGTTTAAAGGTTTCGGCTAGATCTTACATCTTGGATCCATTTAAAGACAGGTGGGACTTCCCAGGAGTTGTTGTAAATAGCAGCCCCAAGACCTTTGGGGAAAACTCTAGGTATGTTATCTGTAAAACCGCCTCCTGTAATGTGGGCTATGCCCTTTACACCTCCCTTGCCAATTATGTCCAGCACCTGTATGTATATTTTGAGCAGAGCACATCAATATACGAAATGTAAGTGTGCACATTCGAGAAGGGACGAGAGAGAGAGAACAAAGTTACCTGCTTGACATATATGACAGTAGGGGCCATTAGAGCCTCACCTAAAGTAAGGCCATTTCCAGGAAGTTGGTTCTTCAGAGAAAGACCACTTCGATCTAACACCCTGTTCAAAGATGACATATCTTATTAGAAAATGTTATCCAGGGAAACATTGGCTCGAAAGTTTATAAGCATTCCTAAATCATTGACAACCTTCTGACAAGAGAAAACCCATTAGAATGGACTCCACTAGATGGTAATCCGATCAAAACATCCCCAGCTACAATGTTCTTCCCATCAATGAACAACTCCTTCTTAACAATGCCGACTGCAAAACCACTGAGATCATATTCACCCTCTGCATAGAAATCTGGCATCTCTGCAGTCTGAAACACAAAAGGCTCGTTGGTTCATGTCACCCACAATAGCTCAACCAACAAGAGCTAGATAGGCTTTAGTTCACCTCTCCTCCCAATAGCGCGCAATCAGATTGTTGGCAGCCATCCACAATGCCTCTAATAACCTACCCCAGACTCAAAAAGGAAACACTTTTATTTATCCGCAGCAATAATCAGGTAAATCAGATGAATATTTAAGTAAAGCTTAATAGCTACCTTTTCGGCCAGGTCGACATCAAGATGACTAGTTGCAAAGTAATCAAGAAAGAAGAGAGGTTTTGCACCTGAAGTGACTATATCATTGACACTCATTGCAACCTGTAATAGGGCAGAAGCCAGGGAGTCAGTTAAACCACCACTACCCTTAATCAAACAGTGAAATGGGTTCACTCAAAGGTTTACCAAATCGATGCCAATAGTGTCATGGATTCCTGTCTCGAAAGCAAGTTTCAATTTGGTACCCACTCCATCTGTACCAGCAACAAGATATGAATCCCCTGTAAAACAACATCAACACTCAAACTATCAGAAATAAACTTAATGCGGCTGAAGAGAATCAATCACATTGTAAAGCTAGCTCTATCGATGACAACAAATCATCCTTACCGAGGGGGAAGAGACCACCGAAACCACCAATTCCAGGGGCCATCTTAGCAATCCTCCTCACGAGTTCGGTCCCGGCGTCAATATCTACACCGGCATCCTTGTAAGTCAGCCCGCCACTAGACCCATCTCCGCTCCCACTTCCATTTCCCATGGCAAAGACTCTGTTTTTAGCTGCACCAGTAACTCCTACTGCTTGGAGTGAGCGTCCCTCGAAGGAAGGATTAAACGCACACCTATCTACAGCTCGATGGGAGAAATCGATTTTGCTCGAAGATGGCCTAATGGCTGCTCCAATCGCTCGGGTTAACTCAGCATTGACAGCCGTCATGATGATTTTCTGCAGAACAAAAAAGGTTTCAAATTGATATCCTAAACAGAACAGTTCTTTGTAATTCTCATCCTCAGTCGTTCAATCAAAGTTGAAAGATCCATCAAATCGCCACCGAGCTTGCTTGGGACAATTCAAAGACCAACAAGCAGAGTAGCCATGTATTCGATAGAGAAACAAAGGACTACGAATAGTTTAGGATATCAAGCCAATTCATAAACCCTTTGTGATTCATAGGAAAGGTACAAACGGAAAATGAGGGAGGGAGCAGAGATGACGGTACATATAAGAGGAAGCGGTGACCGGAGAGTGGAGTGGCTGATGACGACGGCGCGGCGGCGGCTAGGGTTGCTCCGTGAGCGCCGGCTAGAACGAGGGAAGCGAGGGAAAGCTGGTTTAGGTTTGTTTTTTCCCGGTTGGAATTCTGTGTAATTTTTGGTTTTGGGAATCTGACTGAGGAGTTGTGGGCTTTACTGAAATTTGTTGTTTGGGCCTAGTAGTGAAACATGGGCTGGACCATCTTCAAAGTGGACTGTTCGGATTTTGTTCATGTTTATAGGAATTAGGAAGCTTAGTTAGAAATTTGTCCCGAATTTTTTTTGGCAAAATACACTCTCGTAGCCATAACTATTCGTGTTGCGATAATAATAGCCATTTTTTGAAAAATACATTAAAATAACCATTTCGTCCATAACTTTAACGGAATTATAAAGAATGCTGACTGGACTAACGATTTTTGCTGATGTGGCATTTTTGGTCAAAAACCATACCAGATGGAAAATAATTTTTCTTATATAATACTTTTTATTATTATAAATATAATAACATGAACCAAAATAAATAAATAAATAAATAAAGAAAACCCCATTATCTCTCACGCAACCCTCACCGTGGAAAACCAAAAATAATTTCCCAAATTTGAAACCCTTCCTCTTCCGTAATCCGCCTAATCTTCTCCACCGCCGCTCCCTTCGTTCTAATTCTAATCCGCCTATCCTCCCATATCCTTCAATCGATCAAGAAGACCCAAACCCAGTTCTCAATCCCATCCAAAACTCCCAAATCATATAGCTCATCTCCAGATTTGCCTCCCATCTCTAACAGATTGAAATTCATTTCAATTGCAACGGTCACCTTCCGCAGCGACGACGTTTTACCCTTTGCATTCCCTTTCTTCGTGCAGCGTCGTTTTAGGAGGCAAGCTCACTTAATGGAACAATGCCGTTCAGAAGAGAAGACCACCACTTATTGGAACGATGTCGTTCCCTTCTTCTTTCGGCTGTATTTTCTTTCTGATCAAGCAATGTAACTTTTCCTTTCCAAGCTTCCAAACAAAACTTCCATGGAGCTTGTCCTGTAATGAGTTTGAACTGCCTATAAGAGGCAGAAGTTCTAATGAGAAACACAGGCTTTTAGGGTTTCTATTCTCTCCATGTTCTTTGTTATGGTATCAGAGCCTGTAGTTAAACCCTAGCCGCCGCCCTCATCTTCTACAATGGCCGACAATCAAGGCCAAAATGAGGCTCAAATGGAGCAACCCAATGTTGTTCCTATCGATCCTTCTTCTGACCCCTTCTTCCTCCATGGCTCTGAACAGCCTGGATCTCTTCTCGTGGCAGAAAAGCTCACTCCAACAAACTACAACGACTGGAACAGGGCAATGTTCAATGCTCTTGCAGCCAAAAACAAAATAGGCTTCATCAATGGCACCATTGCTGAACCACCAGTCACAGATGCTCGACAGTGCTTGGACACGCAACAATGTCATGGTACTTAGCTGGATTCAACAGTCCACATCTCCAGAAATCAGGAAGACCATTCTCTCCATCAAAACTGCAGCTGAAGCATGGACAAGCCTTCAGACTCGATATGGATCTGGAGATCTAATCAGAATTGCTGAACTGGAAGAGGCACTCTCCACTCTTCAACAAGGTACTCAGTCAGTCACTGAATACTATGGTAGAGTGATTACTTTAAGAGATGAACTGGAAAATTATCAACCACTACTGCCTTGTACTTGTACACCTACAAGTCAGAATGATTGTGCTGCTATGATTAGAGTCCTTCAGTATCAAGAAACAAACTATGTCATCAAGTTTCTTCGTGGTTTAAATGACAATTTTTTTGGTGTGAGAGCTCAAGTACTTTTTGGAGATGAACTCCCAAACATAAACAGAGTTTTTCAAAGGATGCTTCAACATGAACGCCAACTCTATGGCACTCATACATCCAGAATGGCTGCTTCTGCACAATCAGATTCTTCTGCTTTAGCATTTCAAGGTGCCAACAGAAGGTTTTCCACCAACTCTAAGCCACCATTCTGTACCTTCTGTAAAAGAGAGGGTCATACAGAGGATATCTGTTTTCAGAAGCATGGATGGCCCCCTGGCATGTCCAAACCCACTCAATCCACTACTGGGAGTATCACTATCTGCACTTTCTGCAAAAGAAGAGGACACACAGAAGAAAAGTGTTTTCAGAAACATGGCTATCCTGCTAATTTTGTTCCAAGGTATGGTCCTCCTGTTCCTCCAAGAGGCAAACCTGCTGCTAACATGGCCAACACTTCTTCTCCTAGCTCTGATGAAGTTAAACTCACCAGGGCAGATTATGACAAGCTTATGAGCCTCATGAATGCTCAAAAGGGCCAGTCTTCTTTCTCTGCTGCAGCCTATGTTACACAGACAGGTATCAGTTCACATTCCTTACCATCCTTACCTATATTGAGTGTATCCCAGAGTCCACAACAAAGATGGATTGTGGACACAGGTGCCTCTGACCACATAGTGTGTTCATTAGCATGTCTACATGACAAGAAAACCTTAGACAATGTCTTTATAACCCTTCCCACTGGGGAACAGGTTCAAGCTACTCATTTTGGAACTGCAATTTGCAGTGATGATCTAATCCTTCATGATGCTCTCTATGTTCCCAACTTCACATTCAATCTCATTTCTTTCAGCTGACTCACTTCCAGAAATTCTCTTTGCCTAACCTTTCATTCAACCATGTGTCTTATACAGGACCTGAAGCATACGAGAGTGATTGGTTCTGCTAGGCTTTGCAATGGTCTCTATTTCCTTGAAGCATCCCTTTTCCCTAAGTTGGTCTCTACTGCTTCCACCTACACATTTGATCTGTGGCATTTTAGATTAGGACATGTATCCCATTCTAAAATCCCCATCATCAAACAATTTTGTACCTCCATTTCCACTCATCAAGACCAACCTTGTGATGTTTGTCATTTTGCAAAACAGAAGAGACTTCCTTTCCCTTCCAGCCAGTCTGTAACTATTAAACCTTTTGAATTACTCCATGTAGACATCTGGGGTCCAAACTCCACCCCCACCTATGATGGCTTTAAATACTTCTTGACTATTGTTGATGACTACTCTAGAATGACATGGATTATATTGCTTCAACTTAAATCTGAAGCAAGACCAAAACTGATTGCCTTCTGCAATCAAATGGAGAGGCAGTTTGAAACAAAAATCAAAAGAATCAGGAGTGATCAAGGTAGGGAATTCCAGATGGATGATTTTTTTTCCTCCACTGGTATCCTGCATGAAATGTCATGTGTAGAAACTCCTCAACAGAACAGTAAAGTAGAGAGGAAACATCAGCATATTCTTGCTGTAGCTAGAGCACTTCAATTTCAAGCCAACTTACCTTCTGATTTTTGGGGTGACTTTGTCAAGCATTCAGTTCACCTCATCAATAGAGTTCCATCCCCAGTGCTAGCAAACCAAACTCCTTTTCAACTTCTCTACCAATCCCCACCTGACCTCAATGAACTGAGAGTTTTTGGTTGTTTAGCATATGCCAGTACTCTTAGTAATCACAGGACCAAATTTCAACCTAGAGCAAGAAAAACTGTCTTTCTAGGATTTCCTTCTGGCATTAAAGGCTACAGGTTATATGATCTATCCTCTCATGAGGTATTCATCTCTAGAGATGTCATTTTCTTTGAGTCTCATTTTCCTTACCAGTCTGATCAGCAGCAAGACCAATCTTCTACTCAATCAGATATTTTCTTTCCTATTCCTTCCACTGAATCTCATCTTGTTCATGATGATTCTCTACCTCCTTCCCCTACTAACCCCTCATCTCCACAACCTACCCTTCCTATATCTGAACCAGAACCTACATCAACTCCCTCTACTTCTTCTCCTCCTCCAGATACATCAACCAATTCTGCTTCACCAGATTCTCCTAATTCATCTCCTCCTCTATCCAATTCCCCATCCCCACCTCCTGTTGTCAGACGTTCTGACAGGACTTCCAAACCACCTCCTCACTTAATTCAAAATTATCATTGCTACTTGTCACAAGGCCCTAGCAGCATCAATCACTCAACACTGCAACAGGTCCAAGACACCAGGTATTCCTTCTCAAACATGATCTCTTATGACAAGCTATCTTCCAATCACAAACGTTTTCTACTCAACATTTCCAGTCACAGAGAACCTCAGACATACAATGAAGCTGCTCAACATGACATTTGGAATGATGCAATGCAACTAGAAATCAAAGCATTACTCAGAAACCATACATGGGATGTTGTCAGTTTGCCTAAAGGGAAAAAACCAATAGGCAACAAATGGATCTACAAGGATAAGTTTCTTTCTGATGGGTCCCTTGAAAGACATAAAGCCAGATTAGTGGCAAAAGGAAATACACAGCAAGAAGGAGTGGACTATCAAGATACATTTGCTCCTGTCATCAAAATGACAACAGTCAGGACTTTCTTAGCCATTGCAGCCATAAGGAACTGGCATATACATCAGTTAGATGTAAACAATGCCTTCCTCCATGGTGACCTTGAAGAAGAAGTGTACATGACCCTGCCAAAAGGCTATGTGCCTCCTTCAGATGTTCCAAATCCAGTTTGCAGATTAAGAAAATCAATTTATGGCTTAAAACAAGCATCTCGCCAGTGGTTCTCAAAGCTTACTGACAAATTACAGCAGGTTGGATACATTCAAAGTCAAGCAGACCATTCCCTCTTCTTCAAGGTCACTGAAACGAGTTACACATGCATTCTTATTTATGTGGATGATTTGGTTTTAGGGGGCAATGATATAACAGAAATTGAAGAACTGAAGCAGATTCATCACGAAGAGTTCAGTATTAAGGATCTTGGCAATTTGAGGTATTTTTTGGGTATTGAAGTAGCTCGCAGCACATCAGGCATTCATTTATCACAAAGAAAGTATGCTCTGGAAATTCTTGAAGAAGCACAGGTTCTTGATTCAAAAACTGTATCAACACCAATGGACTACAAACTTCATCTCAGCAATGATTCAGATAAAGCCTTTGAAGACCCTGAACTTTACAGGACACTTGTTGGAAAGCTAATCTACCTCACTACTACAAGACCTGACATTAGTTTTGCCACTCAGCAACTAAGTCAGTTCATGTCATCTCCATCCATTACACATTTCAAAGCTGTTCTGCGTGTCCTACGTTACCTCAAATCAGCTCCTGGCACTGGTCTCTTTTTTCCTTCCAAAGGTACTTTCCAAATCAAAGCCTTCACTGATTCTGATTGGGCAGCTTGTGTAGATACACGTCGATCAACAACTGGTTTCTGCATTTACATTGGAGACTCACTCATTTCCTGGAAAACAAAGAAACAACATACTGTCTCAAGATCCTCTTGCGAGGCCGAATACAGAGCATTGGCCTACACAGCTTGTGAGATTCAGTGGCTCCAATACCTGCTCAAAGACTTCCAAGCTTCATCTTCATCTCCAGCTACTCTCTACTGCGACAATCAAAGCGCGGTTTACATTGCCAAAAATCCATCTTTTCACGAACGAACTAAACATATAGAATTGGACTGTCATTTCGTTCGTGAAAAGCTGCAAAGTGGGACTCTCAAGCTGCTCCATATCTCGGCTGTTCACCAGTTGGCAGACATTTTCACCAAACCTCTATCTCCATCGCCATTCCTCTCCTTGTTGTCCAAGCTTGGTGTGCGGAACATCTGCCCACCAGCTTGTGGGGGGGGGGGGGGGTAACAGATTGAAATTCATTTCAATTGCAACGGTCACCTTCCGCAGCGACGACGTTTTACCCTTTGCATTCCCTTTCTTCGTGCAGCGTCGTTTCAGGAGGCAAGCTCACTTAATGGAACGATGCCGTTCAGAAGAGAAGACCACCACTGATTGGAACGATGTCGTTCCCTTCTTCTTTCGGCTATATTTTCTTTCTGATCAAGCAATGTAACTTTTCCTTTCCAAGCTTCCAAACAAAACTTCCATGGAGCTTGTCCTGTAATGAGTTTGAACTGCCTATAAGAGGCAGAAGTTCTAATGAGAAACACAGGCTTTTAGGGTTTCTATTCTCTCCATGTTCTTTGTTAATCTCGGCTTTCGTCTGAAGTCGGGGAGGATGACGATTCTGATTCTCCGCCCGCCTTGTCCCAGTTTTGCAGGTCGGGTCATCATCTCTCCTACCCAACTCTCATCTCCACCGCAGGGGTAAAGGAAGCCGATGATGACGGCGATGGCGATTGAGGAAAAAGTGTTGTTGGTGCTATTTCAGCAGGTGGCGATGATTGTTGCGTACAAAGCAGAGAATTCTAGTACAAAGCGACGGATGCAGAAACCCTACTTCTTGGACTTGTTCTTCTTGGAAGCGATGGGTTGCGGCGGTAGCTTGAGGTGCTTCTCGGCCTCGAGGGGATTCAACCAGCGGAGAGGGTGCCGATTGAAGCAAGGCCCTCGAGTTGATTTCTAGGGATATCCAAAGGGCCAAATCAGAGTCTGAATTTGGTAGAGAAATTTTGTGACACGGTGGTGTAGCGGAGATAAGGTAGGTGAAATTCCGATAGAGGAAGGTGGGAGACTCACCGTCGTGAAGAACGAAAGAGATCGGCGGCAACGGCAGAGGAATAGTGAGCTACGGCGGCTATCGGAGAGAGCGAATAGATGGGAAAAAGAGTCTGGGGTTTAGTGAAAATAATTTTTTTAATTATTCTGAAATTAAAATGTGACATGGAGGCCAGATTCCATGAAATGGTGTGTTGGTGCTGATGTGGAAGTTGAGGTGGCATCCACATCAGCATTTCGTTGATGATATTGACGTTGTTTTAACGGTGTTAAAGTTTTTAACGGAAATGACTATATTTGTCAAACTTGTTTTAAATTTGTGGCTATTTTAGTGTATTTTTCAAAAAATGGCTATTATTGTAACACCACTAATAGTTATGGATATGAAAGTGTATTTTGTCAAAAAAAAAATTCTAAAAGGTTTGACTTCGTGTCATGGTTACGGTCATTGTAAATAGTTTGTATCTGGATCTTTTTCATTTCTAGATTGAGTGATCTTCTGAAAAAGAAAAAAAAAAGGATTATGTTCATGTTTGTTGTTGCTCTCTACCATGACATGACCAAAGTGTTTTTAGTGACTAAACTGTTAGGTTAGAAGGTTGATCCTTTCTACTGTAATGTAAGCTAGTTATTTATCATTTTATGCGATTGTTTGCGACATTTATTCAGTACCATTGATGGTTAATGTCTAGATAATATACAATTAAAGAATAATTACTAATCTAATTGTATTAGAGCCATAATTTCAAATGGTATCATAGATCAAATAAGTAAGTTATAACAAAACCATATTTACTTTATCCTATACAATGTATTAATAAAAATGTACCTTAGGTATACCAATATTTACGTATTTTAACCCCCAAATGTCACAACCTTCCCATTTATACTTGTCACACTCCATTAACTTTACCTTATCATCTTATTATTATATTTCCTCCCTTAACAACTCACAAGTCCACTAATCCCACCCTTTATTTCTTAATTCTACCCCTAAATCAATTTTTGTTAGGCATGAGTTGCTGACATGCAACACCACCATCTCCTCCCATCTCATCAACTTGCCTCGTCGCAATCTCAAGAAACGGTTTCTTGTGATATGTTGAATACGTCAATTTTGTATAAGGATATCGTACCTATACATTTATATACTTATGTAATACGATAAGTCGCATATCTCTCTATTCTTAAAATCCGCTCATAGTTATACAAAATCAAGTTGCCCGACACTCACTTAATTATCATCGAACACATGTTCTATTCAAGATTTGAAAAATAAGAACTATTATCGGGTAAGTGAAAGTGTGAAACACAAAATTGTTTACAATACGAAGAGACTTTACGATAATCCCGAACCAGGATATATACTTGGCTCATATTCTTCTGGTTTGCAAAGGGTTACCAGATTCCATATCTAGCCAACCACGTCCTAACATAAATTGTGTCCAAATCCATAACGTTTTCCGTTTATCCACATTCAAACGGTAGTTAGGCGCAAAATCAATATTATAACAAGATAAACATTAATTAATTATATTATTATTACCATTTTCCCGCTTGTAACAATGTATCTGGTTTTCTTATAATAGTAACTCAAAAATTTGCCCCGAGTTCATCTTTTGCTCGAACCAAAAATCAATGAACTGCAGCGACCAATCCGCAAAGTTCGATCCTTTCTGAGTTCCCAAAAGAAATTAACCAAATGGGTTGCCGCCAATTCTTCCTCTGCTTAACCCTTTTGTTATTTCTGGTCGCCGGCGACGAAAGTTCCGAGCTTTCGAACGAGCGAGCTGCCCTGCTGGAGTTCAAGTCCGGCGTCGTCAGTTCGCACCCTGTAGACCGCCTGGCGAGCTGGGGAAGTTCCTCTGCTTTACCCGTCTGCAACTGGACGGGAGTGGAGTGCAGCAACAATGCCGGAAATTCCCGCCAGATTGTGCAGATTGATCTCAGTGGAATGTCACTCCACGGCACGATTTCTGCTTCTCTGTCCAACATTTCCTCTCTGTTGGTCCTTGATCTGTCTCACAACTTCTTTCGAGGCAGGATTCCATGGCAGCTGGGCCGGATTCCCCATCTCAAGCAGCTGAGCCTGTCGTGGAACTTGCTGGAAGGCGGGATCCCTCCGGAGTTAGGGTTTCTCAGGGAGCTCGTCTACCTCGATTTGGGCAGCAACAAGCTGTTCGACGAAATTCCTCAACCACTTTTCTGCAACGGGTCTTCGGCTCTGGAGTATGTCGACCTCTCCAACAATTCGTTGTCAGGAGAAATCCCTCTGAAGGGCCACGGCTGCGAGCTTACACGGTTAAGGTTCCTTCTGCTTTGGTCTAACAAGCTCGTGGGGACCATTCCTCCTTCCCTGTCCAAATCGACAGACCTCGAATGGCTGGATGTGGAATCGAATAACCTTACAGGGGAATTGCCGTCAGAGATTGTAAGCAAGATGCCTAAACTGCAGTTTCTGTATCTCTCCTACAACAAGTTCGTCACTCAGGATGGAAACACCAATCTTTCGCCATTTCTGTCTGCTTTGGTTCGTGCTGAAAACTTGCAAGAGCTCGAGCTAGCTGGAAATGGTCTCGGCGGAGAGATCCCTCCTATTATTGGCGATCTCTCGACCAACCTTGTACAGATTCACTTGGATCAGAACCTTCTCTATGGTCCAATCCCACCTCAAATTTCCAACCTTGTCAATTTAACACTCCTGAACCTTTCAGCTAACCTTCTCAATGGCACGATTCCATTGGAGCTTTGTCGAATGGCAAAGCTCGAGCGGCTCTATCTCTCGAATAATTCGATCTCTGGCGAGATCCCAGCAGAGTTTGGCAACTTGCCCCATTTGGGTCTCCTTGACCTGTCGAAGAATGAGCTGTCAGGTTCGATTCCTGACAGCTTTGCAAACCTTTCTCAGTTGAGAAGGCTGCTGCTCTACGAGAACAGGCTGTCGGGTACTATTCCTAGGAGTTTGGGGGAGTGTGTAAATCTGGAGATTCTGGATTTGGCGAGGAATGAGATTTCTGGGGGGATTCCTGGTGAGGTTGCTGGGTTAAGGAGCTTGAAGCTGTACTTGAATTTGTCCGGGAATTATTTGGATGGGGCTCTGCCGTTGGAGCTGAGTAAGATGGATATGGTGCTAGCTATTGATCTGTCGTCGAACAATATCTCCGGTACAATTCCGTCGCAGCTTGGAAGCTGCATTGCTCTGGAGTTTCTGAACCTTTCAGGAAACTCCATGGAAGGTCCTCTTCCTGCTTCTATAGGGAAGCTGCCTTACCTGAAATCACTGGATGTCTCTTCAAACCAGTTGAATGGTTCAATCCCACAGACACTGCAGACATCTCTAACTCTCAAGCAACTCAACTTCTCTTTCAACATGTTCTCGGGCAACATATCGAACAACGGAAGCTTCTCCTCCTTAACCATGGAATCCTTCATGGGAAATCAAGCTCTCTGTGGAACAATCAAAGGAATGCACAGCTGCAAGAAGAAGAAGCATCCCTATAACTCCATCACCATGCCTCTCATTGTCTCACTATTTGCTGTCTTCTCCCTATGCCTATTCGTCTACCGGTCCATTTCCAAGTCCAAGCTCAGAAGCCAGCTGGGCATATTCAGTCGACAGGATGATATGGACTATGACGAGGAGAAAGGGAAGAAGAATGATCACAAGTACCCAAGAATCTCATACAAGCAACTCATCCAAGCAACCGGAGGGTTCAACCCATCAACCCTGATCGGGTCGGGCAGGTTTGGTCAGGTCTACAAGGGAGTTCTTCAGGACAACACAAGGATAGCTGTCAAGGTTTTGGATTCAAAGACAGCAGGGGAAATCAAAGGAGGAAGCTTTAAGAGGGAATGCCAAGTCCTGAGAAGAACGAGGCACAGGAATTTGATCAGGATCATTACGACGTGCAGCAGACCGGGTTTTAATGCTTTGGTTTTCCCTCTGATGACGAATGGTAGCCTGGAGAGGCATCTGTACCCCAGCCATGGTTTGAATCCTGGTTTGAGTTTGGTACAGCTGATTGGGATTTGCCGTGATGTGGCGGAAGGGGTGGCTTACTTGCACCATCACTCGCTAGTTAGAGTTGTGCACTGTGATCTTAAGCCGAGTAATATCCTGCTGGATGATGACATGACTGCTTTGGTCACTGATTTTGGGATATCGAAGCTGGTTAATGGTGTTGATGAGCTGAAGTTGGTTGATGATTCGGTTTCGTTCGAGTCGACTGATGGACTATTGTGTGGTTCGCTCGGCTACATAGCTCCTGGTATGGATCGAATTGATCACCATAGAACTTTTCATTGAATCACATTTCACCATAGAACTAATTTCTCCCATTTTCATGTCAAAATTCAAACTACCAGAGTATGGAATGGGGAAGAGGGCTTCAACCCAAGGAGATGTGTACAGCTTTGGAGTTCTGTTACTTGAGATCATCACAGGAAGGAGGCCAACTGATGTTCTCTTCCATGAAGGTTCAAACTTGCATGAATGGGTGAAGAGCCAGTACCCGCACAAGCTCAGCCCCATTGTTGAACAGGCGATCCTTCGATACGCGGCAATGGCATTGCCTTCATCTCTGAACTCGGTTTGGGAAGATGCAATCCTGGAGATGATCGATTTGGGTCTGATGTGCACCCAATACAACCCTTCAACAAGGCCAACCATGGTGGATGTAGCCCATGAGATGGGTAAGCTCAAGGACTATGTCACTAGTCCTCCTTCGCTGCTGATTCAAGCCACGCAATCTAAACTTGATGCTGCTGCATCATCGATCAAAGCACCGGTTAACTTATGAAGTTTCCTCTGAAAAAAGTCCAGTTACCAGTCTTGTGATATGATGTAATTCATTTGGTTCATTGTTGTTGGTCCCAAGTTTCACTAGAGCTATTCCACCATCAATTTTGTCTGAGTGCTACATTTGTTGTAAATATGCAGATAGGACATTGTTCGATGATTTGGGTTTCGGAAATTTTTTTTACCAAGAAGAAAAGAGTAAGAGGGAAAATGAGTAATCTCACAATGTTAGTGTTGTGGTATATGATCCACGATTGAACCTCTCCCAACAACTCGAGTTATTGGGATCAACTGGTTTATGACATGGTATCAGAGCCTTATGTGATCAAGAGGTCTTGTGTTCGATTCCCGGTGACCCCCATTTGTTAAGCACATGGTATTTTTGTCTTCAAACCTGTGCAAACTTCAAGCCCTTGTGAGTGGTTTTCGTTTGAGGGGGCGCGTTAGTGTTGTGGTATATGTTGCACGATTGAACCTCTACCAACAACTCGAGTTATTGGGATCAACTGGTTTATTACACACAAGACACGAGATGAAAGTGGCTTATTAATTGTGTTATGTCGGTTCAAATTGATTGTGTTTTTATTATAATTTTTTTTTAAGTTACATCTAAGGGTAAGTGGAATATGGACTGGTCTAGAATCATATTGAACTGATATAGTACATACTAAAAAAATAAAGAGAAAATGAGGATTATAACCTGATCAAACAAGCACAAACTCTAATTCAATCTCTATCCTAACCAACATACATGAATATTGGATCTTTGTCTAAGGGAATATAACAATAAATTTCAATCAAATGGGTCATTCACTCGATAGAATATAAAGAGAACTAAATAAGTTTTCAATTTTAGAACATAAAACAGGATTAAATTATACATTATTCTTTTCTAACTCATATATGAATCTCGTCGAATTTAAAATATTATCATATACAATCCTTGTTAAAAATACAAAATCAATATTGAAGAAAATATATAGTCGTATTAATGCTCAAACTTCTCACACAACCCTCCAACACTACATCACCAAAACCTAAAAAATACTCACTTATCGATATCCTGACACGCCAAATATTCTTCTGATTACCCCGTATAATAACAAAATTTTACATTCTGGAACTTACTAGTTGGATCATTCATCCTCACCCCCACCTAACTCCTCAATCTCTTGCCAAAGGGTTACACTTGCAATGTCACTGTCACAAAGGGTTGCCTCACCAGATAAGATTGAAGAGATGAATCGTGGTACCATATTTCTGCCTAACCATATAACAAAAGATGGTCACCTTTTTACACCGTCCAATTGAGTTCTTTATTCCTACAAACATTCCCCTCCTTTATCAGTTGATTAAAACCCTATAAGAAAACCTCAATCAGCCAACCAAACCATTGGCTTTTTCCTCTTTGCTGATGTCTCTCCAATAAACACAATATTTTAGCAGATTGGTGATGTCTGAATCATGGTTCAACTAAGCATGCAAAAACCAACCACAAGCCATCCATGGCTGAGAAACCAATCTCTCTCTCTGTTTCTCTTTAACTGTCCACTTCACTCCTGAAAACCCACACTGCCACCTGCAATTTTGAGCTCAGCAGCATGCTGTGCTGGTTTTCACAGAACCCTCCACTACTGAAGTTCCCCTTTCTGCCTACTTTTGGCCTGTGTACATGATTGGAGCTTGCCTAAACCATTGTTGTCAAGTTTGCCCTAGAGAGCATAGCCTTTTTTGGCTAGCTGCAACTAGGTCAACTTGTGCCCTATGGTTAAGGTTGAGTTGGGAACAGCACCAAAGTCAACTTTGGAGCTTGTTGTGACCTAGAGTAGTATCAGCCATGGAAGATAGGGGAGATGATTTGGGGACTTTTTGAACCCATGATTCTTAAGTATATATGTAGCTTTGGGGGAGATGATGCGGAGCCATTTTAAGGATTCAATTAATTGTAAAAATACACAACTTTTGAAAGTGTGATTGTGAGAAAAATACACAATTAATTATACATTTTTTAGTGAGCTTGAAGATATCCGATTCCAAGACTCGTAACTGAATTCTTTATGTATATTAAAATAATAATGAAAGAAAAATTCATCTTTGAAATGATTGTGAAGTTTGTGACATTTGTGGAAAAACTACATAAACGAACTTTTTTTTAGTTGCTTACTTGGAGAAACACATTCCCTCCCAACACCATGCTCATGGTTATCATCATAAACCTTCCTACCCTTCCCTTTCCTTTTCCTAACTATCACACTAGTGATTATTATAAGCTAAAATGTTAAGATTTGACTTTGCATTTGCCTAGATATGCAATCTTCTAGCAAATGATATTTTCATATTCTATTGTCAGTTAGTTTCATTGGGTTCTAGGCTCAAGATCTTGCACTAGATCACACTGACTTGGAAGAAAGATTTGGAGCTTGGCAGCTATCTATCATAAGGGTGAATCAAGTAAAATGAGTTACCAATAAATTTGATGCTGTAATTTTTTTGAAATTATCACTCAAGTTTGTAATAACTAGCATAATAGTCATTGTGTCTGTTTCTATCGGGATTCGTCTAGCCTATTGTGACAACTCTATTTAAAGAATCGGTAACATAACTAATAGTCATCATATCTATTTCTGTTAGCATTTCGTTAAACTTAGCATGACAATTCAACTGAATGAAAAAACTTCGTAATTCTAAAAAAATTGACGTAACATGCAATTTGAACCCATACCCGAGCTAAAACAAACCCATTAATCCACCCCCTCCAAACTCACGTTACTTAGAAACACCATAAAGCCTTTGTCCCCTTAGCTTAGCACCAATTAAGAACGCCTATATGACCTTCATTTTTATTAATTTGGACGAATCAGAGATGTTGATCTCGACAATTCGGATTACTCAAAATTTGATATGAACACACGTTGGGCAGTAAAATTATTTACCAATAAATTCGATTATTTTATTTCTGTGTGAACTTATCAGTCAAATTTTGAATAATTAACATAAAAATCATCATGTTTTTGTCAAAATTTTGTTCAATTTAGTGTGACAACTCAATTAAATAAACACACTGATCCGTAGTTATTATTAATTATTTGGCATAACCAAGCCATTTTTAACCGATATGGAGCTAAAACAACTCATAATCCACCTAGTCCAAACTCCAAACCCATTAAAACCAACAACCACTAGTTGGGCTTAAAGTGTTTTCGGCCCGTAGTCTGTGAGCTTACCAAAATGGGCTTCTGACCAAAATGAAAACAAAAATAAGTGAGAAAAGCCCTCCCAGGGATTGTAGACCGTTTCCCTATCGGGCACGGAACCCCTGCCTTAACTGCCACGAAACCCAGTCCCCACCCTCTCTATAAATATGGACCAGTCCTTCCTCTATTTTCCACTCGCTCTCTCCCTATGTATAGCAAGAGATTAGAAAGTAAAAGAGCGAGCAAAGCATGTTTTGTAAGGATGCTAGTTTGGTGGATTTGTTGGAACGCAAAATCGCGGCGAGCGATGGAGACGATCTTTCCGGTTTCGATTTCAACAGTTGCGATCCAGAGGATTTGCATTTAGCGGCGGAGGGAAAAGTACACACCTATAGCGACGACGACGAGAGAATGTACGTGTTCGTCAAACGCAAGCCTACAATGTCCATGATTAACAGGAAGACACCAAACAAGCAATGAAGGGGCCATGAAGCGAGCAAGATCGTGATAAACAGTAGAGGAGATGAAGTGGCAGCCAAGGCTTCACTTTCCTATTATTCAGCTAGTGAATGAATGCAGATGATTGCCCACAAATAGTCGAAAAAGTTAAACTACTAACATGCCTTTTTGTTAGTAGATACTAACATGGTTGGATGGAGACCCACGTGGAGGCGGTAGAGATCCAAGGGATGAGCTATGGGTGGTAATTGGGAGAGGAAGGGAATAGAGAATTGGGAGAGCTGGGTCCACCAATTCTTATTCTTTCTCAAGCTCCTCTTTCTCTTCTCTTCCAATGGTAGTGTGATATTAGTTGGCAGATGATTGCATATTAGTTTTTTTTTTAGTTTGTAATTTTGTTTTAAGTCAGTATTTTTGTTTTGAATTAGTATTATGGTTTGTCATGAACTTATAATAGTTTAAGATGGATCGAACATTAGTTTGTAGATAATTATATTCATCCTTAACCAAATAATTATCCAGGGGCCACTAGTTTATATGGTCAGATATTAGTCTGGGCGGTATGGATATTTGTTTTTCATGAACGGATATTATATGCAATGTATATTAGTTTGCGAAGTAATGGATATTGTGTCTTTCATCAAAATTAAACACACTATCAAGTCCTAACACATAAGGCTTGCAACCTTAGTTAGGGCTGCCCGCCGAGGACCATGAACCTAAGGCCTACAAGTATACCACACCGTACAGAAATTCATGGCCTACGAGTATACCACACCGTACAGAAATTTTTGGAAGGAAGGAAACGATGAATCTGTGTAAAACATTGTATCATATTCATGAATGATCACCATTCATAAATAACTCTGATAAGTCCCACCTTCATGGCTTTCTTAGCATCAATGAAACAATTCCAAATCTAATGGTCCATTTAACACATTGCAATAAAAAAAAATGTCATCCAAAGGAAATGGTTAATGGTATCATTGGAGGATGACGTCAAAAATAAAAAATAAAAAATTCTTTTGCGCTACGTGAAAATATACATGTCGCTTAGGGACAGCCCAGTTCCTTGTGGGACACGAAAACCCTAAACACCACCGCCCTAAATAAAGTGCGATGAAGTTTTTCCCCTGCGTCTGATCTCATCAAAATTCTCATGCTTATCAAATTTCTTGAAACTGAAACCATTCGCAGTAGAGAAACGTTCAGAAACCCTTGTCAAACAGAGAGGGCCAATTACATATTTTGTAATTAATTATCCAGTATTGATTGCAGAGCTTACCACCTGCTGCTAAATAACCTCCTAGCTCCGACCAAAACAAAAACCTGTTAGTCACACAAGCACCTGAAACATTTTGGTGAATCATGTATGCATACGAACTGGGTCTTGCAAAGAACTTTGAATGGAAAGATGAATCATGTATGCATACGAGTTTCACTAGGCTACTGATGCATGCTTGGACAATAGGCAAGAACCAAACAACTTGGTGGCTGGCTGTGTAATTTCATTGCATTCCTGATTAAAACAGGACTTTCAAGTAAACAAGATGATTATGAAAGGAAAGAAGTGGTGATTTGTGCTCCAATTTTAGAACAATCAGAATATGAACAATTTTCAAAACACTTGCAGAAAGAAAGGTTTCAATTTGCATAATTGAATTGGAGGAGATTTGGCACCTATAACGGCCAAGATCAATTTCCAAAGCTCCCATCTTTACTGCCACAACGAGGACTGACATGTGTAGTGGTTTGACTCAACTCCATCAGGAACCAAGTTCTTGAACAAAGCTTCAAATCACCTACATCCTAAAGATATGAATAAATTCCCTCGGGAGGGAGTAAACACATCTGTTTTCGAAGTAATATCTGCTGCCATGGATTAAAGTCCATACTCTTCACTACAGACCCTTGATTCATTGCACAAAAATTATTAGGTAGATCATCTAGGAAGGAACCCTAGCATATGCAGTAGGCAGATTATTGACCCAGTAGAATTGAAAAATAGCAACAAGAATGTAGCACTCAATGACATGAAAGAAAGGTAGGAGATCAGTTTCATGGGATGGAAACACATGACAAGCACATCCTAAGTATGAAGGCTATCCCACGCACAATTATAAATGATTCCATTAAACAAGAAACTACCACAAAATACAGTAAACAGGCAACGCACACCTAAAGTTATCAAATGCCAGCAACAGCGTACTTTTCTTAAACAACTCCTCACTAATCGGCAGCAGCCAAGGAAGGTAGGAGATCAGTTTGCAATTACATTGAACTAGAACCCAAGCGTTAACCCTCTAATGTATGGATAGAAGTGGCACTTACTACAATTAGTCAATTAGAATCCATCATGCCAATGAAACTGGAGATGGAGTATATGGAAACAACTTGAAAGAAGTCCAATCTCCTTCAATTTGAAGCTCTGTGGGAATAATATTCCCACTGAGAAGATCAATGACCATGAGCTTTCTGTCGCCACTTCTCTGGAGAAACCCCCTTCCATCCTTCCATATATTCACAGTGACACGCATCCAACTGGTTCAGCTTGACGGAGGACAGTTGCAGCATTCTTTTCTCGTAATCAACGGATATCCAGGTCTCCAAGGAATCTTCATTTATAAACATGACGACCAACAAACCTTTGACCATGGAGAAGGATATCACAGGTGAGGGATCCATCATTACTGGAGATACGAAGCCATACCAGTCATAATCTTCACTGCTCATGTCAAAGCGAGCAAGTTCAAAATCCTCACAGCACCAATGGAACCATCTCCCATCATTGGATGGCACAGAATACGGGATATTGTATGGGCAATGATAGCCGTCCATATCAAGAAGCCTCCATGAATTCATCCTTAGGCTGTACAGCTCTAGAAAGTGCTCATACTCACCACCAATTTCATCATCATCAATGCAAGACATGCATCTTAGGACTTTGTAGTCGTTTGAATTTGGATCAAAACCAAACCCAATGCTCTCCAAGCTCAAGCCATACGGCTTCACACTATCAGTCAGGATGGAATCCGGAAGTACCTTGGTCTGGGCCGTGTTAGGGTTCCACAAAGCAATGGTGGAGATGTCGCCGGCATTGCCATTACATAAGCAGAAAACCCCCTTGCATGCCCAGCGGATTTCATATCCTTCGCCCAAAATAGAGTCCAAACTTTCCTCTGGCGGTTTGCCATCGATGAGACGTAGTGAGCGGAAAGAGTGAAATGAGTGAAGAGTGCGATCGTTGTTCTGACGCTGGATGACAAGCTGTGAATCGTTGTAGAAATCGGAATTCTGGAAGAGAAAGTCGCGCAAGAAATCAGGTTCTGACAGACGATTCTTGTACGACTTGCTGATCCCAGAGGCTGAGCAAAATTTTCTCAACCAATTCCACCGGAAAAGACTTCGGCGGGGCAACCACAAGGTCCAGTTGTTCATCCTCCCTCTTCCTTTTCTTCGACATGTTGTAAACCCCTAAACCCTCGAAGAATTCAAGAAACGAACAAGTGAGAACGAAAATTTCTCCAGTCTTTGATCGAGTAGCAGACTACTCACTTCCAATATTTCTGTTTGTGAAATAAACCGGGTAAACCTTTGTGGGCCGAACAATGAATTATAATTGAATAAAAAAAAGCCCACTCGATTTTATGCTTAGAATTAAAACCGTAGCCCAGCCCAAGCCCAGCTCCACTATTAATAAATTAAAATAGTGCATTCTTCTTCTTCAACCTAGGGATTAGCCGATTAGGTTTTGTTCCTGATCGATTGAGGGGGAGCGAAAGGAGAACAGAGTCGCGACGACAGAGAATATGGCTACTCATCAGGATGCTTACCCGGTGGATTTGCTGGAACGCAGAATCGCTGCCGTGAGCGGCGGAGATGATCTTCCTGGCCTCGATTACAGCTACTACGATCCGGAGGATTTATCGGCGACGGCAAAAGAAGACGTCTCCGTCGACGGCGACGGGACGATGTACATGTTCGTCAAACGCCCGCCTCCGATGACGTTCCTTGACAGGAAGACCGGGAACGGGTATTGGAGGCCCAATGATTCGAGGAAGATGGTCAAAAACAGCAAAGGAGAAGAAGTGGTGAGCAAGGCTTCACTGTCCTTCTACTATCTCAAGCCTACCGATGACGGCAGTGGGATCAATGGTTGTCGCTCCGAGAGGACGCTATGGCGAATGCACGAGTTTGCCTCAGTGGCTGACGAGAGGATCGCGCTGCGCGTGGTGTACAAGAGGGCCTAGGGAGGAGTGCCTCCCCTGTTTTTTTTTTGTTCTTTGGAAGGATCCTCTGTTTCTTTTGTTCTGGTTTTCCTGTGTTGATTTGCTGAAAGTTAGTGTCTTTTATCTGGGGATTGTGGTTATTGTATCTTATTTTACAGCCTAATTCCATCAGAATTTGCTTTGTACTTTGAACACTATGTATGTTGTCACTGGTCGAGACAAGCTAAGAGAGTGAATGCCGTTGTTCTTCATTGATCGCGGCCTGTAAAATGATGAACTGGAAACCAACACCACAGCAAAAACACAGTGTCTCAGCATTCCAGCTCAACAACAGTCAGAAACCAACGACGGAAGTGCACCATAAAAAACCAAGTAGTTATTGGTAATCGAAATCAGTAATGTTGCACGTCAAAAAGCATTACCAACATCCTAGGAGATTGATCATCTGTGAAGTGTATCGCCACTACAACAAACTGCCATAGTACTTGTAGTTATGATTCACAAGGAGAAAACTTTCAAGGTGGTTGCCTTGGAGAACCAGAAAGAGAGGAAGCAGTAGACAAACATACTGTAGAAGGCCTTCAACTGAGGTTGCTGGCCTCGAATGAGCTCAGTTTCTACCTCCAAATGGGGATTCGCCTCTTTGAACGAAGGAAGGTGCGACTCGATGAATGCCCTTTTAACATCAGTTGAGCAAATCAATAACCTCACTTATAGCAGAAGGCAAGAGCCCAGTTTTATGAGATGGAAATACATTACAAGTTCATCCTAATTAAAAAGGCAGGAGCCCAGTATTCAGCATACGAACAACAGGTAGTGATCACCCAGTGTATCAATGAAGACATGAACGTAAGAACTCAGGTCCAGAAGACTGCTTCAATACACATCTGGGTTGAAACATGAAATGCCTACGTACCATTCCAACCATAGGTGACAAAGGAGCAACTGAATTTCCAATGCTCGTTCCAGGATTCAGATAGGCAGCAGCAAAAGTTGGTATTGAGGGGGCCTGTATGAAATATACTTCTGTTTGCAAGCAAGGGAAGAAGGAACTAACGCTGTTGGCATTTTCCAACTTCAGAAACCCTTCTTGCCTTCACAACAGCTGCTTAAGTGGCTATGGAAGCATCAGATGTGCCATTGTCCAGCATTTAACAGCTTAATTCCATAAAATTTGCAAGGACTTTTAACACCATTGTCATTGGTCTAGACAGCTAACGGAATTCCTTCTTCACTGAATCTTAGACAAAGAGAAGCCTGCAAGCAACTTTGCTTGCCGTTCAACAGCAGCAGAGTATTATGTGGCCTGTAAAATGATGGCAAGAAACCAAGACAACAAACACAGAGTGTCGGGGCATTCCAGCTCAACAACAGGACTTCAACAGTCTAACCAGAAACTAGCATCTGCAAATATATGTAACAAACTTGATGTTATCACAACAATCCAGCTTTACTATCACGACTCAAAGACTCGGCTTCAAAATGACAATGACAGTGAAGGACACCACAGAAAGCCTTGTTCTATCAGTGCTATAGGCCATTGTAGTTGAGGAGTGTCCTGAATCATAGTAGTCTTGCTAATTTAGCCAAAAATTTCTGTCCACACTTAGGTGGAAAAGGATCTATCATATATGAAGAATATAATGTGTCGAATCTGAATGATAATCGTGATAAATTGTTGGACTATATGAAACAGGATATTCGTTTGTTAGGTAGTGTGATGCAGAAAGCACAATCTATTTATTTTGGAATAAAGAAAAGAAAGCAAGGATAGAATTGGAATAGAAAGTTAGGCCAAAATCATTTGTTTAATTGTTTACAATCTCTACTTTAATGAGAGATTCTAAATAATTCATTATGAGGGATTGTGAGTGGACCCCAAAAAGGTAATTCATGTATTTGAACCCAAATTAAACCAAAAAAAATAACTTAATCTCCTCAATACATGTATTGGCTAAATCATTCATCTCAAATCCTAACAAACAAACGACCCCTTAGATTTAACCAGATCCAACAACCCATGGTTCAATCCAGAGGATCTGCATTTAGCAACGGAGGGAAAAGTACAGACCTATAAATGACGATGAAGGGAGGACGTACATGTTCGTCAAACGCAAAGCCAACAATGTTCAGGAAGACACCAAACAGGCGATGGAGGGGCCATCAATCGAGCAAGGTCGTCAAAAACAGCAGAGGAGAGGAAGTGGCAACCAAGGCCTCGCTTTCCTTCTGCCATCTCAAGAATACCAATGATAACGGCGGCCATACTCGCTTCCGAGAGGACGACATGGAGAATGCAACAGTTCCGCTCATTCGTTGACCGTACGACGGTGCTCTGCGTGGTATACAAAATAGACTAGAGTGTCTCCTCTGTTTCTTTTGTCCTTTTGTTCGTATTATCTTCAAAATGAGTGAAACTCATCTATCTTTCGTGTTATAGTTTCATAGATAATATACAAAATAGACTAGTGTTTCCTCTGTTTCTTTTATCCTTCTCAATGGCATTAAACATCACTATTTACATTAAAGACATTATTGGTTTTTTTAACTAGTTTTTCGTACGAGAATTGTACCAAATCTACACTGAAAATTGAATCGAATTATAGATGCTCTTAACTGTGATCGGACTGGATTGAAAACAGTTTGGTCTAATTTTAATCCGAGTACCACTGACCGTAATATTAGTTTTCATGTTGGGGACTATTTTTGCATTCTCCCACGCAACCGGAAACCAAATTGAATTGGAGTAAATCCGATTTCCGGTTACAACCGAACAAAGTTGTATGTTACGGTTTCCGGTTGGACCTGAAAACTGAGACTGAATTCCAAAATCCAACCTTAAGTTGTGATCTGCATAAGTTTGAACCAAGCGTGTACCATCAAATTTTTTTTTTTTTTTTTTTTTACTCAAGACGTGAAAATCACATGTTCGCGTCTCGGTTAGCGGGCCCAAGTGAACCAACAACCGCAAAGTGGGCCAAAGTATTTCCAGGCCCGCAGTCACGCAAAACCTATAAGCCCGCTCTCTATGGCCACCACCGCCCTAAATTCAAATTGCGAATGAAGCTTTTCCCCTCTCCATATAAACCCTTCGCTTCCTCTGCGTCTGTACTAGTAATTACTTGGCTTTTGATTCTGCATCGATCGAGAGGGAGCGGAAGGAAGAAAGAAATATGTCTGCTCAGGATGCTTACTCGGTGGATATGCTGGAACGCAAAATCGCGGCCAAGTACGATCCAGAGGGTTTGCCGATGGCAGGATCTTTACTCGGTCTCGGTGGACGTATCCAGGCCGACGGGAGGATGTACAAGTTCGTCAAACAACCGCCTCCTACGCACAAGATCAACCTGAAGACCCCAATCGGGGAATGGAGGCCCCACGGTTCGAGCAAGATCGTCAAGAACAGCAAAGGAGAGGAAGTGGCGACCAAGGCTTCATATTCCTACTACTGTTACACCAGCCGCGGCGCCCAGAGGACGCCATGGGAGAGGCAAGAGTTCGTCGCTTTTGTTGATCAGTCGATCGCGCTCCAAGTGACCTACAAGAACATGAGTGCCTCCCCTGTTTCTTCTATTCTTGAAAGGGATTAGGGCTATGTCTACTTCTAAGTGAAGTGAAGGCAACAAGAAGTTGCTTTGTTTCAGTTAGTTATGTTGATGATTTGCTTAAAGTTCATGTCTTTTTCATCTGGGGTCTTGTTATTTTTCTTATTATGTATGCTTTAGTACGAAGAATGATACACAACAGTGAAGGACACCATAGAAACCTTTGTTCCATCTTCATAAATGAATCCAAAGTAGCACTCTGAGAATATCACACACTATGCTGGTTATTGATTGATAAAAGTGAAATCAGCAATGCTGCACATTGTTCCCACACTAGCCTGGGTGAGAGTTCTCAAGAACTAGGGAAATCGATCCTCTGCAAGGTTATCATCGACACTACAACACAACCATAGTACTTGTAGTTATGATTCCAGTGTCCTATATTGGAACCTAGAACATCGATCACGAGTGCGTTTTGGGGAGATTCTGAGTTCGAGAACTCGAAATGATTCTCTCTGTGGATCAAAACTTCACTGCAGTCGTCCATGTGCCTTGCACACTCGGGTGTTTAGTCACGTGTCTCGTCTTCAGTTTCACCACCTTCCGCCCCAAGGCATTCCTCAGCCGAGTAGCATGCAGCAGTACTTCCTCTGGGGTCATGTTCCTCACACTTACCACTCGGTCGTTGTTGTTCTCTTTTCACACACAAACACAAGGAGAATATTTCCAAGGTGATTGTCTTTGAGAACCAGAAAGAGAGAAAGAGAGGAAGCAGCAAGCAGGCTTACTGTAAAAGGCCTTCAAGTGAGGATGCTGTCCTCGAATGAGCTCAGTTTCAAGCTCCAAATGGGGATTCGCCTCTTTGAACCAAGGAAGGTGCGACTCCATGAATGCCCTTTTAACACCAATCGAGCAAACCAATAAACCCACTTGTACCAAAAGATGAATAGCATAATAGATACCATTCAATTACTAGAACAAAGAAGCTGTGGCAATGAAAATTTGTATCATCCATAATCCGAACAATTCGGCCAAGCCCGTATGACAGCGAGAGAGATAGTTCACCTGATGCTTCTGCTACTTCCACCCCAATCAGAGTAACTCACAACCAGCTTTCTCAGCTGCCAAACACCTCTTAAGGCCATCTGAAACTTTTCACCAAGTCAAATTACTGAAGAGGAAAAGGGCATCCCTTTAACAGAACACGTTCATTTAAATGCCAATACACAAGGATACATGGCACCGATAAACCCAGTAATAGCAAAACAGAGACGCATGAGAAATGATCATCTACGAAGCATTCGATGGGAACAATGAAAACTGAAATCAGAATCACATTCTTCAAACGATTTCACTTTGTAATGAAGAATGGTGCTTCTGGAACACGGAAAGATTAAAATTTTTTGGGGGCTAGGGTTTAACGAATCCATTGATAATTGATAAAGCTGCCAAAATTTGGGTAAGGTATTGAAGTTCTTTCACTGTAGGAGAAGAAGTAAATTAGACAACAGATGCTTGATAATAGAAACTTATTTGTGATCGGTATGGCCAATCGATAGTTACTAGACACTATTCATTGCCACCCAATGATTTGATTCGACATTACAAATTCACCTTCTATGATTCATTACACCACTTATGATAATCCAATCTATTATCGGTTGAAAACATACTTATTTGTCTTCTACGAATGACAAAAAAGTAAACCAACAACATGGTCTATAAATGTGCTCTTGGTGCCTAACCTAGATGAGCCTATTGACGATCTTGCATTGCATAGTTGTTTAACAAACATGTTCTCCACGCTATGGATTGCGACATACACATCTTCGTATTATTATTTTTTTGTCCATCTTTAGTATATTTATTAAGTTTCATCATCACAATTGTGATCAATTCTTGTTTAGTAAGCTCGCATTAACTAGTTGATCTGAAAATATGCCAAAATCTTCGGTTTAGGACCTTAATTCGATTTCCAAATTCGAAACTCATATAGCTTTCACAATGATCCATCATTAATGAAGTCAAAATAGATACTTGGATAAGTTTCTCGAACAACATATATGGTTCCTTCGGGGACATCCGATAAAAATCGGACAATACATATGCCAGCCATCAAGACATACTTGTGAAGCATGAATTGACTCCACAAATAACATATTTGGAAGAAATCCATAATAAAGGAAATAGAACAAGATAAATGAGACCATACAAAAAGGGAAGATTCTAAAAAGGAACTCACATTTCATTACCAAACAAAAGCTGTACAAACCAATTGTGCCAAATCCCTATAGAGAACATGCAACACCTTGTTTACAACAACAACCCAAAACCACAAAACAGATCAGTCATGACCTAATAAATCATATACAAAAGTTAATGCCTTCTGTATGGGGCAAATGTGACCATCACCATCATTCCCTTGTATTATTATCTTCACTACTAAACCCTACTTTCTCACCAGAAACTTGTAGCAAAGCAAACACCTGATGAAGTATGTATGTATGGAAGCCTTTTGATTGCTTCATAGCCAGAAGTATAGCATTGCCTGTGCACATACAGAAACCAACCCATCATTAGGCAGCACTTCCAATTAAGGGGAAGCAACTTCTGACCCAACCCACAAACCCGAACCGTCGAGAAGTGACCCTGTCACACATGATGCCCCCAACATACGTCAAGACTCGACCTGTTTAACCCGCTGACCAAAATGACTCATACCTGTCTGATCCGACGCAAACCCACCCTGTGTGTCGAGATTAGTGTTTTTGGCCGCCAAACCCATTAACCCCGAACCCAACTCATTACAACCAAACATCCATCAAGACCTAACTCGTCGAACCCTCACCCACAATCCGATCCAAACCCGATGAGTCATGTGCCACTCAGTTTCTAATGAACAGCTACAGCTTATGACTTGACCCAGTATGACCCAACTCGAATACCACACATTTACTTCCAGTTACCTGCCAATGGAAAACTTGACTAGTGTGTGAAAAGGACAAGTTGTAAGAGGGGAAGCCATACCTCCTGGAGAACGTCAAGACATGGTTCATCATCTGGGATTCTTTCAGCTTTTCTACTTCTCAGTTCACTCTGTATTCCACTGAGCTGCTCCTGAATAGCCTTCAACAGTTGAGTCTCTTCTTCCTCTGCAATTGGCCCTCCACAAGAAACAATCTCCTGCTGCCTCCCACCAACGTTCCTCTCCCTCTCGAGCCTCTCGATTCTTCGCATCAGCTTCTGGTAATCGGCAGCAGAAACCAACGAATGAGCAACAGCAGTAGCTGGAGGAGGAGGAGGAGGAGGAGGAGGGGGAGGCAAGCCATGGTGATCATCAATGGGTGCATCTTTCGGAGCTTTCTTCTCATTGATTGAACAATGCAACATTGTCTTCACTTGCTCATTACCAATACCATTCCCTTCTCTAAGTTGTGAATACAACGAAGGAGACCATGTTCCACCTCTCCAAATTGTACCCTTGCTTTCGTCATGATCTTTGTTTCTACCGGGGATCTCTTTCAGTCGTTCGTCCAATCTTTTTCTGATCTTTTCCCAGTACGAATTTGCATCTCCGCCGCTCGGAACTACTGCTAATTTCTTCTCCGGTTCACAAATCTCTCGGAATTCAGCTCCCTCATCAATCGTTCTAGCAGTGGTACCATCTTGTTCTCTATCAAAACCTCCTTTCCAGCGAGGCAATGAGTTGAGTCTCCTCACGTTCCCATGGACAAACTTCTCCACCACCAGAGTATCGCTTTTGTGAGACATCAACTGACCTGGTTCATCACTAAGTCCCATGCTAACGAGCCTGTTTCGGTACGACTGAAGCTGGAACTGAAGGGAAGCAATCTCCATCTCCTTCTGAAACATGAGGTCCTCACACAATGCCAGTGCTTCTTCAGCATGACACATCTTCTCCTCCGCCATTCTCTTGTACTGATTCGCTTCCATCTTCAGCACAGACTTCTCCCCTTGCAAGCGCAGGATCATGGACATGGTTTCACTAGCTGCAGTTGCAGCAGCTTCCCTCTCCGCGTCGAGCTCGCGGTAGAGGTCATGCAGGATCTGCTGCTGTGCGTGGAGTGCTTCTCTCAGACTAACCGTGTCATCAACTTCAGCCATGGTTAAAATGGATTTTAAGATCTGATCAACTCACTGATTCTGACTCTTTCTCCATGCTCACACAGTACAGAACAGAGAAGGAATCCCTGGTCACAACATCAAACTCAGTAAATCAGCCAATTGAATCACCCCCAACATTTACTCAATCACATACACAAGCAGAAGGCCAACTGAATAGATTCTTACAAAATTAAAGATGCACAAAGGAAGAGAACTTACCCACCTGAGGAATTGCAGGAGGGAAGAGGAGTCGTCTGAAAATCTGCAAACCCTCTTCGACTGCCAGCAAAATTCTCAGAATCCAACTGAAACCCAGAAGGCAGAAACAAGAAAGGTGGGCACTTTTTGAGGGGTTGGTAGAGACACGAGTATTTTAAGAGCGACCTAGCAAAAGGAAACGGCTTTTTACTTTGTCTTGTAGCTGTTCATTGATTACAGAGGTAACGGTAAGAAGAATTCTGCATAATTTCCCAGGTATAAGAACCCACAAGGAATCCGAAAGAAAGAGAGATAGGTCTTGGATTGCTTTCCTAGAAAGTGGTACAGAGATTAGTGCAAAGGTCGCTGTATAGAAACCTCAACTGAGCAGAGAGAAAAGGAAAAAGAATTTAGCAAACTTGGCTGGCAATTCAAGGAAGAAAATGAATGAATTAGCTAATCAATCAATATTTTAATTAGGCGCGCAATTAAATTAATCAGTGCCATGTGGGTCCAGATTAATTTAATAAACGTTTGGCAAGAAAAGCGGTTAAAAATGGCGGTTTCAACGGCTACTGGGAAGGGGCCACTTCCATCATCATGAACCACGACCATATACAGTGGACTTTGCTGCTACTGCCATTGCCAGCATCCAAAGCTGAGAGAAAACTAGAGATCGAACCCAAATCTAGTTAATACTTTATATGATGGGAAAATTTCACGCTCCATTGTTATTCTCAGGGGCGCTCCAAAGGCACGCTCCATTATGGTTGTACTCTTATGTCCAATTGAAAGCTTCATGATTAATTTCACTAGAGATTGAATTCAGAACATTAAATCAGACAACCAACCGACCAAATCATTATTCATGAACTTTACCCTGTTTGGGGGGAAAAGATACTTAATTGCATCACCAACCAAGTGCAAAAAAGAACCGCGTAAGGCACAGGATTCAACAAGACTGGCCGACCAAAGATTTCTTTTTGTAATTATGAAAAGTTGCATAGTGAAAGAGTCAAACTTGAGCAATTTGAGGAAATATGTAATAGTTTGATTTGACACCATATTTACAGTTTACCATTTCAACGAGCAAGGAGGGGAAGAAACCTTGCATGATCTCAGTTCCAGACGGCAGCAAAAGTAGGTCTTGAAATGTGATCCGAGGCCTATATGAAGAGATCCCAAAAGGGTATCAGTCGATATGAAATCTTACCCTGTACAGCTCTCCATAGACAAGATACAATGAAAACCAGAAAACATTAATGGAGGTCGAAGATGACACCAGATTTACCTTACCAGTTACGAGCAGAATTATGACTGCTACTCTGTTTTTCTCTCTCTCTTCTGCCACCAGAGTTGCTCAGTAACATTACAGAAGCTTTTACTGAGCTAACTGAGTTACCCAAGAAGCTTTTATGGAAGATTTTCTTCTTTAGCAACTGAAGACGCGATGGGGAAGATCAGTATGGTGCAGAGGAAATGGAGATATGTACATATCAGATTGAAGGCATAGGAGCTGCCCATGATTTGCATTTACAGGAGCATTAAATGAGTCATCAAGGAATAGACAATGATATTAGTATTACTGTTATCAGTTGTCTCTGTCTAGAAGGAAGTACAATCTTTTTGCTGATCATCGATTATGCAAACTGTAGAACATAAACCCATGAATTGATTTAGCATGGAGTGTCGAACATGAAGCCTTTCTTCCCTACTCCATTACCTGAATGCTTCCAAATCCTTGGCCTTTTCAATTCCACAGAGACAAATGACCAATGGAAACTTCAATGTTCACCTTAATCTTATTGCGAACCAACCAAATCAAGAAATTCCCTACCATTAACCTACAAACGCCACAAACCAACAACTCAATCTTAGGTTCTCCACGTAGGGTTCTGACCACCAATCCAAACCCTGTCTGGTGCAATGGCAGAGCAATGTAATGTATCATTGCATATGTAATGTATCATAATATTATTACCTTTACTAAAGTCTGCTAAAACCCAATGATAATTCTGACCAACTTCCAGAAAGATCAAACCACTACATATCATTCATGACTTCACTGAGTCTAGCTGCAAAATGTCCCATAATAAGAAACCGAACAAAAATGAAATGTAACGACTGCCAAGAACTGGATCATCATTCTTACTGCGAAATCTTAACTCATCAGAAAGTGAAACCCGTGCACGGAAAATGATAATTCCATTTTGACTAAATCTACAAAGAGACTTTTTCTAAATCGTGAATGAAATAATGTCAAACATCCACAGCAGAATCAAGCTCGGTCATTGTGAAGGAAACGACTTGAAGAAGCTGAACACATAAACCTCCATTGCCAAGTAATGGGCACATAGACTAATTAAAGGAAATTTTCCTTTTACAACACTTTTGTGGCAACTGCCAAGACAACTATTAATAACACAGCTATAATGGAGATTCGTGCCATCAACAATCCACACATGACGATTCTGCTCAACTTTTCTCAAGGCAATAGAAGTTTCAAAAATAAGAATCAAAATTCATCTTGACCATCTGCAGCTTTGCCTCCAAACAAATCTTCAGCATATAAGATGGCAGAACTAGAAACTTCATAAAGTTCCTTCCACTTTTGAATTTCAGGTGCAATTGATTCAATGTTGACACCTTTTGCAGCTAATTCAGTTTGGCAACCTTCCGAACCATCTAAAGCAGAATGAACTTCCAAACTTTTTGCAACATTTCCTAACCCAACAGGGGAGAAGAACACAGCTGCATCATTGTACTGGGAAGCACATAGATCTAATGATGGCTTGATTGATGGGTTGGTAGTTCCATTGTTCCTTAATTCAGTAAAGAGGTTGCCCACAGTTGTTGATTGCTTGTTGGCAATTTCCAGGACAGCTTTAGCTAAGGATTTTATGTCAGTTGCTGATGATGCTTCAGGATAAGATTGCAGAACTTGGGCACACAAATTGGAGTCATTACTTTTCTTGCATACTTGTTCAATTAATTCGGATGGAGAGCTTGCGGTTGGCACTCTAACCGCAGTTGTTTGTGGAAGAAAATGAAAATTGAGGGTGAAAAAGATGGCTGCAATGATCAAAGATGTTCTTTGAGAAGCCATTAGGAAAAGGAAAAGATTGAAAGTATTGTTGATGATCTGAAAGCAGGATATGACTTGTGAGATGAAACTATTATGTGTAGCTTTATTTATAGCAACAGAGGCAGGACTAATTTTAGTTCTTTCTTTTGGTGGGAGAAGGTAAACCCTAATTTTAGTTCTTCTGTTGCATGCATCCTCGTCATTGCTTACCAACTTGTGAGAAAAGAGTGTTTCTGTTTCCGAGGATTGAAAAACAATATCAAAACAAAGAAAAACAGAAACCAATTTACTCACAGTAGAGGAAATACCTCAAGATCAAGACTAATATCAATGTACAACTCTTGCGCCACCAATGTTGTTCATACAATGTTTCCAAATCATCAAAGCTTATACATTCTCATGGAAACCGAAATAAATGTAATCATCATATAGAGGAAAAGAACACACAATTCTTGAAAGCACTATATACATGTATGAACAAGCGATGCTCTAATACTTGCTCTGCAAAATACCCTTTATCTTCTTGCTTTCAGCTCTCAGTTTACAAGGGTGAAATACATATAGAGTCAAGCGATGCTCTGCCAGAGACCTTCAGCAATACAGATTGAATTGCTGTTAGGGCTCCCTTTTGGCCTCTACCAGAAGAGCCAGACCACCGCAGCTCTCAACAACAGCAAAAAGAACAAAAGACTAGCTTTATTGATCTTAGTATTAGTCAGATTCAGATTCTCTTCACGTTTCTAGGCGGCTATGCAGACCATTATTCTAATTTGGACGCACTATCAGAAAGCAAGCATTTTATCATCACAAGAATAAACCATTTTGTGCCACTAAAAGCCAGCTAAATGATATATTCTTTTCAGAAACATGGAGAATTGTAAATGGATCAAATGACAACTGAAGACTTGTAAAGCAGAGAATACTGCTACATATAGCTTTGACGATAAATTATTGAAAAGACCAGACAAGTAAGTTATCACAGCTATTGCATGAAAAAGATTAAGAGTCTAGATTAGAACATACCCAAAGCTTCACACATGCATCAATGACAAAAGGAATGAAGCACATAAAAAAGGTGATAGTGGACTGATCAACGTGAAGCCCATAATGCTGCTGCTCGGCTATTACTTCCAACCATGTCTGCCACCCAGATTCTGAATGGTACCTGGGGAGGTTTATTAGTCACACAAACAAGAGCCCTGATAAGGCATGATTAGAGACAAAGCCCAAGTTTTATAATCAAATATTCTCGTCGAGGCATCATGATAGAGAGCATCATGACAGTTTAAAATAGAAATAGATAGCTAAGCACATAGGAATAAGCTCAAATAACATGGAATCACTTGGTGAAGAAGTTTTTGAAGTTTAGGCTGTTTTGTAAGTTCAAATAGAGTCATATAGCAATAAGCTCAAATAAAATGGAATCACTTGGTGAAGAAGTTTCTGAAGTTGAGGCTGTTTTGTATGCTCAAATAGAATTGAGAAGAAGCTTTTTGAAGTTGACAGGGAAAGTTGGTTAAAAAATGGGTCTTGACAGTCAAGAAGTGAGGCCTTTTTTGTAAGTTCCATTACTTGAGACGAATCAAATACTACCAGTTAAATCCCAATAAGAAGTGTTCACGAGAGAGTAGGAGAAAATACATACTACGTCTGGTGCAGAAGTTCATAGCTGCAGCATTGCCTTTCTGAACAGTCAACACTCCTACATCCCTATTGAATAACACAGAAACCATCTTCAAAGCATCAAAATCAGCATAACAGAGCCACCCACACAAAACACCAGCAAACCAACAAGATTGAAACTTTTTGAGGGATTATCACCTTTCCAGATTCAGAATAGCAAGAAACGATTCAGCACAATGAAAGAAAACCCAGAAATCCAATCATTTGAATTGATTCGAAGGAATAGGAAAGAATCCTACTTTGAGGAGGTGCTTTATGGAGGGGGCAAATCCTATCGCGATTTCCAGACAGCAAAGACCACGAACAACCAGCGAAGAACTAATCTCTGAATCTTTCAGTTTAAGTGAGCTGAGGCGAATTGGAGGGCAATAAGGCGCGAAACCATCACCGTTTCTATTGGAACGGCGGAAGGGAGGGAAAGAACGGAGACGGTCGCTCTCCGGAGAAGCTTCTGGGGCTCTGAACTAACATGGTTGTCAAAATATCGCCGGAAAACAATATATCGACAAAATATCGTAACTATCGCGCTATTTTCTCATATCGTCAATTTCTCTTTCTCGTCAATTTATCGCGTTTCGAATTTGGTTTTGAGGATCCGAAACGTTTCGAGTTTCGGTCTACCTTCCACGTTTTTTCGTTATTTTAACGAGTTTCTCTGTTCCTCTGAAGCAAGGCCCCTCTGGGCCAGCATTTGAATGGGCTGAAAGAGCTAGCTCCTTAGACAACTGTGGATAAGTAAGGCCAAAATGATCAGGCCCAGTTAGAGCTTTTAGGCCTCATCCCTGATTCGGGCCATGTTGGACGGGCCCAACTATCCAACCCTCGGCCCTAAGGGAGAAAGCTGTACAGACGTGCGAAACGGCTAGAAGAAAGAGAAATAGACGGAAGAAACGTAGAAACGCGATACGTTTCGTACATTCAAAACCAAAACCGAAACGTGATAAATTGACGAGAAAGAGAAATTGACGATATACGATATTTTATTAAATATCGCGATATTTTACGATATTTTGTCGATATAGTGTATTCACCCGATATATTGACATTGCGGCCAAAAGAATTCCCAGGAAAAAGGGGAAAAATACATGAAAATACAGAGAATTATGACATTCACCACTAACCATTTTTTTTTTTTTTAACATACCAGTAACCACATCGGAGAAACCAGAGCAAGAGATAGCGGAAAGAAAGGCGTCTACTTGCTTGGGCTTTCGGAAGACCGATTCCCCGGCGATAACCCCGTCGGCGTTGAGTGGTCAGTCCGCCGAGGTGTCTCTCTCTGTTTCTCTGGTTCACTTCGATTAGAATAGTAGTAGGCAGTTGCTTCGAGAGTTTTTCCTCATCGGAGTCCCAATGGATTCTTCTTCTAGTGTGGCAATAAAGTTCAGATCTTTGCCTGTTTCGCCTCTGCTTTTCATTCAATTCAATTCCCTGGCTTTCCCTGTTGAATGTCTGCAGGCGCGGGGGGATTCCGGCCAGCTCCTGACCTCTCTCTCAATAAGAGCCCTGTTTGAATTATGGTAAGCTTTGGTGGACTTTGGCTAAAATTTGAATCTTGGTATTTTGAAATGTTCAATGGTACCAATTTGGTGTGTGTGGTTTTAGGAAGACAGGCAGTGCCAGTTAGCTGTTGGATTTGGGGAAGTTGCATTGAAGAATGTAGCTTTGAGGAATTAGGAGCAATATAGTTAAGTTCACCTGATTGGGGTCCTTGGATAGTTTTCGCCTTTTCGTGGATCGAATTGGGAATGTAGGCATGAGCTTGATGAGCTTGCCAGGATGATATTCTAGGACTTCCAATGAATGGGGACATCTGCTTCATTCATAGAGAGCTGCCAATTCGAGCTTATGGCTTTCGTTGAGTGATTTGTGGTTCTCTTTTGTAGGCTATGTACATTCGGGTTAAGCGGATGAAGACAACGTACTTCATTCAATGTGATCCAACTGAGAAAGTTCTTGAGATTAAGCAGAAACTGAATGTCCTCATTGACCAACCAGTTAATGATCAGAGGCTGACCCATATGCCGTCGGGGGAAGTTTTAGAGGACTCCAAGTCATTGGCTGATCAGAAGGTAGCCCATGATCTCTAATTAATCTTGCTTACGTTGTTCAGATATCTTGCTTACGACATTCAAATAAGGTTTCTGCATTCCATGGCTTCTGTAACAGGTTGAGAATGATGCTGTAGTGGCTCTCACCTTGCGGAAAGGTTGTTGTCTGTACCCTTAGCATACCTCTTGTTAGACTTCTTCTTGTTATATATAGGGGATTTCACCTTTGGCTTTGAGGGACCGGACTTTTGATTGTGTTCGATCCTTTATGGTCCAGATGACAACAAGTTTGAAGAAGTCAACATTGTCCGCCCAGATGATTTCTGCCAGTCTCGTGATGCAGAAGGTGGCAGCTGGTGACCCATCAATGGCTTTTGGCTTTAAAGAACTGCTCGGCTTTCTAATGTGAGGAGTGTAGGTCTAGAGGTGTAGATTTCACATGTGATGCCACAGGCTTGGAGGTTTGTGTGTGTTACCACTTACTTGGAAGGCAAGTTTCTGGTGAGTAAATGAAGCATCAATCATTTAGGAAGTTTATATACTCGAGAGTAGAGCAATGGACAATGTTTTGAGTTGATTGCTAATGAAATCATGGACCTAGAGATACATTTTTATTCACATTTATAGCGTTCATCTCTTTCCTTTTGGCATTGCCCCCGAATGCATTTACTTTCATGATACTCCATGATACTCCCCAAAAATTTAGATTAATTTTGTCAATCTAGGAGCAATACCAATGTAGCGAGAATCAGCTGAAAAACATGCACCCATTTCATAGATGTTTGTTGATATCTTCAGGTGCTCTAATTCCATTGCTTAAGCTCATGATTTGTCGTTAACTCGAAGGATATGGTTTATGGCAGAGATACAGTTGCACTACCATGACGCATTTACACTTGTGTGATGTATCTAGATATCGAGTTGCAACTACATTTCATCTGTCGCTACAATGAGATTGAGATTCTGAATCCTCTTGATTCATTTCCCTTTCTTTTTTTCATTTCTCTATCTTCCATGTGCGTGGTACAAGAACAAAAGGAGCTTACACTTGAAGAAAGAAAGACAGGAGCCAACAAACAGCTCACTGTTGTATGGAGAAAAGAAGAAGAAACATACTGGAGCAAAGAACTCCCTCCTGATTTCAACTCACAAGTGATAAAAACTAATAACAATTTACATTTTTACTGAGATGCGACCGGAGTATACCATCGATTGATGTCATCTCTGCCTGGTGGTGGAGGAAAGTGTCGGTTAGTAATTGAAGTTTGTTCATGGGTTGATATTTGATCAGGACCACCATTGATGGTTTCTTGTAGTCAACATTGCTTGGTTTTCCAGAGCCTGTCTCATTTGTATCAAATGCGTTCTAATGCTGCCCTCTTCTATCTATAAAACCAACAAAACAATTCCAAAAACGAATCAATTGCAAGTAATAAAAAAAAAACTATGTAGGCGCTCGATTCGTTTGAAGTCCGAACTCTCACCTGCATGGCTGCTGTTGATTCCAATAGGGCTTCACATTCAGCAAGCATTGATTTCTCTCGTGCTGCTACGATCGCAAGATCTGTTACAAATCGATTCATTGCTTCCGCCTGCATTGCAAGTAACCCCAACCATATTTTTAATTACACTATTCCAAGGGCTTCATCTGACAAAAATGTGTTCATCATTGAAATGAAATGCTAGAGATTTTGATGGGAAGGGACTGGAGTTAAAGTAGCGTACCTTGGAGAGCAAGTAACATATGGAAGATCCCATTGCCTGCATTACATCGACGGCTGAGCATACAGCAAGCTTTAGGGATTCTATATCCGCCTGGAAGAAAGTTGGGAGGAAACAAAGTTTTGGTAATTCTGGTCCCTAGAAATGTCACACACAAAAAGCCATCTATTTGTTTGCATAAACAAGATGATACCTTTGCTCCTCCAGCCACCGGAAGGCGAAGAGTGCTCGCCTCCAAATCGTCGACAGCTCCTGTTAGAGAGCTGACGTGGTCTCTCTCGAGTAATCCCCAATCATCTAGGTATGCCATCTGCAAGAAAAATAATATGATTCATTCAATCAGTCACAATGTGGAAATAACTAGAGAACTTTTGCAGGCCCAAAAACATGCATTCGATCACGGGATCGTACTTGTTCGCTTAAAATTGCATTTAACTTGAGCTCCAACTTCTGCTGCTGTAGATCGATTCTCTTACTAATTACTGAATCCCACAGCGATATGGTAGTGTTCCATACGTCGTATAGATTTCTCTGCAAACATCAGAACAAGGTCCATGAGAACTTCAAGTGTCACAACAGATCAGAATGCACGAGTTTTCAGCCATGGCTCATAAACAAGTTTAATTCTTTTCCTTGGGTTACTGACACCGATTTGTCAGTAGGAATTAGTGACTGACCCCTTTCTCTCAAAATTCCCTGGCTACGCCTACATCCATTCTAGTCAAGTCTGAATTCTTGAACAAAAAACTTGAGCTCTAAGAAACACAGTCTGTGTAATCTTCACCAGCAAGAAATCTAGTAACTTACCTCAGTGTTCACTTTCTGAACATAAAGAGCAGCCTCTTGTTGAGCATTAGCAAACCTCCACTGCAAGAACCGGTTGTGAAGCAGCCTCAACTGATGTGCATCTTCAATGTAGCTAGCACTCCTCTTCCCCCTCTTGTAATCCGTTATGAAACTTAACACCGAATTTGACCCAAAGGCTGACGATGAAGATGAAGGGCTGGAAACTGCCCCTCGAGAAGGACTAACTCCCCTTGAAGAAGGGGGTGTGGATGGTCTGGTTCGACACGGACTCCCACCTCTACTCCCCAGACCCTTGCTTGGTGAAGCTGGCCTCGAAGATCTAGGGCTAGGCAATGACGAGTGAGTCCTCACCGATGGCAGATACGCCATTCTATCAGGCAAGTTCGCTGAAACCAACTTCTCAGCTCTCGACAACCGTTCCAGAACCTCATCGAACGCCTTCATCCCGGGCTTCTCTTTCTCATTCTCGGGCGAGTACATTCGAGTCGCAGCATCACTAGCTGATTTCTGCAATGGCCTGTCACCACCATCATCAGGTAGTCCTAATGAAGGCATCTTCTTGAGGGTGGAGGTCCCGATTGAAACAACTTGAGGAGTGGCTAAAGCTCTTACTGACTTGATATCATTAAGATCAACACTCTTGTTCATGGACATTGAATTCGCTCTGCCACTAACCCTACTTGGCCATCTATGCTGATCAATCATCTTCGCCGCTCGGAAGCTATGATCTACTACTGCTGCTGCTGCTACTGGTCTAGCATTCTCAGATTGATGATCATGTTGTGATGAAGAAGTAGAATTCCTACCTCTCAGAGGACTCATTTTCCTCTCCGGCGGCGTAGGCTGCTGCTGCTTCCTCGGTTCGACATGTTTCGGAGAAGCTACATTGGACGATGGCTTCAATGTTCGATCAGTTGGCTTCTCTTTCTCCTTCTCCTTCTCCTTCTTGCTGACCGGAATTGAAATGCTATCAGACTGAAATGACACACTGAGGCTTCTCATCGTGGAAGGCCACAAACTCTCCGGCAACCGAGCCCCACCACCACCTGTACTCAGCCTCCGAGTAATCCCAGGCATCACCAGAGCTTCGACGACGGCGGAATCCTTGACCGGTGTGGACGCCGTTCGGGGGGAAATTGGGTTGGGAGATGGCCGCCGGCGCTCGGCGGATTGGGCTCTCTTGGGAGACGATGAAGGGATTACTCTGGCGGCGGGGACATTTGGGGATGGGAACCGGCGCGCGGCGCCGGCGGTGGTGGCAGAAGGAGACGATGGGGTCGGTGATTTGTACCTGGCGTTAACTTCTCTCCTCGGACGGCGAGTGGCGACGGCGGCGGAAGGAGGCGGCGGTGGCGCGTTGCGGTTCCTTTCTGCTGGAGCTAATGGGAGCCGTTTGGCCGAATCCAGAGCTACGCTCTTCCGCGATTCGTAAACGTCCATTCCGATTATTATTTCAACAGCAACTTCCCTTTAATCAGAACCCACATTGATCGGGAAATTTCTTCAAGCTTCCCGCATTGGAACAGAGAAGAATCAAACTTCAGAAAGCTCCTTTTTTTCAGTTCCCGGAAGCAAATCTGCAACAGAAGGAGAGATACCCATCAACAAAAAAGAAGAAAGAGGAGCATCGCCATTAAAGGGGGTAATGAAAAGCAGAGCAGAAAAAAAGATTGCAGCTTTATAGATACCCAGATCTGCAAACGATCAAAACTCCAATTGGGTACCCGAAATTTCGTCGACAAACCGCCCGATCAAGCGATGAAAACCAGAGAAGTGAAACGATTGGCGGCAATGCAGAGGCAGTTTTGGTTTGTGGGCGATGAAGCAGAGAAATGCGGGGAGTGGAAGAAGAACGTGTGGGAAATTAACCGAAAAACTCTTCTTTAGCTTTCTTTGGGGTTGTTTTTTCCGGTTCTGGTAGCAATCAAAATCGCTGGCCTTTGTTGGCTAGCCCAGCAGGAATGGAATGAAAGGTCCCTCTCGAGAAGAAAATGGTGGGGAAGGGGAAGAAGGAAGAGAAGTGACTAACAACTAGCTAGCGACCACTACAAATGCTCTGCTACTTTGGTCAAGGTAAAGTGAAAAAAAGGGAAGAAGAGATGGTGCGTAGGATAATATTAAGTGACGGAACGGAAAGAGAGTGGACATGGAAGAGACCTTCCTTTCTCTTTCTCCTCCTTTTACTTTTTTTTTTTTTCTTACTCTGTTTTTACTTTGTTTTACATCTTCCTTTGTCAATTACTCTGTTTTTATTCCTTTCTTTCTGCCTGCCTGACATACTTTGTAATGTACTCTCTCACGGGCATTCCATGGCTGGCTGGGCTGGCAATTTCTCCAGCTTGAATCTACTACCAACACATAGCAGAATTGCCCACTCTTCCCTGTTCTTTACCCTCTCATTTTGGTTACGAAAAGTCACGTAAACTCGAATTCCGCACCACGTAAGAATTCCACGAACCATTCGGTTAAATGATAGATAAGTTTTCATGTTACTTATAGCTCAATCGCTCTTCCATGTTTCTTGTCTTTTCATTTGGTCACGAAAAATAGAGTAAATCTCGAATCTATCAAGCGTGAAAACAGCACTGGTGTCTTCAACGATAGAAAGGAAGGACTTATTTCTTTGAGTTCTCATTGTTGCATAGTTGACAATGTATAACTCGAGTTAAAAAAATCACGTAAACTGTAAACTCGAATGAAACACTCAATTGAAATCACACAAAGATGAGAAATTACTTGTTCCTTCCCATATTATAAAATCTTCTCTTCCTCCCCAGTCCACAATTAATGGAAAGCAAAAAGCTTTCTATAAATGCTATTAATGGACAAGAAATTTTGATCTTCAATATTTGTCATTCAGTTCATTATCAAAAAATTATTTATCAGTCAGTTACTATCTGTCTCCTACATGGGAGTTTTTCAACTATGAAGTCCCATCACCCCTTCTATCAAATTTAAAAAACAATTTGCTCCATGCTTCTTAGAAAATAAACATTTTGCTCCATAATTCAGCAGCAAAATACTGACAAAGATCACCATTATTGATGAGATTACGAGCTCCTTAATCAAACCCAGAAAACCAAAAAGTTAATCATTAGAACGGCCCAAAAAGTTAAGGCAGGGGGGATGGAATCGAAATTATAATGTGGCGTTTTTTGTTTGTTTTGTTGATTTGGGAAACACAGAAATGATATATTATGGACAAGATTTGAAGTTGCAGAGACTGCAGATGCCATTGTTCTTGAGCAAGACGTGGATGGACCACGTGGAGGAAAGATCATTGTCCATCCCCATGAACTCACAGTGACTGCAATTTCTATTTTTTAAACAAAAGCCCAACAATGGATTCCTCGAAGCATGAAAGATGGGATTAATTTATTTGATTAAGAGCTCTCTGTGATTCAAATACGGACAAATTGTTGAGAGTTCTTTAATTAGGAGGGATGAAAATCGATGAATTAACAATGGGTTTCTGCTTAATTAAGAAATCACCCCCCGCCATTAATGAACTTTTAATGTTTAAATCTCTCTGCCTCTGTTACAGAGGAAAAACAGAGACCGACAGATAGAAGGGTTTCACTAAATTCACCGCAGCTTCTGTTACATTTTTTTAATGTTCAGTTGCTATTTGTTAACTCATGAGTTTGAATTCGAATTCGAATTCAAATTAATCGAGGTAATCGAGGCCGTAGTACTTTAAAGAATTTATACAGAACTTCAAACGGAAATTGATAAGAAGATTTGAAAGAAGTTCAGACCTGGGAATTGGGTGGAAGCTTGGAAAGTTTGTGAATTTGATCGCTGGCGTGTTCGGGTTTGCTTCAATCGTTGGCGAAGACGCAAAGGATTCGAGATCTCGCCGTGAGAAGAGAAGGACGAACAGGGTCGGCGGTGGTTTTTTCGTTTGGAGGGGCGGGGAAAGGATTTTGCGGATACGCCGGCGGCCGGCGGCGATGACGGTGGTTTAGCGATTAGGTTGGAGAGAGAGAGAGAGAGAGAGAGAGAGAGAGAGAGAGAGAGAGAGAGAGAATTGTATTTAGTTTGAATGGAAGATTGGAAGAGGAGAAGGAAGGAAGAGGAGTTAGGGGGCGGAGGTGGACGGTTTTTCAGTTGAGAAGGACGTTATTTTCGCGCCACCTAATTTTTGTTTAATGGAATTAAGTGAGAACATATTAGTAAATTGCTTTTCATTGTGGAATTTATTTTTGGTCCTTTGTTCGTCATAAATATATTAAAGAGACAAAGTTATATCTCCACCAACAAGGCAATCTACCCCTTTAAAATCCAATATAGCTAACACAATTATAAAAATTGTCAATTTCATGCTAAACTGAAAAGAGGTGGTACTTCATTACTCAAATCGAAAGTTTTATAGATCACCCTAAATTCTGTCATCGTTTAGAGATGACACAGATAGGTGATGCTCTCGAAGAAATGGAATTGGAACCTAACATCCTAACTCACAAAAGCCACTTGACACAATCATCTTTAATTATAATCTCAAGAAATTGGAAGAAGACGGAGATGAAAATGGCCATATTTAAATTGTGCCATTAGTACGAAGTCCAATATATGTATTTTGATTCGCCCAGTATATAGAATAGTTCAATGATGCTCCTGTGTTAAACTAATCAGAAAGACATCTATTCAAATCATGATGAAGATTAGTTGTAGCTATAATTATAATTGTAATCAATTAAAGTCACTCTATCAAAAGTCATAATTACATCTTTTCAAGCTCATTCATTCTTATATAAAACACAAAATGATGACATGAGCTCATTCTCTTTACTTTGACAACTTCTCATTGCCTCCATTACAAAAACCCTTTTGGTCGCCAATTTAACATGGACATCATGGACCATGCTTTGATTAAAGTTGAAAGAAGATGATTAGCCTTCATCTTTTGTTGAGAGCATTGGAGGCTATTGCTTTGGCCACATATGTTAAGTGTCCGACTTCCCAAAAACAAACTTATTATAATTAGGGTTTAGTAGAAGAGGGATGGATGATGCTAATATACATTATATAAAAGAAATTATATATATTATTATAGTCATCTTCTTCCAATGGGATAACATGTTTTCTATAACATACAAAAAGGTTTCTTGAAAGCAATAACTACTTGAAGTAAAAGAGTTTGTAATTTCAACTAGATGCTTGAGATGTACATCCATCAAAATGGGAAGGACATGAGATTCAGACGGGAGAAAGGATGTAGCAGTGTATCAGTCGAGTCAATCAAGTTGTTGAATTAGACAATCGATAGATTATGGGCACGAGATTGTTGAAGTGGTTGATTTGTATGCCGATGATCGGCTACACAAGTCGACAAAATCTTTTACTATTAGATCCCCATCTCTTATTCCTTCATTCTCAATTTGCTTGACAGGAAGGTGGGCGGAGCTTAGAGGTGTCGAGATCGATTCCAAGACCCATAACACAATCCAACGAACGCTTCTAAACTCAAACTCGTAAACTAAAGGCTCTTGGGCACACTAGGAGATCCACCTCACATTCCCCATACTTTATATTTGTTCTACCTATGTAACTTACTTCTCAAAATTCTCTTCACTATTTTTTTATCTTATACATTGTGCGTAATTTATATTAATTACTATTATCGTACATTTTTTCTTGACGAAACAGTAACAACCTGATACTAACAAGTAACAACATAGGTCCCGAGGTTCATAGGGATCAACCCTAATTCCCTGGATTTTATCACATACTTTTCTTCAATGTGAACTACTAAAGCTTACTACAAAAAACAAAGACCAAATCAGCTTCAAAAACAAAGAAGTTTAGGATGGAAATTCTCTTACATTTTCCCACGATGAAAACAATGCACATAAATCTAAGTTGATGGTATAGATGTCATTTTTAGTAAGTGTTTTGCCCCTAAGCACAAGGATAAACAATTAAGACAAAATATAATTAATTGTGTTGATATTTCAATGTAGGATTTTGTTTCTTAGTTTGTTTATGTGTCTCAATTTGACTCCATCCTTGTTCTTATCTGCCCTATTTACATTTCCTTGTTTCACACCTAATTGTTGCTTGTTAGGTTTGGTCTTTGTTAGCCAAACTCCACCAAACTCATTTCTTTGACAGGAAAAAAAATATATAAATGTTTCAAATTTTCATCCTAATTAAAAATTATGATTATTTCCCACATCTTTGGAACAAGTTATGGTGGGACAATAAGTAGGGGTGTTCAAATGGTTACCATGTTATAACCAAACCAAATAAGGCTAAATTCCATTAACCATGGAATACAATATCATAACCAAACCGTCCAAACTAATACAACAACCAAACTAAAGTTTAATCGGTTTGGTTAATTGGTTAACCAGATTAACCAATATAAAATCATATTATTATTGATGATGAAAATTTTTTGATTAATGCAACAATTCGCAATTAATATAATGAATAAAACATAACAATCAACACGTAACAAAAATACATGCAACTAAGACAATTATCTTACGATTAGTATAGAAGTATTCACCTAACAAAAATTTATGACAATGATATGGGTTAATGAATAGTTGTGTTTGTGTAAATTGACTTAGTCTCTAGCAATTATCAGAGGCTGGAAATGACATTCCTTTCAAGTTTTCATCCATCATAATGTATGAAATTTATCTAAATTAGGCGTCCATATGTTGTGGTCTACACTTTATATATACAAATATACACTATATGAGCAATATTGAGCTTTATATTTTATATGAGTCTAAAAGGGATGAACGTTAACTCTTGAGTTGTTATGCAAAGTATTTAGTATGTGTATATAATATATGCTACATATATGACTAATTAATTAACTGGTTAATTTGGTTTGACTGGTTAGGAGTGTCTAAAACCAAACCAAACCAAACCACCTAAACCAAACAAGCTAAAAACTTTAACCAAACCAAACCAAATTATCCAAATAGTACCGGTTAAAACGGTTACCACGGTAACCAAACCATTTGAACACCCCTAACAATAAGAAAGACCACTTCATATTTTTGGTATGTTTGTTCTATGCTCCAACCTTGAGATAATTGTCATGTACTCTACCTTCACCTTTTATAAAAATTGCATATAACCACTATTCACAAACCATAAATTGATAATTAATAGTGGGAGAAAGTTCAAACCTTTTTAGAGGATTTAACATGTATATTCGTCAAACTTCGTCTTATTTACATGTGATAAGTGATTGACATGAAATTTGGGTTCATCTGAATGTCGATCAATAAGGTAAAAATAGTGTAAGTGTTTTTTTTCCAATACTAGTTTCAGCTTATCGATGTAGTTTCAAGTAAATTCAAATTACTCGAATTCATGCTTGTCATTCTTTCAACTCAATATGAATATTGGTTTGAACGATGTTTTATATTTGATTGAGAAACTTTTACTATTCTTGAGAGATAGTCAAAACTCTAAATAGACTAGCCCAAAAGTCTAATACAAAGCATTATATCTTAATTTCATTTTTAATCCAATATATGATTAGACATTTTTTATTGTTTCATAAGATATACTTTGACCTTGCAAATGCTGAAGCCTATCAACAAGTTGAATTTTTAAAGGAGAATAGTACTCAAATTTCACTAATGTGACGAACCTCTTAAAAGATTTTGGAATAATTGGTTGTGGGTCTTTCTTCTTTTGAAAAAAAAAGAAATGCATTTCCCACTAACTAGACAGTCTGCGGGGAACAGTTCAGGAACAAATCAGGAATTAGGGTTCCATTTTGATTGATTTTCCCGCCAGATTAATAGTATTGAGAATGATGTCGTATAGCATTTTAGACATATCATGTGGTGATGTTGCTTTGTGCCTCTTTCCCCATTTCTTTTTGTCATGTTAATTGCCCATTTGTTTGCTTAATTATTTTCAGCTCTCATTAGTGAATTTGTGGGGGGGGGGGGGGGGGGGGGGGGGGGGGGGGGGGGGGGGTTAAAATTTGTCTCTTCTTTTAAGTTTTAACATCTAGCTAATTTGATTTGTGAAAAGTTTGATGATTTATGGGCTATCATCTTAAGTCTAGTTAATAGTTCTCTTCTTTTAACCTATTGAATATAGGATGGGTTACCATTGTGGAAGGTAAATGTGAATTTTGTGATATCACACCATACTGATTCGGTTGTACTAGCAGTATTATATAATTCTTTTTACAATTCGTTATACTATAATTATATTATTATTAATATAATTTTTGTTGCACAATTTTGTTATGTTATGGAATCCACAATATCTTGAAATGTTAGTCTCATTGATTTTAAATTTTGATTACGTTTTATAATTCATCGTTCATGTAATTCAGGGTGAATGGTTTAGTAAAGATGAAAAGAGCGAAAATTTCATTTTTTTTAGATGATTACCTACCTAAGACTCGAACATTAATGTGTGTCAATTTTATCCTCTCACTTTAATACAAAACTTACAACGTAAATGACAACAAAGATCGAAAAAAAGACATTTCTTAGATAATACGAATCTTAAGGTTCTATAACTCAATTGGTAAATTATTCATAATATCTCAAGCCCTAGATAGGCAATAGGTGATTAAACTAAGTGAAAAGAACAAAAACCAAACATAATTTCTTCCCCAAGTAGAAGATAGAATTTGAGGGCATGTGCAAATCAATGATTGTGGTCAAGCCCATGCCCAAAAGTTATGCCATGCTCTTGCATTTCTTCATTTTTTTTTCTTCCACCAACATGCCTTTACCTCTTCTACTGTTTTTCTCATATTGATTTAGAACATTCAATTTTTATAATTTTGCCCCAAAGAAGATATGCTCTTGTTGATCTTTGCCCCAAATCTTCTCCCTTGACTGCCCTAGAAGAACTAGAAAACAACTCAATATATATATATTGCATGCAACATTTCAATAATTATTAGTAATGTTAATTATGGATCTAGGGTAGGAAAAAAAAAAGAGAAATTGTATTGATCATAATAAGACATGTTCAATTATTTCTCATACATTCTGCATTTGTCTGGAAACATTGCACCTGCACTTCCCTTGTACTGGATTCAATCAAACTGCAGCATTCTGCTCTCAAGTGAGACATTTGAACCTTGCCTGTTGGATCACAGGATGCATTTTACTAAGGCTATGCTCAGAAATCGTCACGATTCCCATGTGTCGCGTTACAAATTTACAATGATTCGAACACAGAAAAATAATGTAGAAAAGATGAAAGCTTCAAGGGTCTCTTACAGACTTCTAATTACTCAGGCTGCAAAGTGACCAAAAAAAAGCTAGGCTGCCAGCACAGTTTTGGTTAATCTGATCTTTCACTGATTCCATGGCAAAGCTGGGGGTGGTTCCTCTTCCTCATGGGAGATAGAGATTTCTTAAAGCAGCCATGGAAAGGATTCTGAATTCTCTGCAAATGTGGGAAGAAAAGGCAAAGTTGCTGTCTTTCCAGCCATGATCTGGATCTAATTACAGGCTGCAAAGAGGGAAAGCAAAGCAAAAGAGGATTGATTCCCCAATTGCAGGCAAAAGTACTAACCTTTTTCAAAACCAAATTCTAACAGGATGGAAAGGAAGAATACCACAGTGCAGAGAGATAGATACCTCTACACCATGGAGTAGGGCTTCTTCCGAAATGAATCCTGGTAACTGTAAACGAAACACAGTTCGGATTATGTGATAAACTCGAATGCATAAGATTTGGCAGACACCAGAAAGTGAAAAAGAACGGTGAATACAACCCATGGAGATTGGCTTCCTTGACTCCTAACCGATAGCTTGATGATGGTAGCTACTTCAAAATGGTCAGCTGAAATTTTGTCTAAAATTTAAACTGTAGGGAGTAAAATGTCACTATGAAACAAATGTGGTGCTTAAACTTTAAAATTCCCGCCTACTAACAGATTTTTCCGGGAAACCCCTTTTCTCCCTCGAGCCGCCAGTAAGCAGTTAGTAAGATCGAGAGATGGCGGCGGCCGGAGCCGTGACGACGGCGGCGGCCAGTTATGTTCCTCGAACCCGCGATTCTCTCCTCCATCTCCTCTCCAAAGCCGCCACTCTCTCTCACCTCACCGAGCTCCACGCGCAGCTCCTTCACAATGGTTTCCAGAGCGACATTGCTACAACGACAAAGCTCACTCACCGTCTCTTCGATTTCAGCGCCGTCCACCACGCTCGCTCGCTCTTCTTCAGCTTCCCGGAACCTGACAGGTTTCTATGCAACGTTCTCGTCAAGGGATTGGCGAGCAACGAGTCTCCGAGATCCGCGATTGCGGCGTTCAAACGTTTGAGGGAGAGAAAAAGTATCGATCTTGGACCTGATAACTTCACTTACGCCTTCGTCATTCCGGCGGCGGCGAGTGTTGGGGATGTGAAGGTTGGTTTTTCGTTGCACGGGCAGGTGATAGTTGGCGGGTTTTGTTCGGATTTGTTTATTGGGTCTGCGCTTATAGATTTGTATTTCAAGCTCGGGCGGGATGATATGGCAAGGAAGGTGTTCGATGAAATGCCTGAGAGAGATGCAGTTCTGTGTAACACGATGGTGTCAGGCTTGGGGAGAAGCTCTCATTTCGAAGATTCCATAGGGATTTTCAGGCGGATGGTTTCTGGCGATGGACCTAAGGTTGACTGCACCACTGTGATATCAGTTCTGCCTGCTGTTGCAGAGTTGCAGGATATGAGATTGGGATTAGAACTTCATTGTTTGGCAATAAAGATTGGCTTCTATTCTCATGTGTCTGTACTCACCGGCTTGATTTCTTTGTATTCGAAATGCGGGGATATAGGATCAGCAAACCTGCTATTCGGACAGATTGGTAGGAGAGATTTGATATCTTGCAATGCCATGATTGCAGGGTTTACTTGCAACGATGAAACTGAGTCTGCACTGAAATTGTTCAGAGAATTGCTCCAGTCAGGGGAAAAAGTTAATCCAAGCACTATTGTGGGATTGATCCCAGTCCATTCTCCATTTGGTCACTTGCTTCTTACTAATTGCATTCATGATTTCAGCATCAAATCAGGCATGGTCTCCCACCCATCTGTTTCAACTGCATTGACCACAATCTACAGCAGATTAAACGAGATGGACTCTGCTCGAAGAACTTTTGACGAATCATCAGAGAAAACTTTAGCTTCTTGGAATGCGATGATTTCAGGTTACGCTCAGAATGGTTTGACAGAAGCAGCAGTTTCTCTCTTCCAAGAGATGCAAATGTCTAATGTCAGTCCTAATCCTGTCACCATCACAAGTATTCTCTCGGCTTGTGCCCAGCTTGGAGCATTGAGTCTTGGCCAGTGGGTTCATGGTTTGATTAAGAGCAACAAATTTGACTCAAACATCTATGTCTCAACTGCTCTAATCGACATGTATGCAAAGTGTGGCAGCATTGTGGAGGCTCGGAGGTTATTCGACTCGATACCGAATAAAAACGATGTGACTTGGAATGCGATGATTTCTGGGTATGGCCTCCATGGACATGGGCAGGAAGCACTGAAGCTTTTCCATGAGATGGTGAGCTCTGGCACTCCCTTAACCCGGATAACTTTCCTCTCCATACTACACGCTTGCAGTCATTCCGGTTTGGTAAAAGAAGGAGAACAGATTTTCAAGTCAATGAAACGTGACCATGGATTTGAACCGATATCAGAGCATAATGCTTGCATGGTTGACATTCTCGGGCGAGCTGGAAAGTTGAAGGAAGCATTGGACTTCATAGAGGGGATCCCAGGGGACCCTGGAACTCCAATATGGTCAACATTACTCGGCGCTTGCATGGTCCATAAAGATACTAATGTAGCCCGTATGGCTTCTGAGAAGCTCTTCGAATCGGATCCGGGAAATATGGGATACTACGTTCTGATGTCAAATATATACTCATCTGATAAGAACTACCCAGGAGCTGCATTTGTTAGGCAAGTAGCTAAGAAGAGAAACCTCTCAAAGACTCCAGGATGTACTCTGATTGAGATTCATCAGAAACCTCATGTATTCAAGGCGGGCGACTGGTCTCATCCACTATCGAGAGCTATATATGCAGAGCTCGAGAGATTGAATGGAAAGATGAAGGAAGCAGGGTATCAGGCAGAGACTATGACTTCATTGCATGATGTGGAGGAGGAAGAGAAGGAGTTGATGGTGCATGTTCACAGTGAGAAGCTAGCAATTGCTTTTGGTCTATTATCTACTGAGCCAGGAACTGAGATAAGGATCTTCAAGAACCTCCGCATTTGTCTGGACTGCCATACTGCGTCAAAGTATATATCTAGGGTTACTCAGAGAGTTATCGTCGCAAGGGATGCCAATCGATTTCATCGTTTTGAGGATGGTGTGTGCTCTTGTGGAGATTACTGGTGAAAGTTTGTTCAGCATGGCCAAGAAGCCTGAACGGTGGTATTTTTTGGATTTTCCTGCCCTGCCCTGCACTTGACTTGAATATTATTAAAGCTAGTGGTTGTCGAGTTAAGCTTCCGAGTTCTGAATCGGGTTTTAACTTCTATATCTATTACCCAATTGAACATGCAACAGATATGTTCATGCTAGAGAAAGCTTTGCATAACACGACTGCTATCACATTTCTGTTCATTACTTATCCCTGAGGCACTGGAACTGTGCACATGATTTGTTATGCTTATTGCTTTTGGAAGAAGAGAAGAACTGATTTTAAGCAGTTGGCTCAAGGTGTGGAGATATCATCATGACAGCCACTTCACTATCACTCCGACTTCAAGACAAAACTGGGTACATGTTCTATTGCGGCACAAAAATTTCTCACTGTGACTTTATTCCTGTAAGACAAAGTGAAGTGCTTGTGTGAATAAATCTGGCACCAGTATCAAAAGGTTACAGAAAGAGAAGTTTTTCAGCAGTTGATCCCGCATTTCTTGGTGTCAGGACCCTTGGTTTTCATGACGAACGGATCAATCCTAACCCACAACAATGAGAAAATTGAAGCTAAGAGCACAGACCAGATGACTACAATGGTCGGAGTCCTGTTCTGTCTTCCCATAAGACCTTTCAGGAAAGGATAGAGATGAACGATAACCCAGAAGGCAAAGAACAGCTTCCCAAACAGAGGCCCCCATGATTGGTATCCGTTGTTTATGGCATCCGAGACTCCAGCAACAACTCCTACAAGGTTAATGATTAAGATGGTGGTTGGAGGTATGAGGAGGGTCGTCCATTTGAAGGCGTAAAGTTCTCCAAAGTCGTCGTCGTCAGTGGCTTTGGAGGTGACAGTGAAATTCGTATCAATACCGGCCAGAACTTTGAGGAGACCTTGCACAACTGCAAAGAGGTGAGCTGACACACCACCAATGACCCAGAATTGCTCGTTTCTCCACCATTCTTCAATGCTCACTCCACTCCACCGAAGCTCGAGAATACCCGTGGTAAAGATTGAGAGGAAGAGAGCTATGAAGAAGAGACTTGCAAAGGTGCTAATCTGAAATCCAAAGTTTCCGTTTTAGTGACTGTAAATTGTAACATTCTCTTGTTCCAAGTTAAACCATATATAAGAAATCGAACTTATATTTTTTAAAATAGAATTGTTTTGTTACCTCTGGCATGATGAATTTGTCTGTGAGCAGGCAGATGGCTGGAAGAGTACAGTAGGCCAGAAGTGGTAGCGAGGTGAAGGGGTAAACAGTTGTGTTGACATATGCAAATCTCTCAAGCCACTTGAGGTTTCCATCCTTGTATCCATACAAGAGAGGACTATGCCGACTAAAGAAGATTTCAACTGAACCAAGAGCCCATCGAAGCACTTGGTTCAACCGATCGGACAAATTAATGGGTGCTGAACCCTTGAATGCTGGCCTCTTCGGCATACAATAGATGGACCTCCAGCCACGGCAATGCATCTTGAATCCAGTAAGAATATCTTCTGTAATTGAACCATAAATCCAGCCAAGCTGCCAAGAGAAACAAGACAAGAAAGAATGTTATTGTGTTGCTCACAAAAAGAGCAACTTAGCCTGTAGGGAGCAGGGCTATGGACTTTACCTCTGTGCCCCATTCTGTTTTGTCTTCATAGCCACAACTGATAACATGGATGGCTTCTTTGAGCAAGGATGCAGGGCTGGAGGAAGGAGGGACACCTCCTTCTTCCATTAAAGTTGAAGTTACAAAAATGGCTGATTGTCCAAATTTCTTCTCAAAGTTCATATGGGACATCAGCAGCTGTTTATCATCATCCACTCCTGTAAATGGGAAAGAATCCATATCAGAACACAGAAGAGAGAGAAAGAAGCAATACAAAACACCATCAGTAAAGATCCCATTGGTACACCTTCTAAGCTGGCTACTTCTCCATTTGCACCAGGCTTTGCCAGCTTCTTCTTGCGACGTCCAAAGCATGGGCAGCAGTCACAGCTAACCATCTTTGGCCTCTTGGGACCCTTTGGAGGATCATAGCCATACAGAGCTTGCCTCCTGAACACGCATCCTGTACCGACATAAACCGGTCCCTGAATCCCATCCAGTCCTTTCATGTTTATCTGCAGAAGAAAACACAGGTCTGGTTTTCATCCTTTGCACGAAATTATGAGAAAGCTGGAAATGAATAGGTTTCAAGGATCTTTTACATCGAAAAACACAGTGTTTCTGTTGGCATAACGATCATTTCTGTCAATGCCATCGAATCTCTGAGGAAACTGAACATAACAAATTTTCTTTCCAGTCTGGATGTCCATCAAGAAACACATAGCTTCTCTCACGGCCTTGCTGTTGTTTATGTAATGGTCACAATCAAGATTCAGCATGAAAGGAGCATTGGTCAGCACGGCAGAGACTCGAACCTGAAAGATTATACCACAAAGATCAAGAGAGGGCCGTGAAGATTAACCAGAAAAAGTTAGACATGAAGAGTGATATTAGATCATGGTTCTACCATGGCATTCATGGCACCAGCTTTCTTGTGATGTGAAAATCCAGGCCTCTTCTCACGAGATACATAAACCAGGCGAGGTAGTTCATTTCCTTCTACATCATAGCCTCCACTATGACCAAGAAACACTTGGATCATGCCGGGGTGATCCTTTGTGTTGTTTCCAGGCCATGGAGTTCCATCCTGCATGATCCAGCCTTCGGCAGGTACCTTCTGCGCTTTTGATACTATTGCATTGACCCTCACCTTGAACTCTTCGTATTCCCTCTGTCAAAAGCAAGGAAAAAAAGGAGGTCAATAGCTTTACTTGAACAGTTCATGAACTGCTTCAGACAATGAATATCCTCCAAAGATCAGAACTTTTATAAACCTTCATAGCTCGACGTTCCTTCACAAAGTTGGGATGGACTTTGTCCTTCAGGTAATCAACCTTCAGGGAGAAGTAAAACTCAGGTGCTCTGGGCTCTATGCTGTGTCTCTTGCAGAATGGGACCCACTTGCGAGCGAATTCAGCTGTCTCGGACATGGCTTCAAATGTGCACATCGAAGCACCATCGTCGGAGAGGTAGCACGAGAGCTTTTCCACAGGGTAGTCCACAGCCAGGATTGAGAGTAACGTGTTGGCCGTGACAAGTGGAGGTTCCTTCATTGGATCGACTGTACAGACGAATACGTCCACTGGAGCGAGCATGTTTGGTTCACCTTCCCTCTCATACCTGTGAAGGGAAACCGGTGAGTATGACTGTACAAGGATGCATGTATTTGAAATCTGTGTATCGAGTTAATCTGTTGATTGTAAGAATACAATATTGTTTGGAATTCGTTAGTGAATTCAAAATGTTTCCATTTGCAGTGTTTTCTTTTTAATAGATAACAACTATAACTGGAGAGGGGGAGTTCAGATTACAAATGCAATCTTGTATTTGTAAGACACCATCCTATTAGAAATGCTTTCGTTCTCAGAATCCATCTTTTCATTTTAAGTTAAGTTATATGCGGAAAAACGTGATTTTCAGTCTCAAATGCATGCTTTCTCAAAATACATCATATGAAATTTACAGGTTCCAGATGACCCTTAGAATCTTGTGAATTAGTATCAGCTTTTTCTTACCTGAGAGACAGGCGGTCAAGATAGGTCTCTCGATCGATAGGGAACCACTTAGGGAACTGATCGAGAATCCATGAGAAGGCAAACCAGATCTCACAAACGATGGAAGTCAGCCAGAGACCAATAGCATCATGGACAGGGTTCAGAATTCGATAACGAAGGAAGAATGCTAAGATCACCAGACGAGCCACAATAATCATTCTGTAAGGGTTGATCTTGCTCGAAGCAATCGGTACTTTCCTTGAAAGTGGCTGCCTTGCTTCATCGACCCTGCATTTTATCAGCCATGGATTACTTTTGAGCTTCAAATATGACAGAGTATGTTGAATTTTTGTGAATACAGATGTATCTATAATTACATGGATGCATCTATATCATCTTCCTGTTCAGGTCCCAAGTTCCCCTGCTGCAGCTTCCAGTCGTCCATTCTGTCTTTCCATCCGGCTTCTTTCTTCTCATCCCACCTTGCACTCCCTGTTTGTTGTTCTTGCAGGTTTGTATCAGAAATCCTATGCTAATATAGTAGGTCGTTTGAGAATGTAAAGAGCTTATTGCTTACCAGCTTCTGAAACAGGATATGGGTGGATTCTCTTATGGAGTGAAGAAGGTTGATCTCCATATGCTCCAACTGGGAACTCCCCGCTCACCTGAACATCAAACAACAGGAGAATTCACAATCATTGCAACTTAGAACAATTAAAATGGTGAGCAATAACAAGAGTTAGAATGGGCTCCTTTTTCTTGGTTTCATTTACCGGTCTTGATCTAATGCCAGTTATGACAGGAGGGAACTGGCTGTTTTCCTCGTCATCGTGGCCTCTTCCATACGTCATCTTGCCATGAAGCATTGCCTCAGTAAGATGCTTGGTCCTCTCTTGCTCATCTTCGATGTTGAACTCGTGTTCGATATCGTCCACATCCTCTTCATCCTCATCTCCCGGGACCCTGGCGCTCCCTACATAGACACAAATGGTCCTCAGAAGGATAGCTTACATGCGGCAACTCCATGGACGTAAGTACACTAACAGAACCACGTAACTATCGTGTTTTATACGATCGCTCATTCTATGCATTTCCTTCTCAAGAATTTCTATGCATTTACAGAATTCAAATAGTTCAGAAATCCTATTCTCCAGTTTGGCTTACCTCTGAGGCGCTTGTAGCGAGTCTTGCACTGAGGACAGTTCTGAGTGCCTTCCCTTCGTTCATACTCATAGCAAGGCCTGCACACAGGGAACCCACATTCGTCGCAAGCGACGAACAAGTCTCCTTCGACAGTAACCCCAATTTGGTCACCGCATATCTCACAAAATTGTCCATCCAAGTTCTTCAGTGGCTTAATCTGCGAAATGGGAACCAAAACTACTCGAACAAGCAAACCAAGAGAACCAAGTCTTCCCAGAATCGAAACACTGTAAAGTTGGCATCTTTGTTTACCTCTTCGTGTCCATGTATGACGACGAGCTCATTTCGGTTGTGGGAGCCGGCCACCAGTCCAGCATTGGCTTCCATGGCGACTTCGAGGGGGAGCCAGGGAAGTGCGTGGAATGGAGATGAAGATTGTGAGGGGGTGGATATTATCAGAAGGTTTCTTTAAGGCGTGAAAGAGATGTGCGGAATTCTAGCTCCTCACCTAATGTTGGATGAGTTTTTTCAGTTGGTTGCAGAGTCGCCATTGCCGTCAAGTTAAGCTTCCGCTGTTTTTTTTCCATTTTTTCGTTTTATTTTTCTCTCTTTTGGCGCCAACTACCATTTGTTTTCTCTGTTCTCTCATTCTATTCTACTGCTAAGCTCTTTCATACAACGGCTCCTTTCTTACCGTTTCTGTCCATGTCCTGGTAAAGTTTCCAGTCCCATATTTTAAGTGCTACACATATTCAGCCCCTGAAGTCTTACTTTCTAGTTCCAAAATATGAATTGAGAATTGAGATCCTTGTTATGTGAATTTTAATAAAAAAAGCTTCTTCTCTCATTTGTTCATCGAAATGATGGTAAATCTCGAATTCCGTCTATTAAAATGGAGAGTCGCACTTCATACCCCGTAGAAGTGAAAATTTTACTTTAGAAAAGTATAAATAAAAGATACTGGAATATTGAAATAAATGGTTGAGAAAAGGCAACAGAAAAAGAAGGCCCGTAACCCTTCAATACTCATAAATCATATAATGTTCGTCTAGTCGCAAAAGATGGACAAGTTCGAATCAAGTTAAACGAGCCAAATCGAAATTGACCTCCTTACTTTTCCAAATTCGTGTTTTTACGGTCCGGCCAAAGGGGCCAGGTAGGGTCATGGTTGAAGAACCATTTTGCCGTTTCCTTCCTGGTCTTAGATTTGAATCAATCACCCAAATAAGCCTAGATCAAGGAAAGTAGACTTTACCAACAGAAATCGAAATGTTCCCTTTCCAGGCTGTGGAGACGTATTATCAAGGAAAACCAACGTGAATGTAACTGAGAAACCAAAAAGTGCTGAGAGGCCATTTTAACTGGAGATGGAGCAACTTCAAAGCCAAGTCAGTGCTCCCAAACTCTCAACTCACCAAGTCGTTTCGTTTGTTGAGTGAGTTGGAGTCTCCCCATCCAGATGGATCACCTTCTCCTACTCCCCTCTATGTTGACAGCAATGAAACGAATGCATCATTTGAAAGAACGCGCTGATCAACGTGCAACATACATGAAAAGTTTCGATTGCAAGAAATGACACGTTTTCAAATACACCGAACCAAAGCGTTCATCAACAAGGCGTTGAACCGACGAGTCACAAGCTTATGTTGGCACACCTGAACCAAGGCATTTAACATGAACCCAACATTTTGGTGGGAAAAGATTACATTGGCATGTGATATAGATGGTACACAGAGTACATTGATTACATTTCTGAGTCCTATCACTTCGACTAAAAGGAAGGGAGAGTGCCACCAGTTACCATGTTTCTTAATGAACACATTGCAGCGCTGAAAAGCCCCGATGACCCCTCAGCTGTCAGCCACGGAAATCACTATCTGAACAGCAACCCACCACCAAGATACATTATAAGAAGGGAGGGAAGCTTCAAACGCTTTCTATTTATCTCGGCGAAGTTATGCACTTGAACTTGCCATGTTGATCCAAATTGTGCTATGGTACAGTAGCTGTACAGTTCCTGAGTTTTCTACACCCAGCTGATGGATTCGAGGACAACCTTTAGCATCTGCTTCATAGATAAAAACTCTTCCCTACTGTCAACTTACACATTGGCCGACACTTCATTTACAGCAGCTGGCTTATCTTTCTTCTTGGGAGGTTCCTGACCTTTTTGTTGAATAGCCTTATTGGGAACCAAGGTAATGAATATGTTCCTATCCCTCAAATTCTTGCTCTCCTCAGTTGCCAACTGCAAACCGAAAAGACAGACTTTTCAGAGAAATGGATAATAGAGAATAGTAGCATTGTAGGAAAGATTGAATTGAAGTAAAAATGGAAAATTGAAGACCTCCCCAACATCATTCTGGAAACGTCTGAGAAGCTCGATGGCAATGTTTCTGAACTCATTTTCACGACCTTTCAAGTTTACGATCACCTTAACCTGAAAGGAGAGAAGTTTAAAGGACAGCCACTAAGATATCAAGCACATGTGAACTGCATAAACGGGTGAGAATACACCAATCACAATGAGGACCTTATCACCATCTGTCAAAAACTTTCTAGCCGCCTTCAGCCGTACACCATAATCGTGTTGATCAATGCTATAACTGTTAATAAAGTACGCAAAAATAAAAATTAACACCTCCAAGTTGAACCACCCAAAGTTGCTAACATGCTACAGATCGCAAAAGTAAGCATTGATGATTCAACGAACATATCCCAATACCAACATACCCCATCTTAAGCTCCTTTAGATCCATTCGACTCGCTGCATTTACCAGAGGAGACAGACAATTTGGTCAGAAACTCGGAATCAAACCCATGCCGAAGGTTTTATACATCAATCAGAAAAAGCTGCACCATATATCTTATAAGAATAGAGATTCACCTGCACTTTTCTTCTGCTGATCTTTCTTCTTCTTTTGTTGTTCATATCTATATTTGCTGGAAACAAAGAAAAGAGTCATTATTCAATTCAGTTCCTGAACCGATTCACCATATGACTTGTTATGGTCGAGAATTTGGTACATACAGCATGCTCAGCCTCCTTCCCCCTCCCACAAAGGAAACATCTTTACCTTTTCCAACCAGCTATACTTCACAACTTTCAAAGTACACTCAACATTTTAGTCATTAAACTACTTCGACAATAAGGAAACAACCCCTACCCACAGAACGATATTGTAGGTACGAAACTTCATCATAGAGACGAAGAATCCTGACAAAACTCTCAACTCATATTGACATTTCTCCCTCTTGACCAAAACTGTTGAGCACTAGCATAGATGGCACTGTACAACTACTAACTGAAGTCCAAAGTGGGTCTAAATTCTCAAACATAACTAACAGCTTGATGACTCTACAAGCTAAACCTCAATGATACAAAATGAGCAATTTCATCTCATTCATCGAATGAAGTGGGTGGCTGTGGGGGGGGGGGGGGGGGGGGGGGGGGGGGGGGGGCAAATAGCGAAATAGTACATACTTGTAATCCATTATTCGGAGGACCGGAGGATCTGCTTCTGGAGACAACACAACCTACAAACACCACCATAATAAGGATCAAAATGAGGAAAGGTATTCAAGAAATGGAGGAAAAAAAGAAGCTTCTTTTCTCTCAAGGAGGCATTACCAAATCAAGCTCAGCTTCTTCAGCTATCCGAATAGCTTCAGCTTTCGATACCACTCCAACCTACACAGAACCCGTACAAAAAATCCAACAATCACCAAACTTTCTAAGAACAGAATGCAATCCCTACAATTCAAGCAAATGATCAGTGAAAGACTAACCATGTTTTGCTTCTGGTCGATGAGCCTCACCGTAGCCGACCTAGCATATACATAAACACAGTCTTTACACTCACATAACTCTTCCCACATTCTGTACAACCAACAACCTAAGAAGATCGTTTTCAATTTGACAAGCAATTACCGAACTACAGATATGTCAAGAGCCTGCTCATCATCGGGTTCGGTCTGCCTCGAACGTCCGCCCCTGCCGCCGCCTCCCCCTCCGCCGTAACGGGCGGTGACCACGGAGGAGCCGGGGAATGTCCTGGGAGAGGAGACGAGAGACTCTGCTCGGCATAGAGGGGAGCAGTGGAGCCGGAGGCCGAAGAGCTTGGAGTCGAGGGACGATAAAAGAGTGGCCGATTTTCCGGCGGTCGGAAGGGGTGTGAAAGGAAAGCTGCCGGCGCTGGTAATCCCAGCCATGGCTTCCTCGGCGGCGGAGTATTTTCGACCGGCGAGACTGGCGGATGAGCAGCTGCCGAATTTTCTTATCCACAATTTTTTTTTATGATGCCGTCAGTGTAAAAGCGAGCCAGGGAAATTTTCTGATGGTGACTGCGGGCTGGGCTCTTGCTCAGTTTTTAGGCCCATTATTGTGTTTTTAGTCAATTTGGAGGCCCTTTGTTTCTAGCCCATACAGTTCTCATAAAAATTTCATAAAGTTTTTAGCTCGTCTCTACAGAGGACGTTACTTTGGTTCTTCTTCTACAATCTTGGAAGCAGGAACGGGTTCCAATCCTTCATGGGGGTGGCGTAGTGTTCTCTTTGGCCGGGATCTTCTTGCTCGGGGTCTTCGTTGGCAGGTTGGAGATGGTGTTTCCATTCAGGCTCTCTCTGATCCTTGGCTTCCAACCTCTCCACCATCCATTCCTCAAAAACGGTTAGGTGCTCCAACTGCTTTTCCTTTTGTTGCTGCCTTCATTGATCCTGGTTCTAAATCATGGAATGTCCACATGCTGAAATTATATTTTGAGGATGCTACGGTTCGTATGATTCAAGGGATCCCTCTCGCATGCCAAAGAATCACTGACAAACTGATATGGCATTATGAAGCTTCAGGGCAATTTTCTGTAAAATCAGCCTATCATTTGGCGAGTAATTTACAGGGCCGTTCTTATTCATCCAAGCATCAAGCTTCTTTTATGGATCATAGTTTGTGGAATTGGGTTTGGAATAGGAAAGTCCCTCCTAAATTGCTTTTCTTCTTATGGCAGGGTATTCATAGAATCCTTCCTACTAGGGAGGCTTTGGTTGGGAGAGGATTGGACTTAATCCCAATTTGTCCGGTGTGTGGACGAAAAGAAGAAACAATTGAGCATCTTTTTTTTACTTGCTTGGTGGCCCGTAAGTTGTGGAGGTTACTGGGTTTTCAGGAGCTTTGGAGACGGGCGGAGAAACGTTCTTTTACAGGTTTTATCAGAAATACGCTGTGCAAAACTAATAGTTCGGATTTAGATTATGTCATTCTGCAGGTAATTTGTTTGTTCTGGAGGCTATGGAAGAATCGTTGTATGGTGGTTTTTCAATTCAAGCAGCTCTCTCTCGATGTTCTTGCTCATCAATGGTCTCATCAAGTTAAGGAAGTGGAGCAGGCTCTTTTATCTTCTACCCCAGAACCAAGATTGTCAGCTTCGTTGCCTGTGCAGGTCTCGATTGCAACACCAGGGATTCGGGTTACTTTTGATGCTGCTACTTCCAATTGTGGTTTTGGGACGGTTGGTTTTGTTTTCTTTGATTCTATAGGTGGAGTCATTGGGGCTGGAGCTCGGCGGTATGAAGCAATTAGTGATCCCTATGTGTTGGAAGACCTGGGCTCGCGGGATTGTATACTTGATTGCTGCAGACGTGGGCTCCGATCCATATCATTTTGTGGAGATGCGAAATTAATCATTGACAAATGTGTGGCAAGAGATGCAGCGGACAACAAAATTGGTGCCCTGTTGCAGGAGATATTTTTACTCTTGGATGGGATGGATGTGGTTGATATTCAGTTCATTGGTAGAATTCGTAACAGAGCGGCTCATTGTGTAGCCCGTCATGCTCTGCTTTTGTCGCCTCAATTGTTTGCGAGGTTCGACTTCTGTTCTTGGCTTCGTTCTAGGGGAATATAACCCCTTTAGTCCCCTTGTATCTAAACGATTTTCTCTTCTGAAGAGTGATCTAATGGAAAAAAAAAAACTAGACTATTTGTACCCCCAAAAAAAAAACTAGACTATGCTTCTACCCAAAAAAAGGGGGAATTCGACTACCAAAATAGAAGCTCATTTATTTACAAGTTTCTACTAGCTTTTACCCGACCCATTGGTCGGATGATTTTTTATTATTATTTATGATAAGCAATTTATTTGAATTTTTAAATTATTTGGAGTTTTCTAGTTAGTTCGTGTATGGTTTGAAAGTAACTTTTATTATGCTTGTTGTGTGTGACATTCGTGGTAATTAGTTCATAGCCACTTTTCTTGATTTGAAACAGTGGAAGCATTGTTTAAGAAAAAAATCCACTCATTGCCTTATCCGGTATCTTTAATATGATTTTACAATTCTTAATATAAACACATGTTAAATCAGAATTTCGTACATAGTAGTGGGACCTAAAAATTGCAAAGAACTGGAGAAGCTCCCAAGTCCCACAACATTTGATTGCAATTGTGATTCTGGACTTTTGCTTCTCAAGAATTCCATTTCATATAAACTTTTCGTATCAAACCTATGTATTGATGCACTTTTGGGAAATGGAAATCAGTATAATTGAGAGAAACAATAGACAAACCATGAAGCCAAGAATCGTCTAAATCAAACAAAATATAAAAACCAATACAGTTTTCATAACTGAAGGATCATATTCAATGAAGAACGGAATGGTGTTATTATAATGGAAGACCAGCAGGAGAGGACTTAAGTCCGAACAACACCAACAATTCCCATGATAGATTTGATAATGGGGAGTAGGACTGAACATTATAATGCTCAGCTAATGTTAAGTCCTGCTATCTTACATCACAGAGAAAGAGCTCTAGTGTTCACCAACCGGTTCCTTACACCTCAGCACTAAACATAAATATAACAAATTCACTGGACATGGAGGCCCAAAATAAAAACAAAAACTACCAGTCTATAAAATGACCAGATAACTATTACAATGAGCAACCCACCATTGCTCCCTAGCTTGCAGTCTAGCAAGAGGTGCAGATAGGGGTGGCAATTCTCAATCCAATCCACTAACCCTTTAAAAATATCCACTTAATCCAATCCGTTTAAATCCAATCCATTTGATCCAAATCCAATTTGGATTGGTGGATTCATGGAATCAAATCATGGATCCAAATGACAAATTACGGTTTGGTACCTATACTTTTTATATTTTACATTTTGGTACCCAAAATTTAATTTTATACGAAAAATGTCATTGGAAAATTACATTTTGGTACCTAAAAATTTTCATTATGGCATTTTAGTACCTAAACTTTTCACATTTTACATATTGGTACTTGGTTGAGGATGTCATTTGGATTCATGGATAATCCACCAATCCACTTGATCCAATCCATGAATCCACCAATCCATTGGATCTAATCCATTTGATCCATGGATCTACCAATCCAATTCACCAATCCATGAATCAATCCATTTGCCACCTATAGGTGCAGATGTACCACCAGGTTATGCTCATGACGAACTCTCTAGTTAGCTTGTGGTAGTTTGACTTGAGGGTGTCCCACGCCAATGGCACTCCATGATAGTATCTCATCGATGGGGGTACCGGAATATCACATACAGCTGATAATTTCACAACAATTACAACATTAAAGTAAGTCAGGTTGGATTAAAAGATGCGAACAACATATGAAATATTATTTATTGCAGCATAGTTTCAGTTTGCACCCCCAACACAATGTTTAGATAGGGCCTGGGATCGTAGAGCTTACACCTATCATCACCAATCCTAATCACGAAACATTGATTCAATTCGTAGGTGAAGAATATATTCTATAGACCAATTAGCTGAAAAAACAAACGTCAACCCAATGTCGTTGATGAGACCTTAAATTAAAGCAACCAACCATAAAGAAATGGACCAATTTTAGGAGGATAAAAAGGCAAACGGGAATCACCTCATGAAATAGATGTCAAGGTCTCCGCCACCGGTAGCCGCTCTTTCACCAATTTCAAGTGATTGAGTGTTCAAGAATAACGTAAATATACGTTCGGTCAAAACCATCGTTCCATAAACTTGTTGGACCATGTCTATTTTTGGTTCTTGTTTCCATCCTAATCTTTGTTTACATCTCTTTGTTTACAACTTTGAATTGGAAGTGGAAACTCAATTCCTCAATTCTACCGTTCATTGAATGATAAAAATTTATACAACCCCCTTGGTTGTTATTTATGATAACTCAAGCCTAAAACTTGACACAATATACACAAAATTTAGGTAGAAAACACCAAGGTCCTACACTTCAGTCTATATGAACGACGTACACATGACATTGACAAAAGCAAGCAAAGCCAATGAAGTCCATTAAACCACTATTAAAGAAAACGAAGTCCAAAAATCAAAGAATTCTTCTCAGCTAAATCATAACATCCTTATTAATCACCCATATATCCATTTGTCATTGAAATTGAAAAAGAACACCAAACCCAATTAACTTCAAAACAATCACCAAGTCTATTTCTCTGGTGATTCACTTTGCCACACTATCCTTTCCCTGGGTTTGTGATTCCTATAGCTTAACCTATACGATTACTTATGTTGGTAGGACACGATAGGACACCAACATTTGAAATTGATATAGAACATTAGAATAAGAGGATGTGTATAGACAACAAATGCAAAAGGAATAAACAATAGCCATAATTAACAATACTTGCAGAGATGAAGAAGATGGGTAAGGAACCATCTAAAAAGCTTAAGAATGTTGAATATGAAAGAGTAAACAAAGTTGATAATGCAACAACTAACCCCCAAACAAAAACTTGAAGGAGAAAGCAAACTGGTTCCATGAACCCATTCTCGTTTTCAAAGCATTCTAACATACTATCCTACAGACGAAATCGACAAAGACATAGAACGGAATTGAATGGAATTTTTTAAAAGAAACAAAATAGATTAGACATCACATATTGAAGGCTATAAAATATAAGCTGACAAAAGCAGATCAAGCAGTATTGCTGCCTCCATGAGATAGGGATGATGCAAACCAGTCAAAAAATCCCAAAGGAGGAATTAAAAAGGAGGGAAGGGGAGGGAAATTAGGGAACATACCACCAAAGACTGAGAGGAAAGAAAGATCATTGGTCACTTTCTGGATTTCACACTGGATACATGGTCTTTCCAACTCCTCGATCCTACTTAGACGTCTGGTCCAGGGAAAAGAAGTTTTTGGTTGATGATAAAAGAGTAACATGAACAATGAAGCTTAAGTTTGGTGTTCAAGAACTTGGAATAGTAATGATATGGTATAAGACAATAGAAACATACATCCAAACCTGGCAGATCTCACTTGATCATCCACACCCCTCTTAAGTCCCAATGTATCAAATCTATGACCAAGCAAAGGTAAAAATTAAAAACATGAACTTAGAATAATCAACAAATGGGTTGACTGAACAGAGCTCAAAATTTCACAAAATAGCAAACAAACAAAAGAGATAAATAATAAGAGTTGAAATCCCATGATATACCTCATTACTTTTAGAGGATGAGTTCTCCGGCAATATTTTCATCTAATTCTGGCATCTACTTCAATTGATATGTTCTACAATTTCCTTTTTTGCGCTCTGGAAGGAGAATAAGACGACGACGTAAGATGGTCCGACAAAGTAAACAGAAAAAGAGATGGAAGATAATTTTTCCCAGCAATGGAAGAGGGAAATCAGATTTGCAGAAGATTGGAAGACGAAGTGAAAGTGATTCAAGGTTATAGGAGGTAACTGAAGCCTGAAGTGGAAGCCAAAGCATGAAGGGATTCAGGTGGTATGAGTCGTTGAAGGGAAGGCGAATACAAATGCAGCTTACAAACCACTCACCATAATCGAAAAACAGAACCACAGCTCCCAAGTGCAAATCCACCTTGCAAAAGCTACCAATGAAAGCTTCCATAGAAGAACTCTGAATCAGGCAAATAGGTTCACGTGAGAAAGTGAAACCCCAATATTCTTGAACTAAAGAAAGGTAATCTGCGGTTTCCTAACCTCGAACCAATGACTGCCGTAAACATCAACAACCAAAGGCATGTCGAATGCCTGGACATGAATATGTCTCCACATCAACTACGAAGTTAAAAAATGAAAAGCAGCTCAAAGCCACAGAAAGAAATGTCTACAGCAATCTCTAATCAAAGCTGGGGAAAACACCGAAAATCGTGAATGCGCCACAAAGACAACTGGAAATGAATTAACCTCAAATTATGCATCAATCACTGTCGTGGAGACCTACATCCATGGAAACCGAGCTGCCCTATTTCATTCATTTAGTTCCCTTCTACTCACCGCCATGGAAACCTGATCTCACAAAAGTAAAATCAAAACAAAAATACGAAGCTATATCTAAAGCAATCTGTTACCCAGCAACTCCCTCGATGACTTACACGCCACCATCTTTGATTCACAAATATGAGTCATAGTCGTATCAACCATAGCAGCCCAGGGTATTCTTCTATTTTACACAGAAATTCGTCGGTCTGAGTCTTTGAGCAGCGAGGCTTTCTTTTTGGAATGGCGGAGAAAACATAATGGAAATTGGCAGGGAAAGAGGAAAACCGCCGGCGAATGAGCGAAGCAGTGGAGAAGAGGAGATACTGGAAATTAATTTGGGCGACACTTGTATATTGCAGTCATGTCATCCATAGGGAGAAAGGGATCGAGTGATTGAAATTGTGGTTGGTGCTACAACGAATGGGTTTCAGGGAGGAAGGGGAATAGCTAGTACTGTTTGTTGGGAGGCGCACAAAAGAAACCAGCACAACAAAATAGCGTTTACAGAAAGCAGAGAGGGAAACCGCCGGCTGTAATCTCAGACACGTCAGCACACCGAAAAACACTCTAGAGGCAGGATTTTTTGAATGGAGGTGGCAGTTTTAAGTTTCCACTATAAATGATACTGTTGACTAGTGGTGTACTACCACCAGGGTAAAAAAAAACTCTTAAAAAGTGACTAATGATAACTCTTAAGAAGTGAATAATTTCTTGTCATTGGAAGCTAATACGCCCCGGGGGGGGGGGGGTGTATATTACCAAAGTCACGCAGCTAACGACTCAATTGAAGAATCGATTGAGCTCGAATCAAGAACGAAGCGTTCTTAATACGAACTTGGATAAAACGGAACCAAAAGGACAAATCCACACCTGGGGATAGCTCGATTGGTATAAAAGGGTAGTTGCTCGACCACGATTGAAGGGAATATTCAATCGATACAAAGCTCAGCAAGTTTGGAATCCACCAAACCCAAAACAAGTCGCAACTTGCACAAACCAAACGGTTCTCAATTTCGATTAATCAAAGTCTTAGTTTTACAACGAAATAAAAAGCTTAAATAGGCCTAGCTAGGGTTACACACGTCCCATAAACTCCTAATTACAGTCTAATACGAAAAGGAATCAAAAACTACCAAAATAATGAAATCCTAACTAAACAAGAAAAGAAATCTGCCTTTAGCTCCAAGTAACCAAACAGCTTTGATGCCATCTTTGAGCCTCTCGATCAAAGCCTTCCAGGTAAGCTTCCAATCATCCAATGCCATGTCTTTGTAGTAGAACATACCTACTTTCATGTGGTATAAGCCTCTGGACTCGAATCTCATCCATGCTTCTGGAATGGAGCTCCAAAGTAGGCTTCTTGAACACAGTTTCTGCCTTAACCAAATTCTGGCAGTTTTCCAGTTTTGAGGTAGCAACTTTGAGGCCTTGGAAAAAAACCTTAATGACATCATATGGATCCACAAAGCATACCATTGGAAAGATGGAAACTTTATCTGCAAAAAAAACCCTTAACCTTGAATTTCCACCAAGCCAATTGAGAGAACCATGCCGCCAAAGTATGTACCCTGAACACGGATTTAGACTTAGCCAAATTCTGCCTTTCTTCTTTCCAACCTTGATAGCTTCTTTGGCAAGTAATTTTGACTTGTAGAAGTGGCCAATTTGGATCATATCAGGCTCCCCCTCTTCAAAAAGCTTTGCCCTCAAAGCTTGTATGATTTTGAAAGCCAAAATACGACTAGAAGGTGCCCAAAATGGGTCTTCAAAAGTGCATCCCAAACGTTCTTCATTGTTATTCAAATCCTCACTGCCTTCTGCCTTGTTGTTAGTCATGGATGATTTTGTGAGAACTAAAGCATATTGATCCTCCACTTCACTTCCCAGATCAATATCGACGATGATCAACGTTGGAAACGCGGCCAGAACCTTCACGATACTCCCCAGCTTCGCGACGAACTCGGAGAAGTCGTCGAAAGTTGAACGGCAAGGATTCGAGCCTCCAATCTGCAATCTACTGCTCGAATCGGCTTGATCCATCATTGAATTATACTTCTCGATCGATTTCCAGCATCGATTGTTTCTGGAACGCGTCGAATGGTCATCTGGGTTTTTCCCGCCGTCGTAGGAAGTCAAATTCCGGGAAACCAGAATTTTGATTTCAGAATTGGGCGTTTCTGACTCAGGAAGCTCCAAGTCTAATTGCTCCTTCCTACAGCTTCCTGGGATCAACCTTGATGGTTTCGAATCATCTGATTGTGTCGAATCAGCTCCAAACTCCCCAACCCATTCAAGCAATTTCACGTCCAGTTCTGCCGTTTCCAGGGGAGTTTTGCTCCAAATCGAATTCTGCGAATCAGCTGGCTTTGGGTCGAGCTCTTTCATTGTTGTCATTCCTGGGGTTGTGTGGACGGAATCGGCTGCGTTGGTCGAGTTCGACTGTGCCCCTATTGCTCCGACCAGATCACACAATTGTTCATCATGTTCGGACAGTTGCAGAGGTGTTGGAGCTCGATCAGGCTTCTGCAAATCGGTTGAACTCGAGCCTGCCAGTTCAAGGGAAGAGCTTCCCACTGCCGGAGGAAAGGTGTTGGGTTGCGGGTCTGTGATCAACTCGCTTCCCAGATTGCCAGCCAACTCTCCCTCTCTCATACTCTGCTTTGTTGACGGAAAACAGAGGCGCACAACTCCATCGGACAGCTCTTCCTCAACGAGCTTGATCTCCGGCTGCTGCTCCTTATTTGAAACCTCCATCGCCAGCAGCAATTCCTCCTCGCCACGTACTTGTTTCAGCAACGTGGCTTGATCGTCAGCCGCTTCTTCCGGCGAGAGAAACTTCAAAGCAAAACTTGTCCCACAATGGCGCAACCTGATGTGGTTTGTTCTTCTGCTCCGTCGAGCTCCGCGATCGACGTGCCAAGGATTACCCAGCACTATATGAGTTATTTTTAGAGGAACCACGTCACACCGAACCTCATCCTCGTAGCTTCCAATTTTGAAAGGTAAGGTCACCTCCTCTGTTACGAAAACAGAGCTTCCTGTTTCCAGCAATGACACTGAATGAGGAGCTGGATGTTTTCGAGTCGACAGCCCCAATTTAGCCACTGCACGAGAGCTAATCAGGTTTGATTTGCTCTCACCATTGACGTACACGGAACACACCTTCTCTCCCACCAAACAGCGCGTGTACGACGTCAAATTAGCTTGCTCCAATTCGACCACCATGGCCATTGATTTTGCTGCAGAATTCTTCAAAAATCGCCACTGATTTGAACGGGGCTCTGATACCACTTGATACGCCCCTGGGGGGTGTATATTACCAAAGTCACGCAGCTAACGACTCAATCGAAGAATCGATTGAGCTCGAATCAAGAACGAAGCGTTCTTAATACGAACTTGGATAAAACGGAACCAAAAGGACAAATCCATACATGGGGATAGCTCGATTGGTATAAAAGGGTAGTTGCTCGACCACGATTGAAGGGAATATTCAATCGATACAAAGCTCAGCAAGTTTGGAATTCACCAAACCCAAAACAAGTCGCAACTTGCACAAACCAAACGGTTCTCAATTTCGATTAATCAAAGTCTTAGTTTTACAACGAAATAGAAAGCTTAAATAGGCCTAGCTAGGGTTACACACGTCCCATAAACTCCTAATTACAGTCTAATACGAAAAGGAATCAAAAACTACCAAAACAATGAAATCCTAACTAAACAAGAAAAGAAATCTGCCTTTAGCTCCAAGTAACCAAACAGCTTTGATGCCATCTTTGAGCCTCTCGATCAAAGCCTTCCAGGTAAGCTTCCAATCATCCAACGCCATGTCTTTGTAGTAGAACATACCTACTTTCATGTGGTATAAGCCTCTGGACTCGAATCTCATCCATGCTTCTGGAATGGAGCTCCAAAGTAGGCTTCTTGAACACAGTTTCTGCCTTAACCAAATTCTGGCAGTTTTCCAGTTTTGAGGTAGCAACTTTGAGGCCTTGGAAAACAACCTTAATGACATCATCTGGATCCACAAAGCATACCATTGGAAAGATGGAAACTTTATCTGCAAAACAAACCCTTAACCTTGAATTTCCACCAAGCCAATTGAGAGAACCATGCCGTCAAAGTATGTACCCTGAACACGGATTTAGACTTAGCCAAATTCTGCCTTTCTTCTTTCCAACCTTGATAGCTTCTTTGGCAAGTAATTGTGACTTGTAGAAGTGGCCAATTTGGATCATATCAGAAGCGGTAAATGATTGATCACATGGGGTGTTCAATCATAATGAGCTAATGATCGCGTTTATTATAATGAGTTAATGATCGAATCTCACTCTTCATAATTAAACGATGAGTTAGTCAATCACTACATAACTGTTTACGAGTGTCAATAATGAACTGTATTTGCCAACTCCCAATGATCATACACGATCCATTATGATGGGCTAATGAGCTAATTTCTTAGTATGGGTAAAAATTAAATGATTGATCACACATGGCATTCTATTATAATGGGCTAATGATCGAGTTTACTATAATGAGCTAACGATCGAATCTCATACCTCATAATTAAAGGATGAGTTAATCAACCACTACATAATTGTCTATAAGTGTCAATAATGAATTGTATTTGCTAGCTCCCAATGATCATACACGATCTGTTATGATGAGCTTTTTAGTTGAAAATTAAAATTGTGATAAACAAGGTCATAATTTAGCAAATTGGCAAGAACGGTTAGAATTAGTCAGTCTTGTCCACCAAATTGTGTCATGTGTGTTTTATCATAGATTGAATTAGTTATATATATCGTAATAATATGTTCATATCAAGTCCGTAAGAACTCAATTCAACACAACTTGTAAAGTTCTTATTTTCCTGCTAGATTCAGGTGTGATTACTTCAAGTTTGTGTTCGTATAGTGTGGGTAATCATAGTCAGGTCTACTTACTGCCAATGAATCTCCTTCCCCCCATAAGTTTGTTGGTTCTCATTAAGAGAACCCGATAAGTCTTAAAAATCAATTCAATTTCGGTTAAAATAGATAACACAAAACCGAGCCACCACCCCTATATATCACTAAACCTATTGAACCATGTAAGATGGTTCTCATCATCTCTATGTCGTGTAAACAAAACTTCCTATTATATGGACATTGCAAGTGAAAAGAAACGAATCCAAATCGGCAAATTCCGACGACGGTTTGCTGATCACGACGTAAAGCGACGACGACAGATTAGTTGGCGGGCTGCGCCGATGTCGTCGTCATCACCCCAACTAAATCTAACAGCCGGAAAGCCAGCCACAGGCGAGGCGATGAACTAAGCTTATCACTCGCTTCACGTGCGAGAATATTATACCAAATCAAACCATAGATTCTTTGCACGTTGCCAATTGGTTACTGGTTAGTAACTACCACAAGTCTATAATGATGTTACACGTTTAGTTATCTCCACTCTCCACTCTCAAACCAACCCAATGCCTATTATTCCAATAGTAAAAGAACACGGTGTAACGAACATGTTCTTCTTAGAATCGAACCACATTCTGATACGAGGTTTTGACTATCACGAGGTAGTGGCGAGTGCGTGGTACAAAGTATAAACGATACAAATGAACAACTCAAGTCATGATATGATTCTTAGAGCATATTTGATTTTATGGTTCATAACGATTGAACTGTACACTCGACTCAATTTGCAATGCTAGCTTTCATGATGGATATCGTAATATGTTCCAATTCGATATGAAGTTGTAAAACTTTTGTTGTCTTATGCTTTGTTTTTAAATGTGAATATTGCTAAATATGGAAATATCGCAAGAGGTAGGTGAGGTTTTGGAACTCATATTATGATCTTGACATTTACAACAATAACTATTCAAATGACCCAATGTTTATTTTGGCATGTATTAGGTGGTTAATTACAACTTAAGATAGTATTTTATAATTTTCTTTGGATGGTAAAGATATCGGTATTTAATGTTATTCGACAGATTCAACCCGTGTATGCCATAACTGTAACCTTTGCTTAATCATTTTATTTTAGTTGGACATTCAAAAATCATGATAGGTTTCTATAAACACGCAAAGTTATGTTAATCATCGAGCTCACGGCGCTTTCGAGTATAAATTTCATCATCAACGATGAAGGTAAAAGTAAAGGGGTGATTATATGTAATACAATTGAGGCAATGACACAACTATTTCCCTCTCCTAATGATATGGACCAGCAGTATTGAGGTGTCAATAGTAAGGCCAATGAGTTTCTTCTCACGTCTACTACCATCGAATTATCGATTGTGTGTCACAATGTAATTAGGATTGTCCATATAAAGACGCCATAAATCTCCACCCTACCCTTCATTGGTTTGTTAACCATCCGACTTAATATACATTCTTTATAGTGTGAAGATCATTAGGATTATTACTTTTTTCATGTCCAATACATGATTCTTCTTTTGTCATGAATCATGATAGTGGAGTGGATAGAAAATATACAAACTTTTCATCGTACACATCAGGCACAACATGCAAACTTTACAAAAACACACTTAAAAAAGCACGACCCAACCCAACACAAATTGTAATTAATTTAGATGAAACCTCTTGACATCAGATTGTAAATATAACGCCATATGACATCATGTTTATTGCATATACTTATTACCATTATATATTTTATCCAATGTACACAATTTATTTCATCCCCGACCACCTAGGACTTGGAAGTAAGGGGAAAATACTCCTAATCCGAGGTAAAAAAATGTGAAGAGTGAAAATAAACCAAAGTTAAAACCAAATCAAGTCGGAAAGGGCAAAAACAAACCAGAGACAGAGAGAAACAGAGCTTCTTCTCTCTCTTTTAGGGTTTGGGTTGGGCCCTTTTTATCTCCACCGGCCTCCCCTTCTCACAAGTTCCCCTCTTCCATTCTCTTCTCTTCCTCCGCAGAAGAGAGAGAAAACCCACCCCACGAACTACAGAACAAACGACGAACAACGGAAGCCCCCTTCCCCTATCCCGTACCCAATCTCAAGGAAATCTAATTTATCACGGGTTGATTCCACCTGGTTCAGCTGCAAGCTGAATCGAAACACAGCAACAACAAAACACAAGAGGGTGTGTGTGCCTTTCCTTTCATCGGACGACGGAGATTCAATCGAGGTATGCAGCAAGGTGATCAGACGGTGTTGAGCTTGAGGCCTGGTGGTGGTCGTGGAAGCAGCAGACTCTTCAACCAGTCTTCTTCTTCCCCTGCTGGCTCTCTGATTCCTGGCAGCAACAGCAATTCCAACGCTGCCGGTATCGCCTTCGGCGGCGCTTCTGCCCTAAAGGTTCAATCTTTGGCCTTACCCATGTTTGGATCTGGAGCCCCTTTTGCCGTTTCCGTTCGAATTGGATTGCTTCTGTGATTCGGATTGGTGTTTCCGAAGTGTATTGGATCTGGAGTTGTTCATGACTTTGTTTCTTCTTGTTCTGTCTTGTTTTAGAGGTCTCTTCTTTTGGGAGAATCGCATTATCTGGCCTAGAATGAGTTACGTTGGATTGTTGGGCTACTGTGTTCGTGTGCATCCATGTCAGTGGTTGTAAAGTGCAGTTCTTGGACGTATTTTACGAGTGTTTGTGTTGAATTCAGGAGGGAATTGAATCCAATTGAGTATCTTGATGTAACGGTTTCGTGGAGAGGGAGATTTGTCTCTGGTATTTTTAATCACTGGGGTGTCAACCTTAGGTAGCTATTTGGATTTGCAGTTGTAGGCCAATGACAGCTGCTGGCTAAGTGCTGCCGTGGCACCTCAAGCTGGTGCTTTTAGGCGAGTGGAAGTTTAGGCTTATGTTTGAGCGTTATGTAGTTCTTTAGTGTTTCTGTACCAGGCAATTGAATGAAACTGAGTAGTTAGATTTAAGGGTTTCAGATAGATGGAGGATTGTGTTGTCGGTTTGGTGGTGAGGCAAAGGCAACTCGAAGACGTGCTTTATTTACGCTTTTAGGTGGGTGGAAGTTAAGACTTATATATTTGAGTGGAACGTAGTTTACTGAGCGTTGTGTGTTGTTTACCAAGTAAGGAATTGAATCCAACTGAGCAGTTTGATCTAGGGGTCCAAAAAGAGGAAGAATTTCTTGATCATCAGTATATCGAGCTTAGGTATCTTGTATGGATTTGCAGTTACAGGCCAAAGGCTACTGCATTTTGGTGTTTAGTCATTTTAGGCATTCATCTCTTTACTGCTTGTCTTTACTTGTCAAGATATCTAAATTCAGCTATTTTTGATGCAAGTTATTGACTTTGCTCCTTGTTCAGGCTGGTGACTCACGCTTCGAGGCCCGTGAGAGGGTGAAGTATACCAGGGACCAGCTACTGCAGCTTAGAGAGGTATATACATCGTTAATCACTTGGTTATCTCCTTTGCTCTTGTCTTCATCTAGTATAGTGTCTTGTTTGTGGTGGCTGGATAGATATTCCTAATTCTAATTGATTCTGGTAATCAATATGTAATATGTACTATTTAACTATAGGCTGTTGTTTCAATCCCGGATGAGCTCCTGAAAATCAAACGGGAAATTGAAACTGAGCTTTTCGGTGAAGATCAAAGCTGGACTCGTGCAGCAGAAAGTAATGTAAGTCCTTTATCTTGTATCTTACCAATCAGGACGACACTAAAAGCTTGAAAAATATCTATGGTTTTCAAAGCATATGACTGTTTCTTCAAGAAGTTCCTTTTTTGTGTATCCAGCCCCCACCAACTCAGCAACCTCAGGCTCGTTATTCTGAGCCAGACAATCGCGACTGGCGAACCCGTACCACCACCCAAATTCCTGGTCCGACTCCTGTGGAAGAGAGGTCCTGGGACTCGATTAAAGACAGGGACTTTGTACCTCGGAATGACTCCAGGCAGCTCGATGGAAACCAATTCAATCGTCAAGATCAGCCCAATTCCCAATTTGTCCGCCCAAATCAATCGGTAATTATGTCACATATTGTATACTTGTATTAACTTCATTTTCCAAGTTCGGTATACACTCAAAAGATGGAACATAGTTTCTTTTCTCCAAGGATATCACAATCATGACTTTGTTAGAATTGCTAATAGATATTCACTGTTTTCACCTAATGTTAGATGATCTAGCTGTTCTGCTCGAAACTGTCCAATTTGTTTATTTCAAGTTCTGCACTTCAGTTTCCACCAATGTTTGATGTATCATTGCATAACAAATCGGTTTTGACTTTTTTATTTGTTTTGTTGACCAGGGTGGTCCTCCTCCCGCCTTAGTCAAGGCCGAGGTGCCATGGTCAGCTAGGCGAGGCACCCTTTCTGATAAAGATCGCGTTTTGAAGACCGTTAAAGGGTAATCTCCACCAGATCTTATTCCCATTTTTACTCTGCTTCTCTGTTCGGGTTTTCTTCCAATGGAGTGTTGCTCTCTTCTTTTCGTTATTTTCCTTTTTAGCTAATATTACATGGTATCAGGAATACCCCCCCACCATTTGTTCGTAGCTATTAGTCCATGTGGTTTCCTGTTTACTGATTCATATTTGCTGTTGCAGTATTCTCAACAAACTTACCCCAGAAAAGTTTGACCTTCTCAAAGGCCAGCTCATCGACTCAGGCATCACATCAGCCGATATCCTAAAGGTTTGTTTCTCCACCGAGTTCTTCACCATGAAATGTCACAAAACAGCGTTAACTTTTTATTTATCAATGTAAACTTCCTTTGATGCAGGGGGTGATCTCTCTCATATTCGAAAAAGCTGTGCTGGAGCCCACATTCTGCCCCATGTACGCCCAGCTTTGCTTCGATCTCAATGAGAAGCTCCCTCCATTTCCCTCTGATGAGCCCGGTGGCAAAGAAATAACCTTCAAGAGAGTCCTCTTGAACAACTGCCAAGAGGCATTTGAGGGTGCCGATAAGCTGAGGCAAGAACTGAGGGAAATGACAGCTCCTGATCAAGAGCTTGAGCGCAAGGATAAGGAGAGAATGGTCAAGCTTCGTACTCTTGGAAATATTCGCTTGATCGGTGAGCTCTTAAAGCAGAAGATGGTCCCTGAAAAGATTGTTCATCACATTGTTCAGGTTAGTATTACCTTTAACCTTTTTCTTTAGCCAAGTTGGAAATGGTTTTGCGTGTTTTACTTATTCCGGGTTGGGTTGGGGAATGCAGGAGCTACTTGGTCCTGACAACAAGGTCTGTCCCGAAGAAGAAAATGTCGAAGCGATCTGCCAGTTCTTCATCACGATTGGGAAGCAGCTCGACGAGAGCCCCAAATCGCGGCGGATTAACGACGTGTACATGAACCGTTTGAAAGAGCTATCTTCGAATTCTCAGTTGGCTGCTCGCCTGAGGTTCATGGTTAGGGATGTTCTTGATCTCAGATCCAACAACTGGGTTCCCAGGCGTGAGGAGGTAAGCTTTAACTATGTTAGTCTTAATTTTTGCCCACTCTCAGCTCTAGGTTCTGATCATTGAATTCTCATCTCCTCAGGTGAAAGCGAAAACCATTACTGAGATCCATTCGGAGGCTGAGAAGAATCTGGGGTTGCGTCCAGGCAGCATGAGAAACATTAGCCGTGCAGGCGGAGCCGGAGGTGGAGGCATCATCTCTGCTGGGCCCGGCCCTGGTGGCCCTGGTGGTTTCCCCATGAACCGACCGGGGACAGGTGGCATGATGCCTGGAATGCCTGGAGCAAGGAGAATGCCTGGTATGCCTGGCATGGACGCGAATAACTGGGAGATGCCGAGAACCCGATCGATGCCAAGGGGCGAACCCCCGAATGCTCAGCCTCGTACTGTTCAACCACCCCAGATGTTCAATAAGTCGACTTCGATGAACACCAGATTCTTGCCTCAAGGCAGCGGCGGATTCATCAGTGGCAAGAGCAGCGCCCTCCTGCAAGGACTCGGCGGGCCGGCTCCTGTCTCCGAGAAGCCTGCATTCATTGAGAAGCCAGTAGTCACTCCTGCTCCTGTCCCATCCGTCACTCCTACTCCTGTACCATCATCAGCTGGAAAAATTACGATGAATGTCGAAGAGCTGAGGAAAAAGACAGTCTCGATCCTGAAGGAGTACTTCAGTATCCGACTGCTCGGCGAAGCCTTACAGTGCGTCGAGGAGCTCAACTCCCCCGGATACCACTGTGAACTTGTCAAGGAAGCCATAGCCCTTGGGCTCGAAGAGAACCCTCCCTGTGTGGACCCCACGTTCAAGCTCCTCGAGTACCTCTCATCCAAGAAGGTGTTCGCGAGTCGGGACATCTCCACAGGTTGCATGCTCTACGCGACAATGCTGGACGACATTGGGATCGACCTGCCGAGGGCGCCCCCAAACTTCGGGGAGATCGTCGGGAAGCTCATCTTGGCCGGGGTTCTCGACTTCAAGGCGGTGCACGAGATGCTGAAGAAGATGGAGGATGACATGTATCAGAAGTTGGTGCTTGAGGCAGCGGTTAGGACCGTGAAATCGAGCAACCAAGGCATACTGGACTCACAATCGGCTGATGTTGAGGCTTGCCAGAGTTTGTTCTAGTGATGATGATGAATGATTGATGGAAGAACTGGTTCTGTTTTTGTGCTCGGTCTGGAGAAAAAAACTACAAACCCTTTTTATTTGTTACCTTTTTTTTTTTTTTTTTTTTTTGTTGCTGTGAGGCAGGCAAGCAGAAAAGAAACCTTTGTACTATTTTTCATAAGGCGGGTGAAGCCTTCTCTCTTTTGAAGAACAGGTCAAAAAATTTCCTCTATTTTTTTGATAATTTTGTTTTTATTTTTAGTTGTATATTTGCTTCATCTTTTATTCCTTTTTTGCCCCTACCGGAGAAGATGATGATAGGTGTGTTATTTGAGGTCAAAATGGAACCATAAATCCATAATGTGATATGGGATTTTCTTATAAGGAATTTGGTAGTTTCTTTCTTTCTGGATTTGATTTTGTGTTGCCTGTAGCTTTTCTCGTTACTTAGTACTACAATCGAATTGTTCCTTTTAGCGAGTAAGATCTTCGTAGTAAAACCCCGTTCGTATTAATACTGTAATGCATTCCAATCGTGTTTTACTATGGATAATATTTAAGGGTCAATATGATGATCACTAAAGTGGCAAAGTTCTACAGTGCTCTGTGGCCGTACTGTGACGATATCACTCACGATATGTTGAAAGTCTAACACGATTCTAGAGATTACAAGTTTTTTTTTTTTTTTGCCATTCAACAGATCTCAAACGGGATGGAGATAAGATTACAAGTTTACAACGGCCAAATTGACGAAATGACAACTGGGAATTGGGCCGCCTTTCTTTCATGGGCTATAGGTTCAAACAGAGATAGTCGGCCCAAAATTACCTTCAGCCCAGCCTTTACTTTAGCTAGGGCGGCATGAGAGAAGAGAACCAAAAAACATGACAAAAAAAAATGGAGTTTCGAAAGGCAGGCAGAGAGTTCCCGCCCGATTTTCGAACTCTCCAGAGAATGGCCGCTGGCGAGCCGACGGCGAACGCATCATCGTCGACCGAGGAACAACTAAAGCTCGCCGTAGTCGTATCTTTTCTCCGGTCGAAGCTCCTCCACAAACAACTACCTAGCCAGCCGCCACAGCCGCCGGATTCTTCTTCCGGCTCCGACGTCCTTCGCTGGAAGCGTAAGGTACTCTCTCTCTCGATGAACTTTTGATTTCGGTCATTTCCTGCGATCTGGTTCTGTTTCCTCATTTGATTGGGTGTTGGTGGTGGACTCGGGGCTTTTGATTAGGCGAAGGATCGGAAACAGGAGATTGCCCGATTGAGAGAGAGGATCTCAAGGAAGCCGAAGGTTTTTTCCTGATTTCCTGCTTTCATCTTCCTTCATCTGGAGAGAAATTCCAGCTCGAAAATCCCTGAGTCGAGAATGTCTGCTTTGGTTTGGTACTTTTTTAGATGCTTCTTCTCAGTGTGATTTGTTTCCCCAAACCGCCGTGCTACTTCTTTGACCATGTGGGGAAATTACGATTCGAGGACGCCGGAGATGGCTCCGTTTCTAGATTCAACGATGTCCTCCGTCGCAGGTTCTTCAGACAAGGTCTTAAATTCTCGCTATGCGCTCATTTGATTGCTATACTTCTTGTTTGTTTGCCCTCATTTGATTGCTGTTGCCTATTTGCTGCAGTGAGAATGAGAAGCACATGCGGCGAAATAGGGACGATCCAAGTCTTAGATTGCGGTTTCCAGGTACCCGTCCTCAATTTCGATTAGCTCGAATTGCCAGTTGTAAGATTATGGAAAATGTTTATTGAGGGTTTGTGCATGATTGCAGAGTTGAGCAGTGAAAATGAAGTGGATCAGCTTAGGGCTTCCGTTGATTTCCTTGTGGAGCTCTGTGCTTCTCCTGTATGAATGAGTTTTGCTTATTGCTTGATATAGACTTCAGATCTTTCTCATTTCCTAGATATGAACTTGTTCATGGTTGATTCCACTCTAGGTATGAATGGGGCTCAGTGCATATCTTATCTCTGAAATTGCAGATGGAGGAGGCCAATTTCGCTAACTGGTCTCACCAGGCTGTTGATTCGTTCTCTGAGATCTTAGGGAAGGGCAAGTCACACGCCTGTGTTCGTTCTTGCGCGTGCAGACTCCATTAGAAAGATCTTATCAGTGGGGGAGAACATGGAACGAGCTGAAGGCATCGTTAACAGCCTAATTGTTCGCTTGCTGAGAAGGATATGTTGCCCTTCCACATCGAGATGGTACCTTCTTCTTGGCTTGCATTTCTGGGTTTCTATCATGTCTTGATCACTCACCAGTCATCTATTATCCTATTGCAGACTCCCATCGTGTCGCGCCATTGATCACCGGTCTCAACTCCAGCACTTGCTGCGTAAGCTGGGAAGTGAACCTTACAATGGACAGCGCACACTTCTTTCAGTCTGCGAAAGGGTATCCACAACAGCATAGAATTTTCTCTGTATCGATCCATTCGACGACGCATTCCCAAACATTCACCAGTCTCTATTCATTATGTACACTCCATTCTACCCTTCAAAATCCTCTTATCCAATTTTGCGCAAGCATATTCTTCACTGCTCAAAAGAAGTGGCATTGCTATACCAATGCAATAACTCTGTTGTTTGTGACAGGATCCAGCTGATTGAGTTTCTGGTCTCGGATCACTTGCAGGCATGGTCGAGTACAGACCGATTCAACAATGGTAGACAATACATTATCCTCCCCAACCATAACTATTCCAATTTCGACGAATAGGGAGTGAACAAACTCATGATGCCATTGACGCAGGGCTGATGGAAGGGTGGGTGGCATCCATCCTTTCTCCACGCCAGGAAAGCGCTGCAGCTTCTGGAGCGCAGGCACGGGCTCTCTACGTGGATCGAGTTGCCAACGAACTGGCGAAGCAAGTCTGTCGAGATTCGTCATTCCAGAAGCTCAACCATCAGCTCCTTGATGATCTATTCAACTAACATGGGAAAGCTACTGCTCTGCCATACCACATGTGGTAGCAGGATGTGGAACTGTCTCTTTAGAGGATCTTTGACATAAGAAAGCAAAGCTGGCTTGTAAAGAACATATTCTTGCCTTAGTTCTTTGCCGTCCTAATTATGCTATTATTTCTGCATTGTCAATTCATCCACTCAAAGTAGCAGATTCTTGCCTGTTGGCCCTGGAAAGCAAAAGCAAGCATGTGATTGATTTGTCAAAACAAACAATTTTTTTTTATAGTTCTCTTCTGTTCTCCTCTCTTTAGATTCTCAAGTTACTTATTTTAGTAGTAAGATGAACAAATGGATGTCATTTGGCTCGATTCCATGTTATTAGGTTGAGTGCATCTCTACTTGAATTGTATCTGTAAAGTGAAAATGATATGTGGAACTCACTTATATAGAGTGACTTTCCGAATATTTCGTACCTCCAAGTGTAAATTGAAATCATTCCGAATATAGAGTGTCATCTCACTTGTCCAACGATATGAAGAATTTGGAATTGCACTCTGTAAAAATGGGATCACATAGTCGCATTGAACTAAATAATTGCTTTCGCAAATACATCTTTCACGATAACATATAAAATGAATACAGTGCTATCAAGACAAATGACAACAGAACATCGTTTAACACACTTATAAATTTTAGGCCTAATACCAGAAAAGGGCCCATAGTTTGGAGTTTGGGTCATTTGTACCCCTATGTTTATCCCACGTCACTTTTGTCCCCAAGATTATAGTCCGTTAACCAGCTCCGTTAGTTTTTGACGGACAACTGTTGACCGATGACGTGTCAACCAAAAAAATGATTAGTTTCCATGTCATTACAGAAACCGTTATTTTTTTTGTAATTATAATTACCGAAAAAAATAAAAGCAAAGTAAAGTAAAAGCGAAGTAAAAAAACGGGGGCCTGGCTTTACTCCAAATCTCTCCTTCCCTTCTCCTTCGAAAAGCTCTCAACCCCAACGAACAGCGACTCCTTCATCGTCGATCTAGGAACGGAGGAGCGTGGATTCGGCGGCCGGTCGTCGTCGGGACAGCGTCGCAGGCTTCAATCATCAGCGGCGGACTGTCGAACCAACCCACCTTCGACTTTAACGACGACGACTCCTGACGCCGACGACCTCCTACATCAACACCGACGACGACATTTGAGGAGTTAGCGCCACTTTCATTGCGAAGCAGCAATCGATTGGGTCTCGGTGCTGGTATTCCCCCCATTCTCTCAGCCTTCGACACTCTCTCTTAAACCCTCCAATCTGGTACCCAGTCCACCGCGTCAGTCTACCCTTCGATTCGTCGTTCTTGCCTTCGATCCGCAACCCCGGCGTCGTCTTCGCTGCCCCTGATTCCGTCAAATCGCGCCGTCTCTGCTCCCCCCGACTTCGTCTTTGCTGCACCCAATTCCGCCAAATCGCGCCGTCTCTGCTTCCCCCCGGCTTCGTCTTTGGTGCCCCCGATTCCGCCAAACCGCGCCGTCTCCGCTATCTGCTCACCGCCGCATCTCTTCTCTTCGTGCTCTGCTCGTGGAAAAAGAGAAGATGAGGAAGATAAAGGTAAAAGGAATATAAGTGGTGGGTGAAAATGTGGGTGGGGGTGAAAATATGGGTGATTTTTTTTTCATTTAAAAAAATAAAATCTGACGTGTCGGTGACATGGCAGGCACGTGGAGCACAAAGTCAACATTAGGTTGACCACCGTTAGGTTGACCGTCAAGTCTAACAGTCAACAAAACGGGTAGGACAAAACTGACGTGTGGACTATAATCTTGGGGACAAAAGTGACGCGGGATAAACATAGGGGTACAAATGACCCAAACTCCAAACTATGGGCCCTTTTCTGGTATTAGGCCTAAATTTTACCTATATATTTATTTTGAAAACTAATACCGTTCAAACGAGCGAGCCACATTTAGTTTGTTCTTAAACTATGCCTAAACCACGCACCCAAAAATATTAACAAATGTATTTGTGCAATGACAAATTTCCTCTCTCAATTACCGCCTTTGTCTTCTCAGTTTTATACTTTCTGAAAGTTTTTGACTTTGGAGCATTAACTGAATTATATACACAACTTGCCCTTTTTACTTCTTCACGATCGTTCAATTCGAAGAGCCCGAACATGTTCTCTTTACTCGTGAGATTCAAGCTATAAAAAAACCTCTGTTCTTTCCATACGCGGCCACATTTCTTCACCTTCCTCCTCCCCTGTTGCACAGGCAAGAAAACAGAGTGCTCTGTAACATGAAGAACAGAGACTCTGTTCCGTTGCTGCTAGTACTCCTCCTCCTTGTTTCCAGTGGGATTCTTCTTCTACCCTGTTATGCATCTGAACTCAGCAGCTCTGCCAACGACACTCAAGCTCATCGTCATCCGCCCGCGAAAGCATTGCATCTAGAGGGTAAGCAGATCTTCCCTAAAAACTTCATTGTTCTACGGTCAGTTCCTTATCATGATGATTCCTATGGCAGCAGATCATGATGAAATGGGTGAAGGAGGAGAGAGGCTGAAAGAGACGGAGAGGAAAGGCGGGAAAGGCGGCGCCGGGAAGGGAGCTTACGGCGGAGCAGATGTGCTCCGACAGCCTAACCAGCGGCGGAGCGGCGGAGGAGACTCGGCGATGTTCAGATCGATGTCGTCTCTGTTTCCGTCAGCTGGTGGAATGATGATGATAATGATGGTTCTCTTTCTCGGCTTCAGTTGATCGATGATCTCTCTGTGCTAACGTTCAATTCTCGAGAGATCTTGGCCATTTCCATTGCTTAGTCAAACATATCTTTCCCTCTTGCAACTTCTTTTTGTGGGGGTTTCTATGATGTAATTTCATTTTACTAATGTTAGTGAATAAGAATTTGATAACACAAGAACACGAGACAACGAGTTTTATGTGGTATCTTTGTTCGAAGTAGGTCTGTTAGTTTGATTTTGGGTTTAACTGAATTCAAACATGAATGCTTTCTCTTATCGTTATCGGGTTACAAGAATTAAACTAACATGAAACCCTTATAGGGGTTAGCACCGTGATAACTAGCAAAAATCACTACGGATTATTATAAAATCAATACAACATCTAAGCTAAATCACTACTAATTCAAACTAGTAGTAGTTTTTCCCTTGGTTAGGACGGTGCTAACTATTGTACAATTAGCACCGTAACCGTTCCCATGTATCACACGTACAAATTAATTACTTGCCATTCTTGATAGAATTAATTGCCAAAAATTAGTAGTAATTAGAAATTAATTACTTGCCATTCTCGCAGTCTTGTCATACGTACAAATTATTTGCCATTCTCGCATTCTTTTGCTTGGTCGAGTATTAATAAAGCTACCAGCCTTCTGAAAAGAGGGTGTGCTTGGAACATTCATAATGGGAAAAGCACTAATTTTTGGCTGGATAACTGGATTTTGCAGGAACCGCTCACTGAGGCTGCTAATCAACCAGTTCCTGAGGAGGAGCGATCTCGGACGGTGGCCTCCTACTTAGATGGAGATGGTCGCTGGGACATCACTCACCTCTCCCAGTGGCTTTCGACAGATGTTCTTCAGAAAATCACTGCTGTGATGGTTGATCCCCTGTCTCCGGAGGCAGACCGTATCTTCTGGAAAGCTTCGGCTGATGGTCGCTTCACTACGAAGACTGCCTACCATTTGAGTCAGCCAGGGCGGTCAGAGCAGAACGACCAGATCTGGAAGGACATCTGGAAGCTTCCAACTCCAGAACGGGTCAGAGTTTTTGCCTGGCTGGTTTCTCTTGATCGGATTGCACCAATGTGTTACATTTTTGCAGGAGATGCAGTGACCCCCCGATGTGCGCCAGATGTGATGACATTCCCGAGACAGTGGTTCACGTTTTGCGCGACTGCCCGCCAGCTCGTTTTTGTTGGTCGCGGTGGGTTCCAGTTGACAGGCAGATGGAGTTTTTTCACAGGGGGCAAGAAGACTGGCTTCGTAGCAATCTCAGTAACGAGGACAGGATGGAGTCTGGGCTTGCGTGGAATGAGTTCTTCAGCATTGCTATCTGGCTGATTTGGAAGAACAGGTGCACGGCGTGCTTCAAGGGGGTTGGCAAAGCCTTCACAGCTCCGACTTTGGCGCACTCGATTCAGCACAAATCCCTTCTTTGGCACAAGGCTTGGGAGGCGCCCTCTTTTAAGCCAGGTCGGCCATCCTTGCAGGGGGATAAGATCACAGAACTGATCAGTTGGCACCCTCCGAGCTCAGGATGGCGCAAACTGAATATTGATGGAGCCTCAGCCGGGAACCCGGGGACGGCAGGGGCTGGTGGGGGTGATCAGGGATGAGCAAGGGAGGTGGATTGCTGGCTTTGTGGCTAAGATTGGAGAAGCGACTGCAGTATTAGCAGAACTGTGGGCCTTTTATCATGGCTTGGACCTGGCTTGGAGAATTGGTTGCGACAGTCTGGTGATTGAGACCGACTCTCAGTTAGCTATCCAGTTGATAAACAACCGGCGAGACCCAGTGCACCCTTATGCCTCGCTGCTTGATGCTATCAGGAGGAAATTAGCTCAGAGTTGGCTGGTTAGGGTAGTTCATACGTATCGAGAAGGGAATAGAGTCGCGGACTGGCTCTCGAAGCACAGTCTCGTCTATCCCTACGGTACGCATGAACTCTCTGATCCGCCGAGGGAGCTTATCCAGATTCTTAGAGATGATGTTAGAGGTGTGTCTTTTGAGCGCCAAGTGAGGGCGCCTATTGTCATGTAATCCTCCCTCTTTCTTTCTTGGCCTCAGCCTCCCTTATTACAAAAAAAAAAAAAAATTATTTGCCATTCTTGGGAGAGTTCATTGCCAAATATTGGTACTAATTAGAAGTTAATTACTTGCCGTTCTCCCAATCTATCACTCGTAACTTACCATTCTTGAGAGAGATAATTGCCAAAAATTGGGTACTAATTAGGATTTAGAAATTAATTACCCGAACCGGACTGACACCGCTAGCTCGAAGTGAACACAACTAACTAATTTACGGGCGATATCTTATTAGGTTTTGGCTTACTATAATCGCTTCTCCTAGTGTAAAGGCAACCCACACATACTAAAATTAGCCACCGTAAATGGCTAATTTATTTCTTAGGCTTACTATAATGGCTTTTATTTCTTTCATTGTTATGTTAGGAAGTTGGTTTCCTTGTTAGGTTGTTTCTCACTTGTTTGTCAAGTTTCTTAGGTTGCAAGACTATCTATGGATTGTGAGTTCGAGCGAGGAACAAGAATGTCGAAATCCTAAACTAGTTGATTTCTTTTCTAGAGTAGAATCAATATCGTAAATTCTATAATACAACAGTTTGTATTAGAACCGCAATGATTAAAGAGTCTTTAGCAATTGAAGCGATGGGTACTCGATTTTGTGAAGATACTAAAGATTGATTTTCAAGGTGGTGGTGGTGGTCCTTCACAGATAGGGATGGCAATGGGGCGGGTTTGTCTAAACCATCCCCATCCCCATCTTCAAATATCCAAACCTATACCCGCTCCATACCCATGCGGGGGAATGTTTGGCAAACCCATCCGCATACCCGTGGGTTTCGGGTACCCATGGGTAATCCCGTACCCGTACATCCAACATTATTATCCTAAAATTTAAAATAAAAAGTTTTAACTACAACTCTAAACGTACCTATTATATCACGAATTCAACAAAACACGATCATTTTCTTAATACGGTTCAAAGAATATGATACTAAAACATTCATTAATACATAATATGGAGTATAATAGTTTTCAAATTATTATGTTTTAACTCTGATACATCTACTAAGAAATATTTAATTAACATAATCTTGTTGACAAGGGGGAAAGTGAAAGAGTGAAAGGAGAATTGAGGGAAATGAATTAAGTTTTGATTAAGGTGGTCACTCAATTGCATTTCTACTATTTATTTCCTCGAGTTATCCTCATCATCATTGATAGATTACAATTTGATCTACATATTTTTGTATATGTGAAGAAATTCTGTTGGTGGGGCGGATATGGGTATGGGTATGGGGTGGGGGAGGCTTTACCCATACCCGCTCCATACCCATCAAACTTTTTGCGGGTTTTACCCATACCCGCCTCATACCGGGTCAAAGCGGGGATTACCCGCTTTGACTGGGTCGAGGATGGTCGGGTATCCGCGGCCATGGGTTTGATTGCCATCCCTATTCACAGACCATAACCATTGTAGCGACGGAAATGATTGGCTATTATCAACATATCACATTCATACACCACTCTGAAACTAGGCAAAGAGTCTTTAGCAACGAAACTGATGAGTACTCGATTATCCGACAGTAGTGAATGTACCATATACAGGCAAGCACATTATAGTTCGACTGACTCATTTTCACGGTGGTGATGGTGGTGGTCCTTCACAGTTCATAACCCTTTTGCAGCGACGAAAGTGTTTAGGTTGGTTCGTACCCCATATCACATTCATACACCACTCTGCAGCAGGGCAACGAGTCTTTAGCAAACGAAAATGACGGGTACACGATTATCCGACTATAATAGTGAATGAGTATTGAAGGTACTATAGGCAGCGACTCGTTTCTTCTTATGAATTTATTTATTTATTTATGTAATGTTTTCCTATAAATCATTGTGATCCACATTTCCACACAGGTGGCTAGTGACTAAGCTAGGACTTAGATTGAGAAGGATTTGAAAATAACAAGTTGCTATAGCTTCATTCACGATTGATCGTAAGATTTCTTAAAATAAAAACACACACACGAAAATCTTGCATCAAAATTTCAACGTTCACGTAGCTTCGTCACTACTCAACAGGAAACACGAGGACTCAAATGACAATGAACGCTTGCGATTCGATATAAAGATTGTTACTTCGAAAATTTGTATAAAAAACGACACTGTTTACGAAAATTCGATTTTTATAATCGTATTTCTTTCCATGCAGTGTTACTTTATTCGGGAAAAGAGAAAATTTAATCGAGGAAACCACTTTCAAGTTTCACCCCACATTTCCCCCTTTCCTCTCCTTTCCTCCTCCTAAGAACATAGGATTCAGAGTCTAAATTTAACTCATACATTTCTTGCCTTATATGGCAAACCAGAGTTTCCCACGGCTCCTTCTCTGTGGTGAGCAAATTCTTCAACGAAGCTATGGCAACAAACAGCGCCGGCGCCGGCGCTTCTCACGTATTCTTGATGGAGGACATAATGAACAACATCCTCCTCAGGCTGCCAACCGCTTCTAGCATCGCCAGATTCCGATGCGTCTGCAGATCGTGGCGGATTCTCTTGTCGGATCCCCAATTCATCCTCAAGATCCTCTTCTCCCCAAACAAAAACTCCTCCTCCCACCAACAGATCCTAATCACAAGCGGAGCAGATCCTGCCGCCGCCCCGTCCTGCTACCGTTACTCCTTGCACTCCTACGACACCCTCTCCCCTGCCTCCGCCTCCACGGCGGCAGGGGATTTGCCGTCCTTCAGCTCCAACTCCGCTCTACTCGTCGCGGGGTGTTGTCGTGGCATATTCTGTATCGTGGAGATGAAGGATGGCGGCCCCGACGTCATTCTCTGGAATCCGGCCACCTCCGAGACCAAATTGCTCCCTGTTTCCACCGCCCTGCCTCCACGGCGCAGGAACATTAATGATAAATATATCACCGGTTTCGGGTTCGATCCCGAAACCAATGACTACAAAATCGCCAGAATACTGTTCTTCCCCGAAGATGATTTTCATGAGTACGACATTGCTCCGCGAGAGACGTTAAGTGACGTGACAATTGCAGAGGTATTAAGTTTTCTCCGACTCTGTTTTCCTCTGTTTTGATTTGCTGTTAAACTTACTTGATCAAGTGGTAATTAATGCAAAAGGTGTATAGCTTGAAAAATCACTCGTGGAAGAGAATAACCGTCCCGGATGGTCTAAGAATGGAGAAACTCTCATCTAGAGTCAAAAATATCGATCCTCGCGGTCAATGGTGCAATCACGATGACTCTCAGAAACAGAGCAAGCGCCACTGTTACTGGTTCTATGCATGCTTTGCACATTGCTTTACTCTTTCGTTCGACATGGTCGAAGAAGTATTTGAGTACACCGTCATAACTCTGCCCCCGGTCCTCCGCAACGACACGTTCATGGCTTCGGAAGGGAGTTTCATGCTCAAGGACTCTGTAATTCTCGCGGTGTTTTGCGATGGTGACGACAACTACTCGATGTGGTGCATGTTGAAACACGGCGTTGCTGATTCCTGGACCCAGTTATACGCCTTCAGACCGCCCGTTTTTAGCATGGAATTTTTAGAGACATGGAAGGAGGATAGGTACATCTGCTCGCGAGAGAGCCGTGGATGTCATCCGGCTTCGGACCCTAAAGAAGCAAAAGAAACCGATGGGGTGTGGGTTTTTTCCCCTTCGACGGGAAAATATGGTGATCGGATCGAAATTCAAGGTCGAAAGAGTCCGTTTCAAGCTTACAGATTTACTCCGACCCAGATTTCCCTTTCAGATTTGGAGTAGTTTATGATAGACTACATACGGGAAGTTGGTATTGATTGTTAAGTTGGTTTTCTTTGTTTGTAAAGTTTCTTTGGTTGTAAGCCTATATCTATATGCTGTGCACTTGGTTGAGGAATAAGATAATCGAAGTATCAAAACCCTAAAGTTTAGTTGATTTCTTTCCTAAAGTAGAGCTAGTATCGTAAATCCTATAATGCAACAATTTGTATCAGAACCGAAGCTGGTGAAAGAGTCTTTTAGCAATTGAAGCGATGTGTACTTGATTTTCCGATAGCAGTGAAGGTACCATATACAGGCAAGCACGCTGTAGCTCGATTGACTCGTTTTCACGGTGATGAATGGTTTAGTGGTCCTTCACGGATCATATAACCCTTCAGCGATGGAAGTGTTTGTGTAGGTTCTGTACCCCATATCACTAACCCATATCACATTCATACACCAATCCGCAACTCGGCAACAAGGCTTTAGCAACGAAAATGACGGGTACACTATTATCCACAGTAGTAGTGAAGGAGTGCTGAAGCTTGAAGGTACTATAAGCTGCGTCTTATTTCTTCTTATGAAATTTTTTTATTTGTGCAATGTTTTCCTATGCATCATTGTGGTACACTTTTCCACACCGGTGGCTAGTGGCTAAGCGAGGACTTAGATTGAAAAGAGTCTGAAAATAATAAGCTACAACTGCTTCATTCACGATTGAACTGAAGATTTCTTAAGATACAAAAATATACATAAATGATCTTACATCGAGGGGTGGTTGTGACAATAATCTTACATCAGAATTTGAGGAGGGATTGAACTTCACGTAGCTCCATCACCGCTCAACAGGCAACATGAGGACATAAAATGACAATGCCCACCTACTATTCGAGATAAGATTGTTATTTCGAAAGTTTATGTAAGAAAAATGGTACTTCTTACAGAAATTAGGCTGTTCTAATATTTCCTTCCCAATGCGCACCCCCACCAATTACCATTTTTCTTACACAAACTTTCTTGCGCTTTCGTTTCTTCCAATCATGCTCCACTCCTCGACTTGGCCTTCTTGCTTCTCCACATGCTTGTTGCTCAAACTCTTTGGAAAGCCCATAAGCTAAACCCCTAAACCCATCCACTTTGTCTTCTAATTCCACCCCACATAATAGGGCTCCAAGTGGCCCAATGTTCTCAATAGGATAAGGCCCACGTCTGTTAATTAGACTCACTACCAGCTTTGTGTTGGGCCTCCTACACAGTCCTTGTTCGGCCCGCTTTTCTCTCATATTTGGCCCAACTCCATATATGAGCTCTGCAACCAGAAAACTTAATTGAAATTCAAATATTTGCTACTTTTGAAGACCATTAGCCTCTTGAACCCCTTCATATTCTTTCTTTCTCGGCCCAAGAGTTGGCCCACAAAAAACCCTAACGAGCTCAGCTTTTGGCCCATCCAAATCCTCCATTGGAGACACAGAATTTGTGAGCAAAGAGGTGTCGCCGCCTTCCTCCTCAATCGTCGGTTGTTTCTTCCCCAACTCCTCCCGCGGCGACTCCTCCGGCATCGAGCCCTCCTCCCGGCGGCGAAGAACCCAACTTGCTTCAGGCCACATCCTCTTCCTCACCTCTTCGTCAGTCGTCGCCCCCACGGAAGCTACAGCCAGCGGGCACTCCAACTGCTCCCCTACCCCATGGCAATCCTCGGTCCCCTCGACTTCGTCGTCCGCCGCGACACTGGTCGCAGACGACTTCTTGTTGGTCCTGACGGCACCTGCGGTCGGCGGCTGCCTTGCCGCCGCGTCGTTACCACCTTCCTCCCCGCGTCGCGACGCGTTTATCTTACAGTACTCGACGATTTGCCGCAGCTGCTCCCGTCGTTGAGCCCATGTCGGCTCCGAGATGTTTGTCGCACTCATTAGGATTTCATCTGGCCGCGCGACGTTCACCTCGTCCCCGCCAGCAACGGCGGGCAGCGGCAGCCCACCCGCTTCATCGTCCTCACCAGCTTTCGCAGCAGTCCGCAGCCCTTGCTCCTTCCAATTCTCCACGATATGCCACATTCTTTCTTGATTTTGAACCCACGTCAGCTCCGATATATCTGTTGAACTTATCAGTTTCGATTTGGTAGGAAGCTGTCCCTGAGAGAGTTGTGATGAACTCAGGTATTCGACCATGGCTCTGATACCAGATGTTAGAAACAAAGTTTCTAACGGATTTCTAGATCAGATATAGAGATTGAGAATCTAGAGTTTATAGAATAGAATTGGGGATTTAGGGATTTGAGGAGAATTTGGGGAATAATAGAAGAGAATCGGCCTAGGCCTTTAGAGGGATTGAGGTCAAGAATTGAGAGGATAGGGAGAGGGATTAAGAAGATAATTCTTTTATTAACTTCTGCTTAATCTGATGAATGACCCAAAGTACATATATATAGGGAAATACTAGAAAACTCTAAGAATAAACCTAATTCTACTCGAAGACCACTAACCATAATAAGAAATATCCTACTAATAATTATAACCATAAATATAGAAACCCTAAGGAAATCGGTTTCTAACAGTGATCAGTGGGGCAATTGCGATGATTCTCAGAAACAGAGCAAGCGCTATTGTTACTGGTTCTATGCATGCCATTCAGATTGCTTTACTATCTTGTCGACATGGTTGAAGAGGTATTTGAGTACACCGTCATAACTCTACCCTCGGTCCTCCGTGATGACACATTCATGTGTTCGTACGGGAGTTTCATGCTGAAGGACTCTGTAATTCTCGCGGTGTTTTGCGATGGCGACGAGAACTACTCGATGTGGTGCTTGTTGAAGCACGGAGTTGCTGATTCCTGGACCCAGTTATATGCCTTTAGACCGCCCGTTTTTTGCATGGAGTTTTTAGAGATGTGGAAGGAGGATAGGTACATATGCTCGAGGGAGAGCCTTGGATGTCAGCCAGCTTCGGACCCTGAAAAAGCAGAGGAAACCGACGGGGTGTGGGTTTTTTCCCCTTTGACGGGAGAATATGGTGATCGGATTGAAATTCAAGGTTGAAAGAGTCCGTTCAAAGCTTATGCTTTTACTCCGAACCATATTTCCCTCTCCTTTCTGATTTGGGGTAGTAGCTAGTGTGATGCCTATATACTGCGCGCCACAGGGCCGCGAAGATCGACTCATCACAATTGAGATGTTTTGTGAAATGTTGATATGATTAATAGTGTTGATTTACTGATGATGTGTATGAGATGCTGGTGTGATGAATTATCGATGGATTGTATGAACTTGGTGACTGCACCAAGATTGATTGAGGAGAATGATTTGTTATATTATTAAGATGAGATGATCATATCGAGACTGTGACAATAAGTGAAATGATCATATTCATATACATCCATGACGTGAGATGTGTATGATGAGGTTATTTTACGTTTGGGCTTTTGGGTATTTTCGGATTGGGTTAGGGGTGTTTTTCCTTACGGTTTAAGTTTTCCTTTTGTGTTTGGGAAGGGGTATTCGGGTAGGATAAGGTCAAGTCTTAGGTTTTTCTAAGCCTATAAATATGTACCTTTGACATTAGTTCCGTATCAATAAAATAAATCAAAGGTTTATAGACACCAACGTCTTTCTCTCGCTTGTGAGTTACAAGCAAAACCCTTGAATTGTGGGTTACGGTTCATCAATTGGTATCAGAGCCTGGTTACGCATCCTACTGGGAAGGGTAACATGGTCCTGGACCTAGCCCCATACCGCTCCCTTGCACGCAATGCGAAGATAACACTCGAGCAGACCAAGGTCGCCTGTGCGCAGCTAGCAAAGTCGCGTGAAAGGTTCACAACATTCTGCCGCGAACGGGAGCTGAACGCCAACCGCGCAATCATCTTCAGAGGAAAGCGAAGCGACGACGTGGCCGCGTCGACGCCAATGAACCTAGGGCGGCGGAGGATATCAAGATCTCCGTCAACGAGATCGTGGGAAGGGAAACAGTACGCATCGGTGAACCTCACCGTTGCGAGGCTATCATCCTTCGATCGGGAAGCTGCGAGAAGGAAGAGCTCAAAGCTAGAGCTCTCTCCAAGGAAGGAGACGACTGGGACGGGAAGAGGAGATTGATGGAGGAGAAGAGCTTAACGATGACCTAGGTGCGCGGAGCGGATAGTGAAAGCAAGAGCTTTTTGGGTTTGCTCCAACGGCCACTATCAATGCCATAGGGTAGTGACTCACTTCTACTGTCACCCTAGGAATCAGCCAAGTGGAACCACTTCCTAAAGCGTAGTATAGCGGGTTTGGGTTTAAATGTCAACCCGGGTCCTAGATTTGATGACTACTCAGTGAATTCTTGTTATCTAGCAATGAAACTTTAATGCAAGTCTAAACTAACAAACTAACAAAGCAAGTAAACAGTTGTATTCAGGTTAAGAGAGGTCATCCGGATATGGTTCCCCCTAGACTGCAGTTAAGCCGGATTGTAATTACCAAGTTCAGTTTCTATGATAGTTATACTACGGAAGGTTCTTAAATAGGATGAAGTCTCGACTAAAGGTCTTCAGACCCTCTCAATCTGAGTCTCTAGCGGGCGACTAACCTCCACCGGAGTAAACAGATTGAGGCCCTATGAACAAAACATCCACTACCGGAGTGAATCCGGTACAGAATAGTGAGTTGGCTCCTCGACTAAAGTCACCAACTCCCTACCTTCAATCAAGGATGCTCTATCAACCTAGGCAGATATTCTCATTCTAGGTTAAAGCAGAAACAACAGGAATTTGATCAGGATTCAAGTCATTCAATCATTCAAACCTCAATCGAATATAATCAAATTATAGAATCGGTACTTGGGTTCATACAATCAAAGCCTAACATACAAATCTAGGGTTCTCCATACCCAGATGAATGGGAGAACTACTCCATGGAGAAAGAAGCAAAAGCAGAATCAGACGCGGAATTCATACTGTGAAGGATGGATTCCTGCTCCTGGACGTTGATCGGCACTTCTCCAAACTCAAACTGGCCTCCAATGGTGATGAAGATCAAGCTAGGGCACTTGGAGACTCTTGTTCGTCGCTTTCTCTCTCTAGGAATCGCTCTGTCTCTCTAAAACTCGAATCCCCTTCTGTTTGGCTGAAAATCTGCTTAAAAGGGCATCAGTGGCCAAAGCACGGTCGAGGGCACGGCCGTGTAATGCCTCAGCCCGCCCGTGCTTTGGCTAGGGTTAATTACACGGCCAATGTGTTGGGAGAAACACGGCCGTGCTTTGGAGAGGACACGACCGTGCTTTGGTTGACACGGCCGTGCTTTCAGCCCGTGTAATCAGCTCATGTTTGCCAAACTCGAATTAGATCTCGGCAGTAAAAGCACGGCCACAGAACACGGCCGTGTTCTGTTTTAGGTGTGCCCGTGTTTTGGCCCCAGCTCGACGAAATGACTTTCGAATGCCCCGAAACTCGTGCTTAGCCTTTTCTTTGACGCCTGGGACCTGAAATATGACAAAATAGCACAACCGGGCGTAAAATAGGCCAAAAATACACGACTATGCCCCTCAAACGGATAAGAACTAGGGGCGCAAATATGTGCAATTACATCGTTATCAGGTGGACATATGGATTTCGGTCAGGGGAATGCGGAGTTGCGGCAGCAATGGGTTGTGATTTTTCAAGAGAATTTCGTGGGTAGTTTTCATGGGGATAAAGATGATAATGATGGGGGAAGTCTTCCCATGTTGTTTCCATGGACCAAGTCCCGCAGGAGAGGAAGTGTATTTGTCTGGCCCACCGATGGTCAAGCTGTGAAGGCGAGAGTCCCTTCCAACGTGAGGAAGAAACTTGGAGGTCGAACTGGGAGCTGGAAGTTTCGGAAGCGACGGGAGCCTCAACGTCACCGCAAGAGCTGCTGTTACTTTCGCCGTCGACCTCTGCGTCTCGGCATTGACCGAACCTTGGAGACCAAGGTTCTTTGAGGGGGAAGGATTGATGAGGTTATTTTACGTTTGGGCTTTTGGGTATTTTCGGATTGGGTTATGGGTGTTTTTCCTTACGGTTTAAGTTTTCCTTTTGTGTTTGGGAAGGGGTATTCGGGTAGGATAAGGTCAAGTCTTAGGTTTTTCTAAGCCTATAAATATGTACCTTTGACATTAGTTCCGTATCAATAAAATAAATCAAATGTTTATAGACACCAACGTCTTTCTCTCGCTTGTGAGTTACAAGCAAAACCCTTGAATCGTGGGTTACGGTTCATCAATGTATGGACTCAGAATATCAACGAGACGTTGGAGTCACCCACCTCAACATGTTCAGATAAAACATTGCAGGAGAGGCCTTACAATGTGTAGGACAACAACCCTTTACTTGAACACTAGTGTGTAGGGGAGCCCTGAACTTACAGTCAATTTCTTCACCATATACTAACAATTGTCCCGAACATGTTCCTTCTCAAATGTACTCGAAAAGTGATCATCCAGGCATTCGAGAAATGCAACGATTATTGACATTGAAACATTCAACAACATGCGAACTACAGGAAGCTGAACAAGGCAGATCATCCACCATGGAAGTCAAGCTTCATGGCAGGCATTCCATACATACTAGTGTATACTACAACACAGTCCAAGCGAAAACCAGAAATAGCAGAGAAACAGAGCAAGCTTCAAGAACTGCAGAGTTCATAAAGCAGCAAGCTTTACGCCAGGAGTATCATCTAGATGCGGAAAACATCAGTCTGAAACCTCTCATCATACAAATTCCAATGCCCATACCTCTCCGTATGCGCAAACAGCGACCTGGGAATGTAGAAATTCGGCTTCTTCACCTGCTTCAGATTCTTCAACCTCAAAGTCGAGTTCGCGATGTCCCTCCCCGACACATTAGCACACCCTGAGAGATCCAGGAACTCCAAATTCGAGCACCCTTCGCAGATCGATGCGATCCCTTTGCCCGTTAGCCTCAAGAACCGAAGCTCCAGGTGCTTCAGCCCGGGCATGAACTTGCCAATTGCCGCGGCCTCTGAATCCGCTTCCAGAGGGCAAGCCATGAGGTACTCGTTTGGCACACTCCTTTGGTGCTGGGAAGAATCCAAATAGTTGTAGAAATTCCTCTTCAGGGTTGTCAAATTCGGACAGTTTCTTCCCACGAGAGCTAGTGCCTCGTGAGAAATCTCGTGGCAATAGCTGAGGTCGAGCTCGCGGAGCTGCGAGCAATTCGAGGCGATTCGAGCCATGGATGCGTCTGTAACATTCGGTGAGCTCTGGACCGAAAGTATCTCAAGCTTAGGGCACCTGGGGAAAATTCAATTCCAATCGCCTCCCAAAATCATCTCAGCCACCCAATTTAACAATTCGATTGAAAATTCATTTTCTAGGGTTAAAAAGAAACTCTCTTCGTTACCTCTCGGCGGCGAAATTGATGGATCGATCGGAGCAGTGTCGGGTGCGGATCACAACTAGGGTTCCGTCGCTCCAGGTGATCGCGGAGCGGAGCATGGAATCGATCCGCCTCTCGAACTCCGGAGACCACCATCGGGGGAAATCCGGCCCGGAATCGAAGCGAGCGTCGAGATCGAAGGCGGTGTGGAGGGACGAGTCGGTGGAGGCGGCGAGCCAGGACTTGCAGACGAGCATCGCTCCTCGCCATCGGTCTTCGACGGAGAGCCTCGAGAGGACGTTCAGCAAGCACTCGCGAGTCAGATCGGCCCAATCGGCGGCGATTTCTTCCTCCTTCGCTACCGCCGTTGTTCCGCCGTCGTTAGGTTCGCTCATCGTTTATCCCCGCGAAACGAGTTAACGGTTTTGCGCGGACTCAGCGATCTGCGATCTCTTGTTAGTTATCCGTGTTCAGGGACAGAGGAAATGGATAAGATGGTAATTTCAGCCATTTGGGCCTTCTTTATGTGTTTGGGCTCTTTGGTTCGGATAATGCGGGCTAAACGTCCAAAACTCTATGTTAATACTTTTACTGGTGTTGGTTTCCATTTTTCCCCTCTTCCTATTGTCTGCTTCGATTTCTTTATCGAACAGTTTTCCGACGAACTTTTCTCCGCCGCCGGCCTTCAGTCGCTACCGCATGATCCATCGGAGTCCGGACACGCCTCGGCCGCAGTGATTCACCGCTGCGCGGTGGCGAGAGAAGTAGTTCTAGTAATTGGATACATTGATTTGTAGTTTATTTTCACTAAATCTGCCCAATGATGAGATTGCATGGTTGCTCTTGAGCTCTCCCCCATTCCCTAATCCTCTTCTTCTTCTCTTCCGATGCGCCATGATTTCTACTGTTACCATCATTATTATTATTGTTATTATTATGATCATCATCATGTCCACTGGTTCCTCTTCTTGTTGTTAGCGGCTGCAGCTGCCCTCACCCTTGCTGGTGGCTGCAGTGGTTTTCACGAATGGGGGAAGTATAAAAGTGAGAAGAGAAAAAAAGCAATTTCCATCAGTTGAAAATTCTCATAGATTGGAAGGATCTGAGGGCATGTTTGGTTTTGAATTTTTCACCATTTGAATGATCTTAGCTTCTTGCTTATTGGGTTTAAGTTAAAGGGTGTATCTTTGAATAGGAAAAAGTGTGGATCTGCAGTAGTAGTATTGCTGTATGCTGCCGTGGAATGAATGCATGCTTTGTTAACATACTAAAGGATTCATCTTTGAATATGTGCTGAAATGGGTAATAGAGAACTAGTTTCAAGGTGATAGAGATTGTGAGCTTCTGAGGCAATTGCAGTGAATTGTGTTTTGCCCCCTTTTCCTGTCTTTCTTGTTTGAAGCAAGGGTGGTGGTCTAATGACCTTCTGTTAACGAGAATCATATGTTAATTTTGCCCAGTGATGGATAATGTAACTTACTGAGGAGGGTTGCATGGTTCAGTTCATAGCTAGTCCTTTTGCACTACCATTAGCTCTCTCTCTCTCTCTCATGAAACAAACACAGCCATGGATGCTGCCTGTCTAGCTATATATCTATCTATCTATCCATCTCCTAATCATCATCGATCTCTTTTCCCAGCAACATACACTGTTCCAATGTCTTATGGTGGTGCGAGAGGACTTCTATGAACTGCCATTAGCATAATCCGCACTCATGATACTACTGGACAGTACTATGGTATCTGAGGGCCTTGTTGTTCTAACAGTTTTTTCATAAAGTATTGTTCACCTTAGTCTTGCGTGTGATGATATTTTGACAGAGTAGTGTTGGAGCTTGTTGAATGGAATCCTTCTGACTCTTTCTAATGCTGTTAATTTGCTAAGGTAGTAAGTTTGTGGATGGACCTTGGAGTATAGATCACTTGTTGTCAATTGTATTCCATGGTTGGGTTCGATTTTTTTGTTGCTCTCTCTGCAGCTGATGTCGTTGATGGAGATGGTTGAAACTTCCTTGGAATAGAGGTTTACAAGTTTGAAACCATGGTACTTACAGCAATGATCATCAACAACTACCAACATCATGAACCAGCTTCTGAAATTCCACCATAGCATCCTCCTCAAGGAAAATCGCCAGGGAAAGACTCCCATCAGCATTCTTGGAGAGAAGGTTTCCTTTCCCTTTGAACAAATTTGCAGGGCACAACGGCTTCCCCCACCCGAAATCAGCATACTCAAAAGGGGATTGACAGGTCCCTGGAACGCATCACACTAGCTGGGTCATCAGGGTCTTCCAAGTAATCTATAGCGGACCTCAAGTACTTGTCATCCGTCCTGTTGATCGACTGCGTAATCCTCACCAAGGTCCTAAACATTGGCTCCTGAACAAGCTCCCCAACAGTGGCAAGTGGAGTAGAGCTCGACCTACCATCAGCCGACATGTGCAGCCTCGTCGTTTGATCATCAGCAAGGCTCGTGCCTTGCTCATGCATTGCCAAATGTGGGCCGTCAGGATCTGGTATGTGCTGTACCTGACCTTGGATTCCTTGGCGCCCGGATTTGCCAGCTCTTTTAAGGCATTGAGTTGCTCGGTTTGAACTTTGAACCTGAGGGTGGCCGTGGTAGTGGTTTTCTGGAAGTGTTTTCAGGTTAGTTCGGGTTGTGGATCAGGGTTGGTGCAGGCTCATACTCGGAGTGATGAAATTCCAGGGAAGGTGGGTTCTTCCCTCGAAGAATGGTGCAGTCCAGGAACGGAGAAACAACTGGGGGAAGGCCTCGAGCCATGTTGGATCATGTGTTGATGAAGCTCAGAGCTCACTCCTCCACACTTGAATCTCGTGACCTTGGAAAACACCAAGACAGTTGGGAAAAAACGTCAAAAGATCTGGTCGGAGATCTTCCACATTCAGGTACATAGATCACTGAGTGGATTAGGTCATGACTATACAATTGATGTGTTACTTTCACTTTGATATAGTAAAATATGGTGCATGAGCAGTGAAAAATCTGATTTTGATCATGCTGTCATTGTAGAGAGGCACATTATTACTCGGAAAGGTTAAGGTTATGATACATTCACTGCAAATTTTTTTTACATGTTACTAAAAGAGGTACGTGGAAAGAGGAAGTCCACTTTGAAATTCAAACTTGAAATCTCCATGTTGAAATCAATGGTAGTACCAATAAAACCAAGCTCTCCATCGTTATTCACGGCGATACTAAGCAATTTTTTATAACAATATAAAAACATTATTTGAGCCATTCTTGCTGTTGTTTGGATGAACCAGTTCTTCACACGAACAATAAAATCTTGAATCTGAATCTTGTTGAGATGCATTCATTCTTGACGTGATATTAAAGTCTTGCCGTGAATTTTCCCCAACCGCTATCAATATCATGAACCAACTGTTGGAAGGACACCATAGCATCCGCCTCCAAGCAGATCGCCAGGGACAGACTCCCATCACCATTCCACGGCAGAAGGTTCCCCTTCCCTTCGAACAAACTCGCAGGACGATAATCGGTAGGCCTGCCCCACCCGAAGTCGGTGAACTCGAAAGGCAGTCGAATCCAGCTGATGATCTTCAGGTTCGGCGACCGACAGGTCTCCGGAACCTGCATCACACCATTCGGGTCGACGGGGTCCTCCAGGTAATCTATCGCCGACCTCAGGTACTCGTCGTCCATCCTGTCAACCGCTCGTCGGATCCTCTCGAGGGTTCGGACGATGGGCTCCGAAACAAGCTCCCCGACCAATGCAGTGGGAGCAGCATGGAAGATCATGTTTCCGAAGTACCCCGAGGGAACCCGCGGGTTCGTTAGCCTGGACCTGCCATCAACCGACATGTGCAGCCTCGTCTGTTGGTCGTCGGCCAGGCCTCGTGCTCTGCTCACGCAGCGCCAAATGTGTGCCGTTAGGATCTGGTATGTGCTGTAGTAGCCGGCCTCGTACTGGTTGGGGTCGACCTGTTTCTTCAGAGCATTGAGTTGGTCGGGTGTGAACGTGAGGACGGCCATGGCGGTTGGGTTTTCGGTTCGGTTTGGAGTGCCATTGATCAGGACCGGGGATGGATCGTACTCGGAGTGGTGAAATTTTGGGTCAGGTGGGTTCCTGGCTCGAAGAATGGTGCGGTCCAGGAAAGGCGAGACGACCGGGGGAAAGCCACGACCCGTGTTCGCCCATGCGTTGATAAGGCTCATGGCTGATTCTCCGTCGACCAAGCTGTGGTGGGTGCCGATCCCGAGGCTCACTCCGCCGCATCTGAATCTCGTCACCTTAGAAAACATGAGAAAAGGGAAAGTTTAGATGTGGCAAGTTCTTATCTTATCTTAAAATATATTAAAAGGGGTTTCAGAAACCAACCCCATCCACGTCGGACTCCAGAGCTTCCCCGCACATTTCCGTTATTAAGGAATTTTTATATTTTTTTAAAATTGTTTTCCCTTAATTCTCTAGTCCTTTAGGTTCTCTGTCTCTCTTAAAACTCCTTCCTTCCTCCAGATTAGGGATGGCCATGGGGCGGGTTTGAGATGGATTTGCCTAAATCATCCCCATCTTCAAATACCCAAATTCATACCCGCCTCATAGCCATGTAAGGAATGTTTTGCAAACCCATCCCCATACCCGTGGGTTTCCGGTACTCATGGGTAATATCCATCCCCGTACATCCAACATTATTATAATTAAAACTTACAAGAAAAGTTTTAATTATAACCATAAACAAACCTATTATATCATGAAGTCAACAATACACGGTCAATTTCTAAATACGATTCAAAGAAAATGATCATAAAACATCCATTAATACATAATATAGACTACAATATTTTGTAAATTATTATGCTCTAACTCTTGATACATTTACTAAGTAATAATTAACTAACATAATCTTGTTGACAATGGGGAAAGTGAAAGAGTGGAAGGAGAATTGAGGGAAATGAATTAGGTTTTGATTAAGGTGGTTACTCAATTGCATTTCTACTATTTATTTTCTCGAGTTATCATCATCATCATTGATAGATTACAATTTAATCCACATATTTTTTATATGTGAAGAAATTCTCTTGGTGGGGCGGGTATGGGTATGGGGCGGGAGAGGCTAAAACCATACCCGCCCCATACCCATCAAACTTTTTGCAGGTTTTACCCATACCTGCCCCATGCCCGGTCAAAGCGGGAATTCCCCGCGTTGACTAGATCGGGGGCGGTCGGGTACCCGCGACCATGGGTTTGATTGCCATCCCTATTCTCTATGTCTTTTTTCTTTGGCCTTTTTCTTTTTCTCCAGTTACTTGAGATATGAAGAGAGATTTGTGGCATGCTATATTATTATTTTGAGAAACAATTATTACTAGTTAAGTATTTTTTTTAGTTTTGTATACATGATCAAAATTTTGTTTCTTGACAATCAAAATTGATTCACATATCAAACATAAGATTATAAATTTGAGTATTTTATTTGAAAAATCTAAACATAAATTTGTACATCTGGAGTTTCTAAACCTCTTGAAAGTACATGAGACGTTGAAGAGAATTGAACCATTATGTGTGAGTACGATAAATGTCGGTATACTTTTTTTTTTGGTAAAACCGGTATAATTCTTAAAATGTGCATATGATAGACTTAGTTGCAAGCCAATATTCATCAATTACAAATTGAATGCCGAACTATGTAATTTTAACTCAAAAATTAATTAAATGTCGACGACTTAGTTGATAAATAAATAATTACTTGGTTATGCACTCATAAACCTATACTGAAGACCATAAATATGAATTTTAAAATAGATCGTGAAAATAAAAATATCTTAAAAATACTTTAAACAATTTAATGAGTTACTTGACTAATAAGATTAAACATGTAATTTTAGGCTAGGAACAAAGCTAGTTTATAAATAATGACCCCTTCTCTGCCACCGAATGACATGGTCGCTAACGATATTGGTAACCAAAGCCTAGAGTTTTCGGACTTTAATATGGCATCCTATCCGAGAAATTTTACAATGCTATATAGTATTGGTGCTATAGGTTTTTGCCTTGATGGTATAACTTAAAATTGTACATTTATGTTATGGTACAACTTTAGATTGTACCTATACTTTTTGTACAAATTCTTTTATGGTACAACTTGAACTTGTACATTTATGTGATGGTACAACTTCAAGTTGTAAAGTTGTACCATAACATAATGATACAAATTGCTTTATGGTACAACCTAAACTTATACATTTAATGTTATGGTACAACTTTGAGTTGTACATTAAAGCACCAATACTATATAGCATAGTAGAAGTGATCCATCCTATCCTACATCCTACTCTCCTACAAATCATATATGGAGGTTCTCCTTAAGAACTGCCCATTTCAATTTTTCCTATCCTACAGCGCACATCATGGAAGGATTATTTAGTCCTTTTCAACTATTTGGATTGTTTTCGTTTCGCTACTAATTGTCAATTGATGGTTTAAATTAATAGACAAATAACTTTGAGGTACAAATAAATAGCTGCTTGATAGATTTCGGCATTATTATTTTTTTAGGGTAAATACAATATATTAGCCACAACTATTATGAAGTGGGGAATTATAGCCATAACTATGGAAATTCAAGTTATTAGCGAAACGTTAACTATTTGTTGACAATTTCGTTAGTAATATTGACTAAACTTTTATGTTTCAAAGTTATAAATTAAAAGCAGTCCGACGTGGCTGTTGTCGTGGCCGATGATGTAACCTTATAAGTTAAAAATTCAATAAAAGTAATGGACAGTTAGCCATATCTTGACCCGCAACAATAGTTATGGCTAATAATTTGAATTATTATAGTTGTGGCTATAATTCCCCTCTTCATAATAGTTGTGGATAATATATTGTATTTACCCTATTTTTTATTCCATCTCAACTATTTAACTTTAGCTGCTTATCTTTTCATCAATCCCTGTCGCATTAAGAATGGCAATTGGGATATCCATATTCGTATGTATCGAGATATGTCGATCCATATGAGTATGTAATTTAAATAAAAATATTAGAAAGATTTATTTGTTATTAAAAATCAATAAACAAGGTATAACATGATAAAATGTAGTTAAGCTATATTCTCACTTATTTTCAATTTTATTATTGCTAAATTATAACGCAATAAAATAAAATCCTAAATAATCTTAGTAAAATTATATATGATTTAGACAAAAATAGGGATGTCAGGATGGGTGAGTTCGAGAAGTTTACTCATACCCTCTCCCCCCCCCCCCCCCACCTTCTAAGGGGTAGGTATTGCGCACTTTAAAACAGGTCAAATAGATCGGATAATATGAGTTAGGTCAAAGTTTTCATCCCTATTTCATGAGATTTTTGTAATGGCTTATGTAAGAATCTTTCGTACATATTACCTAAAATACAATCTTTTACATGAAACTTTTGTAACTTTTTTAATTATAGGGGTTATATGGTAGCAAAATAATGAGGTATTTATACATGAGAGTACAAAAAGGCGTGCTACAATTATAAAGTGGAGGGTAAATAATGTTGCAAGGGTGGAGGGTTTGGGCATGGTCCATGAAACCGTACTGGATATCGTACCGGAAAAGTCAGCGGTATGGTATTTTATGATAAAATCGTGGTATTTCGTGGTTGAACCGCCGGTACGGTAGAGTTTAATGGATCATGTTTTTGGGCATATGTAATTATACTAATGAATTGAATAGTGAATATCAATCTAACTTCATGTTGGGAAGAAAAAAGTGGAACCGGATTTTGTACTTTTGAAGTGCAAAGGACTAAGATTTTTTGGAGTTGCATGATGCTGAGAAATTATTTCAAATTAGTGGTAGAAGAGGACATCCTCCTCTTTTTCTAAAAATCGAGGTTGGTAAAAATCACATATGACGGTGAAAATTACAAATCCCATAAGTGAATTCTTAGTTTGAAAGATAATCAAAGATGGGAAAGAACACATCTCCAACAATTATTGCAAACGACTTGAATGAGATAAATTTATTTTGCATGTAATGATGTTTCATATTTGTATACGTTTGCCTTCAAATTTGTTAGCAATGAAATGAGAAGAATGACAAAGACCTTTTTGATAGTGGAGGAATGGTGCTGAGAAACTATTTACAACTTTATTATTGCCAAATTATAAGAGAATAAAAATACAACCCTAAGCATTATATATAATTTAGACAAAAACGGGTCGAGCATGGAGGATGTTGGGGTGGATGAGGTCGAGAAGAGTACTCATACATACCCCCCCGCACCCCCCCCCCAAGCATAAAGGTATGTATTGGCCACTTTAACAAAGGTCAAATAGATCGTATAATATGGATTATGTCTAAATTGTCATGTTTCTTTCGTAATATTTTTGTAATGGCTTATGTAAGAATTTTCAATACACATTACCTAAAATATCATCTTTCACATGAAACTTAAATAACTTCTTTAATTATAAGGGTTATATGGTAGCAAAATAATGAAGGTATTAGGCATGGGAGTACAAAAAGACGTGTTACAATATAATTATAAGTGGAGTGCAACTACTGTTGCAAGGGTGGAGGATTTTGGACATATGTAATTATACTATTGAATTGAATAGTGAATCTCAATCTAACTTCATGTTGTGAAGAAATAAGTTGAACCAACCTTTGTAATTTTGAAATGCAAAGGACTAAGATTTTATTTGGAGTTGCATGATGCTAGAAACTATTTCAAAATAGTGGTGGAAAAGGACATCATCCTCCCTTTTTTCTAAATATTGAGGTAATGAAGTGAAAATCACATAAACGACAGTGGAAATTTACAAATCTCATAAGTGAAATCCTAAGGAATATAAATATTAATAAATTACAAGGCAATAAAAATAAAATCCTAAGCAATTTGAGTAAAATTATATATAATTTAGACAAATACGGGTTGAGGATGGAGGATGTCACGATAGGTGAGGCCGAGAAGAGTACTCACACCCACCCACCCCTATAAGGGGTTGGTATTGTCCATTTTAAAACAGATCAAATAGATCGGATAATATGGATCATGTCAAAATTGTCATCTCTATTTCATAAATTTTTTGTAATGGCTTATGTAAGAATCTTTTACATGAAGCTTATGTAACTTCTTTAAATATAAGGGTTATATGGTAGCAAAATAATGGGCTTATTTAGGCATAGGAGAATGAAAAGACGTGTTACAATTATAAAGTGGAGGACAAGTAATATTGCAAGGGTGGAGGATTTTGGACATATGTAATTATACTATTGAATTGAATAATAAATCTCAATCTAACTTTATGTTGTGAAGAAAAAAGGTGAACCGGACTTTGTAATTTTCAAGTGCACAAGACTAAGATTGTTTTTATTTAAGTTGTATGATGCTAAGAAACTATTCCAAAATAGTGGTTGAAGAAGTAACCCTCCTTCTCTTTTTCTAAAAATTGAGGTAATAGAGTGAAAATCACATAACTGACAGTGGAAAATTACAAATCACATGGGTAAATTCATAGTTTGAAAGATAATCAAAGATGAAAAGTTCACATCTCCAACAATTATTGCAAATGACTTGAATGAGGTAAATTTATTTTGCATGATAATGACGTTTCATATTTGCATAAGTTTTGCCTTCAAATTTGTTAGTAATGAAATGAGGAGAATGACAAAGATTCCATTGATGTTGAAGGCAGTGGAGTCACTGATACATATATAACGATGTTGTTAAGAAGAAGGAATATACATTTGAGAGTGGTGATAGTAGAATCGATGATGAATTTTATGTTGTTAATGCTTGAGACAATTACTATTTATTATTTATACCATTAATAAAATGTATCCGACCAACGGGGACCAAGATTTAGCGAAGTTACACTTGTCCCTAATAAATATCTAACTGTAGTGACCATAAAAGGGCATTTGTGTTGTAGTCGGGAAGAGTTGCTACAATTATTTATTTCTAGCCTTTCTATAAAATTTTACTTCCTCATAGGATATGTTTTTAACTATGAGCTTACTTTGATTTTCTCATGTCAAATTATTAGTGATGACGATCGAGCGGGGTGAATATCCTAATATTTCTACTTGTTCTGCATGAGGTGCGAGTCAGATTGAATAATTCGTGTGTAGGGTAAGAGTTTGGTAGGTTGACCCATCTACACATGTTATTTAAATAAAAATAAACACATAAATTTAATTTTGTTACGATAAACAAAGGGGAAACACTTTATATGTATAAATGAAAAACAAAGATAATAAAATGAGTAATTGAGTTCGATTAATTAAAAGAGGAAGTCTTGCATTTATTCAAAGTTTTGTTAGATGAAAATATGATAAAATTATTAGTAGAAATACAAATAGATAATGACGCAAATCGAGATAAAACAGGTCCAGAACGGGACAATATGAGGCGAGGTAGAGCGAAATTAGTACCCCATGCCCCCTCTCCACGCCACTGTGGAACAGGTAAACCTGCTATATTACGGGTCAAATCGGGTTCAAATTTTCCTCCTTTATTTTGATGAATTTGGTTGGTTTAGTTACCTGAAGAAGCAACAGAGGGTAAGAAGAGATCCCTCGTGAGTAATCAACGCTGGGCAATAGCTTGAGAAGCTCTGCACCAGGCTTGAACTCGCCGAGCTCGTCCAACGAAACATCAGCCTCTGCTTCCCTGAACAACGCACCTTCACCGTTGCAGTGCACCTCCAGTCTCCCCTTCTCGTCCCTCGCCAGGCGCCCTGCGAACGGGTAGAACGCTACGAGCGCCTGGCTCAGCGCGTCTTTCAGCAGTCTGGCATCGAAGTAACTGATCTCCTTCGATGCCGGACTGCTGCTGTAGTACGTGTCGTCGCCGGGTCTGTAGAAGAACACCGTGCGCACGTGGATCCGGCCGTGCAAGAGGTCCAAGTTGGACAGCCACAGCCGCTGATGATGTTGGCTTCTAGGCCGGCTGCCCGTCACCTCATCGGCTGGCCTCACAATGCTGGTCTTTAGGACGTCTACCTTCATATCTTGGCGTTGCAGGATTGAATTGAAGTGAGGTTGGTACAAGGAAGAGGAGATTGGTTGTGTAGTGTGAAGAAGGCGATTAGGGCAGATTTTATTGAATGGATCCGATGTGGATGGGGCCAAAACTATTAGTGATAAAAATAATGTGTATAGGGTAACAGAACCTCCTTTTCAAAAAGTTTGCATCAATTGTCACTTCACAATGATGCGAGCTGCCGTGATAGAAGGAGAGTGTATCGTGTTTTCATCCTCATGAACCGTCCAGTCTTAATAATTTGAGTTTTTGAGAGAAGGTTAATTATGAATCTTATATCACTATTTTACACGCCTCTCAAATGAAATTCAACTTATGGGTTTGGAGTTTGCACAGTGCTTTAAGCCGACCGACAACTGTTAATCATATTGGGGATCATGGAGATTTGAACACTCGACCACTTGGCTAAACCAATTTTGATATCATGTCATAAACCAACGGATCTAAATATCTCGAATTGTTAAAATAAGGTTAATTATTAATCTTGTATCAGGCTCTTATATTCATCAATGTTTAATGTCCAATCTAATTGTGATGGTCCGCATCATATGAGTTCTCGTTCTCGAGCTCCCTGACTCCAAATAAAAAGTGTCTTTGTTTTCCAAATAGTGAATCGATATCTCGAATTGTTTTTAAGAATGTTGATTATGAATTTTGTATCACGCTCTTACATCCATCGGTGTTTAGAATAACCAATCTAATTGTGCTAGTCTGCTGCATCATATGAGTTTTCGTTCTCGAGCTCCTTGACTCTAGATAGAAAGTGTCTTTGGCTTTTCAAACATTGAGTCAATATCTCAAATTGTCGAAAGAAGGTTAGTGATGAATTTTGTATAACGCTCTTACATTCATCAGTGTTTAGAATGTCCAATCTAATTGTGTGCGGCTGCATCATATGAATTTTCGTTCTCGATCTCCCTGACGGCAAATAAAAAGTGTGTGTTTTCCAAATAGTGAGTCAAAACAAACACACTTTTACACATTTGGCTTAGCTTTCAGTATATTTCACTGTTCACTTTAAAATCTATAACTTACTTAAATCTAAAATTCATCTAACAATTCAGTATTAAACACACTATTCATTAAATCATCAACTACCTTTCTATGAATAACATGGCCACTTTCAAATACATTTTACATTTTTTCTAAATTCTTACCAAATATATTATTTTCCAAATTTTAGAAGTTTCTCAAACTTCCGAAAAATTACAAACCAACACATGAGAGTGATTTTATTTTTGCCCACAAAAAAAAAAAGAGTGATTTTATTCTCAAAAGCTTAGTTGGATTAAAGTTTTATGATTGCTTATGTGCTAATTATTGATAACCATCAATTCACCGAAAGATAAAGAGAGTATATTATTGGCCATATAATGCAACTTTTTAAACCAGCCGAGTGGGCTTCATAATTTAATCATGGTGTTTTTCCCCCACCTCTTTTGGTAGAAAATAATGGCTTGATTTCATCAAAATGTCTGCAACTAAAGAATTTATTCATGATATAGCATTTGGGGAAAAAAAAATATGGTATAAAATTTTAGGGTGTGCCTACAGTGAAATGCATGTCACGGTGACTTGTATTTTCCGGTCGACCTCATATAGGATCTGGTCGACCTCATTTAGGATTCGGTCGACCTCATATAGGATCAGGTCGACCTAATCTGTTGTTTCAGTGTAAAAACAGTTCATGGTATCTACTTTGGATATTCATATCATACAATTGGCTAGATGGAAATTAAAGACTAATGACATGTTTTGAAGCTGGAGTGTCCCTCTACATATTGAAGTGATTGAGAGCTCGATAGGAAGTCCAGAAGATCATTTTTGAACCTCAGTGGCGATTCCGACTCCCGAATTCGGCAGAGTTCGAAAAGGAGGACTCTGAGACGCCTTCGGTCGCGGAGACCAAAATTGGGCATTCTTGGCGTCCAATGATAGTTTCTTTGGTTTGTGATCGAATCAAGCATCAATTCAACACCTCTGGGCACTTCGGGGGCCGGTTTCCAGTGTTGAATCAATTGCAAGCTCGGGTGCAGATGTTGTTCAAATTGATCCCTTCGGGGAGGGATACTGCGACGACCTGAAAGGTAGTAAGAAGGTGGAAATCAGTTCCACAAGCCCCATCTCTTATGTCGGCGGTTGGGACCTGATTGGCCGGTCTGGCGGCGCCGCCGGTGTTTGCTGGCGGATGGGGTCTCAGTTGCATAAGGAGGAAAAAGAGGGTTTTTCGGGCGATTGTTTCGCAGGGGTGGGCGAGATCAGCGGAGCTCTGTTCCGATCCAAATCGAATCTCAACCCCAGGATTTCTAGTCCTAAACCAACACGTTCTCTAACAGAAAATCGGATCAGGGGAGTCTCCTTCTTGCTGGAGAACTCGGACTCCATTCTATTTAAATGGACTTCTCCCCTCCCTGCTTCCCCACTTTGGTGTACGTCTCGACGCATTGGGTTTACTGGCTAGGAAAGAAGAGAAAGGTCCAATCAACTGCTCCCTGCTCCAAGAAAGCATCGAGGTATTGGTTCTCTCGCCCTCATCCATACGCCTCCTTTCGCGTTGACGAACCTCCTCTTCCCCGTTTCGACGGGTGCTCAAAACTTCTGGCCGGGCGCTGCAACGGTGCAGCTTCTCCTCCCTGCTTCGGCGAAAACCCCCGCCACGTCGAGGAGCTCCCTGGCTTCGCCGGTGTCGGCGGACCCTGATCTACCTGTTCTGCCTGGTAAACGAGGGGGAGGCGAAACAAGCCTGCCGCTGCTGAGATTTGGGCAGGCCTGGAGTGGCCCACGTGATCCGAAACAGGCTGCTGCCTTTAGGGCCAGCCCACAGAAGTTTACTTTGGGCCTCGCGGACAGAAGTGCTGACCCAATAATGCATTTTTTTAATTTAATTGGGCAAAGCCCAGCTATTTGTTCTCCAATTTGGCAACTTCATAGTCCGATTATGGAAAAGCTTGTTGATTCTAAAAATTTATCTACTCCTCTGTGGAAGGTGACTACAATGGCTCGTGTAGCGGAAGATCAAGTGGTTGAATTTTCACTCGATGAAGTGCAATATGTGAAATTCCGAACTTCGAGGACTCTCTTGGGGAGACTATTTTCGGAAACCATTTTCACTGCTAGTGAGTTGAGAGAGGGCTTGCTTGAGGCATGGCGGGTGCAAGGAAACCTTCGGGTATCGGTCACGAAATTTGGGCTATTTGAAATTATTCTCCCAAGTGATGAGATGAGGGTTTGGCTACTAAAAAGATCTCCATGGATTATTAAGGACATGATTCTACATCTTCGGTCCTGGACGTCCTCTATCACAAGGCCCATTTTTGATGATTTGGCCATTGCTCCTTTCCGTGTGCAGCTATGGAATGTAAAAGAAGACTGTTGCACGGCGCAGTTTGGCCGGAAAGTGGCGGCTGGAATGATTGGTCAAATCTTGGAGTCTGATGTCTTTGCGGCCAAAGACTCTAATGAACGCTTTGTGAAGGTGCATGCCTTAATTGATTTTGCCAAACCTTTGCGATCTCAATTTATGGCGGCTAGTGATGAGATTGGTAGATTCTGGGTACTTCTCAAATACGAGTTTTTACCAACCTTCTGCTACCACTGTGGTCGAGTAGGGCATTCAAAGCCGGAGTGTGTTTTTGGCCCACCTACTGGCCAAGAACGGTTTGGGCCGCACATGTCTACTCGGAAGCCGGGAAGAAAGATTTACAGGGAGGATGAAGAATACCCTCAGTTCCGCAATGCCAGCAAATCAGTGTGGGTGAATAGGAATACTCATTTGCTCAAAGATGGGAAGGAGAAGGCTGCTAGCAGAGATCCGGGTGCTAATACCCTCCCACTTACCCAAGTGGCGGCTCATCCTGCCCCAAGAGAGTCGGAAACTCAGAAGAAGAGAGTGGTACAGAATAGGCAGCAGGCCCCTGCTAAAACCTCCTTTGGGGTCCAGCGTTTGGTCGTTAAGACGTCTCCTCGGGTTAAGATTGCTGGAAATATTCGACACCATCAGAAGAAAGCGTCACCCAGAAAGGTGGTACCACCTCCTCGACAGGTCACTAAGGAGCGCCGGCAGTCTAGCCGGCGGGCCAAGCAGACTGAGCAATGCCAGCAGGTAGTGGGGCAGGTGGCGGAAGCTTTCGAGCAATCAAGGAGGCGCATGCTGATTTTACAAGAGGAATCTAAGGAGGAGGAGGAGGAGATCATGGTGGGTGGGAGTAGTCCCCCTATGAAGCAGCGTACCCCTGCTGGTCTGGCGGAGGACCTTGACACGATTCCTAGGGCTCGCCCTCGTCTTCGAAGAAGAGGGGCAGACTGCCCTCTTCCATCGGCTCACAAGGATGGGGGCTCTTCTCCTTCTGGTGATCGGCTTGATTTGGAGGATAAGGAATCTGTGGAAAAGTCTGCTGCGGTAGAGCTACAATAGGACTTTGACTCTGAAGAGGATCAGGCAGCTGAGGATCATCATATCTTTGAGATCAAGCGACGTTCGCCAGCTGCGGCCACCAGGAAGACGCGCCATATCATGAAAGGGCGTGTGCACCAGGTGGTGGAGGCTTTTGAAGCTGGGTTAGTTATTGCAAGAGAAGAGGATGGGGGGTCAAGGAAATGGTTTCAAGGCTGGATGAATATGGGTCTAATTTGATGGACCCTATCATGGAGAATGGGAAGCGCGTGCTGGATGAATTGGAAGGGGATGTGGGGAACTCTCCTACTCCAAAGAAGCAGTTTGTGGAAGCGATTGAGGATCTGGAAAAGGTGGAGGAAGCCAGCCTTGAATGGCCCCCAGAGGTTAAATGAGGCTTCTCGCCTGGAATGTGAGAGGAATTGGGCCGTCCCTCACGTTCCAATCTGCTTTAGGGCTTGTTCATTCCAATAAATCGGATCTCGTGTTTTTCTTTGAGACACGATCAAGCCGACGTGTAGTGTCCCGGCGTATGCGGGGTCTAGGTTTTGCTCTTTCTCATTGTTTTTTTGTAGATACAGTCGATGCATCAGGAGGTTTAGTAGTTGCTTGGGCCCCCGGAGTTAACACTTTGGTGCTTTGTCATTCAAATTTTTATATTTGTTTGCAAATTAATGAAGGAGATTTTTCTTATGTTGTGGTCTTTGTTTATATTAGTTGTAATAGTGCTGTTCGAACTTCCCAATTGACCCAATTGCGAACCGTTTGTGCGAATATTAATCACCCATATGTGGTCATAGGTGATTTCAATGCTACTCTGAATGAGGGTGAAAAAGATGGGGGACGGGAATGGAATGCTGCCCAAGCTCTTAGTCTCCGTGATTTTATTCATGATTTGGGTCTCCACGATCCTGGTTACCAAGGGGATCCATTTACTTGGACTAATAAGCGCATGGGCGATGCTTGCATTCGTGCTCGTCTGGATAGAGCGGTTTGCTCTCAGTCTTGGATGGATACATACCCAGAGACGTTAGTCAAGCACTTCACTGACCAGGGTTCAGACCATCGTGCCCTTTTGCTTGCAGATAAACCATATGTTCGTACTAGTCGGCCTCTTTTCCGTTTTGATGCCCGTTGGGTGGATAATCCGGAGGTCAGGGCCATGGTCAACTATGTCTGGCAGGAAGAAATCCAAGGCACCCCTATGTTTCGACTGTGGGAACGCCTAAAGAAACTCCGTCATCTGTTATACGATTGGAGTAGGGCGGGCACAACTAATTCCCTGCGTAATATTAAGATGCTCCAGGCCGAGATTGAGAGGATAAAGTCGATCCACCCAGTACATTGGGATGAGATCAGGACGCTGGAGATGGAGCTCTCCCGTCAGTTGGAAGCAGAGGAGGTGTTCTGGCAGCAAAAATCCAGAGTTAAATGGTTAAAAAAAGGAGATCAAAATTCTTCCTATTTCCATACGGTTACTAGAGCTCGGCGGAAGAGGAATTTTGTTGCTGGGCTTCGGAATGAGGAGGGTGAATGGGTCACTGAGGAAACCGGGAAGACTTCTATTGCCACCAATTTTTATCAGACTTTGTTTACATCTGAAACGCAGGTTCCTAATATGACTGAGAGGGTGGCGAATCTGCCAATAGCCCGTACTGTTACTCCGCAAATGAATGCTCAATTGACGACAGAGGTCTTGCCTAGTGAGGTCCGGAGTACGGTCTTTTCCATGGGTTCGAAACAGGCCCCGAGACCGGACGGCTTCACAGGGAAGTTCTTTAAAGCTTTCTGGGATATAGTGGGCACTTCGGTGGTTGAAGCAGTAATCTCCTTCTTTACCTCGAGTCGGTTGCTGCGGAGCTTTAATCATACCTGGCTCACTTTGATCCCTAAAGTGGAATCGGTGGAAACAATTAGACAATTGCGCCCGATTAGTCTCTGTCAGTTTGTTTACAAAGTGATTACTAAAATCATGGCTGAACGACTGGCTAGCATGCTCCCGCGGATCGTTTCGGAGGGACAAAATGGCTTTATCAGGGGTCGGCTGATCATTGATAATATCATTATAGGACATGAACTAATGCATTACCTGAAAATAAAAACGCAAGGGAAGAAGGGATACATGGCTCTGAAGGTTGACATGGAAAAGGCCTATGATAGAGTCGAATGGCCCTTCTTGCTTGCTGTTTTGGATAAGATGGGTTTTAGTTCAGTCTGGCAAGGATGGATACATGAATGTCTTCGATCTTCCTCTTTCTCGGTTCTCATGAATGGTACGCCCTCGGGATTTTTCACGGCCTCTAGGGGCCTTCGCCAGGGAGATCCGCTCTCGCCTCTCTTGTTTGTTCTCTGCACGGAGGGGTTTGCAGCCCTACTCCGGCAGGCGATCACGGAGAAAAAATTAGAGGGGGTGAAAGTAGCTCCTCGTGCTCCAAGAATTTCGCACCTATTCTTCGCAGATGATTCTTATCTATTCTTGCACGGTTCTCTGCAGGAGTGCGAGAATTTGATTGAGGTGTTGAATGAGTATGAGGAACTGAGTGGTCAACGCGTTAATTTGGATAAATCGGCGGTGTGCTTTAGTAAGAATATTTCCACGCCTGATCAAGAGTTCTTGGCCTCGATTCTAGGGGTTGGTGCGGTGGCGGTCCACGATAAATATCTGGGTCTTCCAACGCTGGTTGCTCGGTCCAAAACAGCTACATTCAGATATTTGGAGGAAAACTTCTAGAGCGACTTCAGGGGTGGAAACAACAGACTTTGTCGTGGGCTGCTAAGGAAACATTAATTAAATCCATAGCGTTGGCTCTTCCACTTTATGTTATGTCCTGTTTCCGGCTTCCACTGACTCTTTGTCGCCTTTTAGATAAGCATGTGGCCCGGTTTTGGTGGGGTGCGGAAGACGGGCATCCTAAGATTAGATGGGTGTCCTGGCGTAACATGTGCAGGAGTAAGCATGATGGGGATCGGATTTCACCAGTTCGAACATTTCAATCAAGCTCTTTTGGCTAAGATAGACTGGCGTATCCTCAATGAACCTCAGTCACTTATTGCCCAGGTCTATAAAGGCAAGTATTTCCCTCAAGGGTCTTTTCTGACTGCGACTGCTAGATCTCGACCCTCTTGGGGGTGGCAAAGTATCCTTCATGGGCGTCAGTTATTGGAAAGAGGGTTGCGATGGCAGGTTGGCAATGGTCAATCGATCTCACTTCTCCAGTCTAACTGGATTCCTGGGTATCAGCTGGACCCCCCTTCCTATAATCCCCGGGTCTTGCCTGAGGGGGGTGATCCCTTGGTGGCGGAGGTTATTAGTGAGGGGGGAGGGAGGTGGTCTGATGGAATGCTTAGTCAATGGTTTGATCCACCCACCTGTAAGGCTATTAAAGCTATTCCTCTCCCGCGCCGGGATGTACCAGATAAGCTCATCTGGCATTGTATGGCTGACGGGGTCTTCTCGGTTAAAACGGCTTATCATTTGGTTGTCGATTTGGACAGAAGGAGGGGGGGGGGGTGGCGTTCCTTGGTTAGCTGGATGGATAAGTAGAGTTGGATTAGAGTTTGGGAGGCAAAAATCCCTTCGAAGTTGAAGGTATTTGTTTGGAAAATTCTTAATCGGGCTCTGCCGACTATGGAGGCGCTTATTGAGAAAAAGGTCCAGGTGCTACCTCGGTATCCAGTTTGTTGGGATGGCCCTGAGACAATGGAACACTTGTTCCTGTACTGTCCAGTGGCGCGTGCTCTCTGGGATTATTCTGGGCTGGAGTACGTGGGAGAGGGTCTGCCTCGGCAGACTTTTCCGTTGTTTCTCAAGCGTCTGTTGGGTTTGATCCATCACCCGTCGGTGGTTATGGCTGTTGTTGCCATCCTTTGGAGGATCTGGCGATCTCGGAATTGGGTGGTCTTTGAAGGCAAGCAATTTGGGATCCCAGCTCTTATGCGCCAGTTTAATCAACAGTATGAGGAATGTGTGGGGCTACCAGTGGACCAGGTGCCTAGGGCACAAGCCCCGATAATGCGATCTGCAGCACAATTGGATGATTCCCATTTTGTGTGCATGTGGGACGGGGCTACTAGGGGTGGGTCTCATTCGGCTGGTGGGATGGTTCTTTTTGGCCCTGGGAGGACACTCCTAATGGCTAGGGGGATCCAGTTTGCTCAAATGGATGATCCTGCAGTGGTGGAATTGCTTGTGCTTCGTGAGGCTATTATTTTGTGTATGGAGCAAGGTTTTTCGGCAGTCCGATTTGAGGGCGATGCGAAGGTTATAATTGACAAAATTAATCAGGCCGACACAAGAGATAGTCGGTTGGATGCTGTGCTTGAAGAGATTGTTCTTTATTTTCGTGCTCAGTCTGGTTTTAGTGTACGTTTTGTAGGTCGGGAGAACAATAGGGTAGCTCATTTGGTAGCTAGGAAAGCCCTCTCTTTGTATCCATGAGTCGCTTCTTTGATTTCCAGACCTGGCTGGTTTCCAGGGTGTAACTATCTTCTGCTCTGATCAATATATGATATCTTTTGACAAAAAAAAGTTACATTTTGGTTCCTAATGAAAAAAAAAAAAAATGGTTTGAGGACTTTATTGCAACATTTCAGGAATATTTTGTGATACAGTGATCGATACCCAAATTATTGCATTCAACTTAGTATAGTCCCTAACAAGACAGCTCTACTAGTATAGTCCCTAAAGGTTAAAGCATTTCTTGTTGGCAGCCCAAGTGCAGCGATTCCTGCAACTCCAGCCCAAGGGTCTTCAAGCCCAAGTAACTCCGGCCCAAGAACTCGTTTCATTTGATGTTCTCTTGTTCTTGTTAAAAGCAAATATATCATGCTGAATATCTTAGCAGATTGTTGAGATGGTTAAGTTAAAATTGTTTCGATGATAATTTTTCCGAATTTAAAAACACAATTACCAAATGTTATATTGATAAAACGTCATAGTAGAGGGGCATATTATACCTATAACCCTATATTTATTTAACGATCTCAACTTTCGAATCAGGTGACAATATAGTCATGAAAAAAGCAGTTGGTGCATGCATTTATATATCCACGTATCAGAATTACATATGTAGGAGGAATTTTACTATGCTATAGTATTGGTGCTATAAGTTTTTGTCTTTATGGTATAATTTGAAGTTGCACCTTTAACGTTATGGTACAACTTCATATTGTACCTATACTCTTTTGTACAAATTCTTTTATGGTACAACTTGAACTTATACCTTTATGTAATGGTATAACTTTAAATTGTAAAGTTGTACCATAACATAATGGTACAAATTCCTCTATGGTACAACCTGAACTTATACATTTAACGTTATGGTACAACTTCAAGTTGTACACTAAAGCACCAATACTTTATAGCATAGTGAAAGTGCTCATGTAGGAGATGCAATCGCCGACATAGTTAGTAAATACTCCGTTTAATACACGTATATGTACCCGTACGTATTTTATCCGTTTAAAACTTCTGTATCCGTATTATTGTTAAGTCGTTTCATTTTTTACCGTTCATTTAATGGCTTCCGTACTAAACACGTTTAATATCTGTATTTAATGACTTAAATTGTCAACTTTACTATTATTTTTATTTATTTTTAAAATAATTTATTATATATATATATATGACTACTAACGTACTATTAAACGTAAGATTAGCTTAGGGAAAAAGTAAAATACTCATACGTATTATA